CTGGCCCGACGGTAGAGGAAGTGTACTGATCATTTTGATATTGCTAGTCATTGTAAATTGGAAAGGACAATCTACCATGTATTTGATTTTTATATGTGTGTTTTACATATACAACGAGGACATATGTGATAGTTTAATTTTAATGGTATTCTATGTGCAATTAAATTGTGATGTACAGTCAACAAATGTTGATAGATCTTGTTTGAATGAATCATACTCTGTTTAAGCAGTTATTTTTGTCGTTTTTATATTGTTATTAAATAAAATTGTTAAAATAAGTATTAGGTTTTTCTTGTTTTTCTATATTGCATTTAATTTCTTATACAACTGAGTCCTATTTAATTCGATATGAAATAAAAAAAAAAAACAACATCTTATTCTATTACAAACATAGGAAGGGAAACGCCGGAGTAACGTGGTGTGAATAAGTAAAAAAATACACACATTGAAATCAACCAGTCGGCCATTCATCCAGCGTTTCATCTCTAGGACTCTATAAATTAGCCAATGAGCGTCTTAGATTATGTTTCATCTAATTGCAATCCTTATTTAAATTCATATTTGGTAAAAAAGTGTGCTCTGTTGAGGTTTTCAATTGATAATAGACGAGAGATGAAAGAGGTTCTAAGAAGTATTTGATTTCATGAAAATGTAAAGTTTTAATATTTTTCAATATTTGTGAGCGGACTTAGACAGGTGTAAAACAAACACCAAGAATATACCAGCATGACAACATAATTATAATTCAAAATCTACTTCCATTAAACTAGGGCAAAATATGAACAAAATAAATATTTTTAACGGAGACTTAAAAGACTGAGACTGAAAAAGCACAAGGAGAATAAGGCCAGGTGTTCCAGAGGAGTAAGTGTCTAGTAAACCTTGGTCAATCCAATTAAATAAAGTTACATTCTCAAATGAGAACTAGGTATACAACAACGGAACCAACAGGCAAACTAACGAGCATCAAACACGTCCAGCTTCAGGTCGCATGTAGAAATAGAATATTTCTCCATGAGATCACTATGGTGATCTGAAAACTTCTCCCCCTCTCCCTTATTTTCATTAACCTACATCTTTTGAACCCCTGTGTTATGAGTTTGTCAGAAATCGAAAAACTCACAATTCAAATCATCTCGTTTATTATACAACTTGATGGAAAGCTGTCCATGTTGATTTCGTAGTAGGAAAAGATCGAGATAAGCAGCCCAAGAGTCTGTGTATCTTTGCTTTCCAGTTATGGTGGATACATACGATTGACGTAGTCTATAGATTTCTTGTTATTTAAAGTCAAGACGTCGTCAATATATCCGAAGGTGAAATGAAAGACTTTGCAAGGTCCTTTTTTACCCGTGTTGTCGGAGTATTTCCCTTAAAGTATTTGTTACTTTCACTTATAATTTTTTTTGATACAAAATCTATATCTATAGCCGGTCGAGGTCTTTGTGATGTGTGCTTTAGTGGATATTGATATTTTCCACTTGTGTTGATCTGATAGGAATTGACGCTAGTTGTTTCATCACGTAGATGAATCATACAATAGCTCATAATTAGGATTTTTCTTTCATAAGAACGAAGTTGTTCAAGACTTGTTGATTTATGCACAACTTGTCCATGTATGTAAACTGATAATTGACTAGATTTACACAGATCCGGTCCTAAAGGTTAACATTGTCTTAGAAATGAACTCGTTTATGACTACAGCTTGTGTTTTTTTGTAATTTGTGAAGAATAGCTAACTCGAGTGAAAGATATTCCATATACCACTCACTGTGTAACCTCTATATGTTCCTACTCGGAATGGTCCATGCTCATCAGAACACTAGTATCTCGACTGTTTTTCTCCTTTGATGTTAGCGTGATTGGGTAAGACACTTTACTTTCATTTTTTTTTTTTTTTTTTTGAGGACATGCGACAGAAATTTCGTATGTTTTTTTTAGAGATGTAGTGACTATCTTCAACAAGGAGACCACATCATAAAATTACCCAACCTGTTTAAGAGGCGATCAATCCAATAAAACAAAATTCAACACGAAGACCCCGCCTCCATAACACCATAGCTGTTCACGAGGCGATAAAACCTCCAAATTAAACTACAAGTAAACTCCGCCTCAAAATGAACATGACTAATGATATGGCTAAAAACTGAAAAAAGAAAAATGAAAATACAACTAGAGTTATACTACCAACGTCTAGACGAAGAGGGCGAAAACATATTCGTATTTTTTTCAATATTTTCATACGAGTAACACATATAACAAATCTTTAATTTAATTAATTATTCTTTGATGAGACCCAAGACGTCCCTTTCATAATTTAAGCACGAAAATGAACTAGACGTTGGTAATATAATTCTAGTCTAATCTATTAAAACCAGGACAACCAGTGACCTACGCTCGGTTATGACCGGATTGCTAGGAATGTGGTCTAGAAGAAGGCTAACTTTGATAGGGAAAATCACCGTAGTGAAAACTTAAGCACTCCCTTTACTCAATATTTTATTTTACACGTTATCTAGTCCTTCTGCAGACTTGATACAAAATATCAATTCAATTTTGCATAGATTTATTTGGGATTACAAACCTGATAAAATAAAACGAAATACACTTATTATGGGATATGAGGAAGGGGGGCTTTAAATGATTCATATAGAAAGTTTCCTGAAATATCTAAAGATTAAATGGGTTAAACGATTTCATGTGGGCAATGGAGACTGGCAAACATTAGCAAAATCAAAATTTAAATAACTTGGAGGAGATAGGCTTTGGAATTTAAATAAGCAGAAAATAAAGGAAATAGCAAGTGTAATTACAAATAAATTTTGGAAAGATGTTCTTCTATCCTGGAGTGAATTGAAAAGTGATGATCATCAGTCTGATATTTTAAATTATGTCACCATAAAGCATTTTAAAAATATTTAAATTATGACGAAAAGGGATTTAAAACAATTAGGGATTTTCTAGATGAAAATTTACTATTTTTACCATTTAATCAAATAAAAGAAGTCTGTCATAATCTAAATTTTCTGCAATATTTTGCCTTCATTAATAAAATACCAAAGGAAACAACTGAATCCATACGAATCACAGATAACAATGATGGAGATCTAGAGACACATCTACACAAGCTACTAACTAGAACAGACCATAAATACATTTACCACTCCGTGTTACAAAAGCAAAAATACTACCCTGCATCTAAACAAAGAGAAATGGAAAAGAGATCTGGGCATAAATAATGAAAATACCTTAAACTGGGGAAAAATATATACACTGTAGTGTTTGTTTTTAAAACATGTCCAGATACAAAAACTACAAAATTTTCAATTTAAACTCTTACATAGAATTTTAACCACAAATAAATTTCCATACAGAATTAAAATTGTAAGAGGTGAAAATTGTACTTTCTGTGAAAAAGAACAAGAATCTTTAACACACCTCTTTTATCAATGTGAAAACGTATATACATTATGGGAAGATTTAAAACAGTGGTTAAACAACATGCAAAAAATATCGCAATTTATGAATGGGACATAAAGGGAATTTTAATTTATTATAATGATTTTATTTTGATTAATCACTTGATATTAATAACAAAATAGTATATATACACTTGTCGCTTTAGGAATGTAAAACCATCCTTCCCATGGCTTAAATCTGTAATCTCTGTACAGTAGGAAGTTGAACGGAAAATTGCCTTTGAAAACAAATCTTTTATCAATTTTGAGGCTAAGTGGTCTCCCCTTGACATTTAAGTCGGGTCATCTTCTTTTAATATCCAGAATACAGAATAATCCCTCCTGACAACCTTTTCATAGTCTCATGAGTCTTATACGTATACCCTGTTTCAAACTTACTAAGATTTCTTTATGCATATAATATTAGTAAAAAAAGCCCTTATATATAACACTGAGTTTTTTTCCCTTTTTTTTCTTTGTTATTCTTGTCATGTATCTATCTGTGTCTATATATATATATAACTATATATGTTTGTAAATCACATCTACATATGAGTTATTTTTAACATTTCATGTGACTATCAGTAGGTAATTTGCCAGTAATTATAATGATATAATATTCTACATGAATTGATACCTGATATTGAGCTTAAGATTTTTTGCAGACCATGCATACCACTCGTACTTGTTTCTTTGATATATTAAATGTAATATTTGTCTCTGTCTAAAACCTAGCAGGAAGCCTGGACCTGTTGGGTGTTTATGTATGCAGGTATGTTTTGTTTTGTGGTGTCAATGACAAAAAGACATTATTTGACATTATACCTCATGAATCAATTACAAATTAAGGAAACCTCACGTATTTTATCTTTTGATCATAACTACTGTCTCAAGTGTCAATATTATGGTATTATACGATAAACGTGCAGATTTGCATCCTTAGGGTGCCTAATCACAAAGCTAACCTGAATTGACTCGGGAAGTTTCTAGATTAATCGGTCGTTCTAGAACGTTTTCGATTATTTACAAATGACACATATATCAATTTATTAAATTTTAATTTAATTAATTATTCTTTGATGAAAACTAAGACGTTAAAAACAGCTTAATGTCCCTTTCATAATTTTAAGCACCAAAATGAACTGCTTGTATGCAGATGTAATATGTCTGACATTAATATGTTAATATGTTTATACAAGTATCATATGGAAATATTCATTGACATATACGATGTATATACTAAACATTAATTACGTAAACTAATCTTCAATGAATTGAAATTGACTACGTTTAGAAAAACTTCTTTTTGTCAGATTACTTTAATATACTTTAATGTTTCTGCGAAACGTATGATGTAGTATGCCCCCTTGAGGTGCCTCATAACAAGGCTGACCTAAATTCATTCGGGAAGTTTCTAGACCAATCGAATCACTGGAACGCTCTCGATTATCTAGATCATTCAAGAAAGTATACTATAGTAGGGTATATAAACATGGTGCACACAAGCTGTGATCAGAATCAGAAAAGAAGTTAGACACTTCTACTTGGAATACACACACAGCGGACTTAATACACGGTAGTGTGTATATATATCCAGCCTTTAGCGAGCGAGGGAGTGATCGACACGCAATACCTAAACAACAATAACTCTACTTTCGATTTGACATTTGAAGACGAATATGGCAGGCTCACGTAAATCTCCAGCTATTGGAATTGACCTCGGCACCACATATTCCTGTGTCGGAGTATTCCAACATGGGAAGGTGGAGATTATTGCCAACGACCAGGGAAACAGGACCACGCCTAGTTACGTGGCCTTTACGGACACGGAGAGACTGATCGGAGACGCTGCCAAGGGCCAAGTAGCAATGAACCCACAGAACACTATCTTTGATGCAAAACGTCTAATTGGTCGGAAATACGATGACCATAATGTCCAGTCGGACATGAAACACTGGCCATTTACGGTGGTCAGTAGCTCCGGTAAACCAAAGATTCAGGTGAACAGCAAATGCGACACCAAGCAGTTTACACCAGAGGAAATCAGCTCCATGGTGCTTACTAAAATGAAGGAGACGGCTGAAGCTTTCCTTGGTGAAAAGGTCAAGGATGCCGTGATCACTGTACCAGCCTACTTCAATGACTCCCAGAGACAGGCGACAAAGGACGCTGGGATCATCGCCGGACTGAACGTCCTGCGAATTGTCAATGAACCAACGGCTGCTGCGCTGGCCTATGGACTAGACAAGAACCTCAAAGACGAGAAAAATGTCCTCATCTTTGATTTGGGAGGAGGAACATTTGATGTGTCCATTTTGACGATCGACGAAGGATCGATATTCGAGGTTAAAGCTACTGCTGGTGACACACATTTAGGTGGAGAAGATTTCGACAACAGAGTTGTGAACCATTTCGTACAGGAGTTTAAACGGAAATATGGAAAAGACTTGAGTAAGAACAGCAGGGCTTTACGAAGGCTTCGCACCGCATGTGAACGTGCCAAACGAACCCTTTCGAGCAGCAGCGAAGCAAGTATAGAAATCGACTCTCTGTTTGAGGGAATCGATTTCTACAGTAAACTCACCAGAGCTAGATTTGAGGACTTATGTTCTGATCTTTTCCGTGCTACTCTAGAGCCTGTGGAAAAGGCACTTCGTGATGCTAAGATGGACAAATCGAAAATCCACGAGATTGTCTTAGTTGGCGGATCTACACGTATACCAAAGATCCAAAAGATGCTCGAAGATTTCATGAACGGAAAACAGCTCAACAAATCCATCAATCCTGACGAAGCTGTAGCGTATGGTGCTGCAGTTCAAGCTGCCGTTCTTACCGGCGACAGCAGTGACGTCATCAAGGACGTCCTTCTGGTGGACGTGGCTCCACTGTCCCTCGGAATAGAAACAGCTGGAGGTGTGATGACCAAACTGATCGAAAGGAACACTAGAATTCCCACGAAAACATCTCAAACGTTTACTACGTATTCTGATAACCAGCCCGGTGTCAGTATCCAGGTGTTCGAGGGAGAACGAGTCATGACAAAGGACAATAATCAACTGGGAAGGTTTGAACTAAACGGCATCCCACCTGCACCCAGAGGTGTTCCACAGATCGAGGTCCAATTCGACATCGATGCTAATGGAATCCTCAATGTGTCGGCTGAGGATAAAAGTACTGGGAAATCCAATAAAATCACCATCACAAACGACAGGGGACGTTTGAGTAAAGAAGACATTGAGAAAATGGTAGCCGACGCAGAAAAATACAAAGACGAGGACGAGAAACAGAGGAAAAGAGTTTCTGCCAGAAATCAGCTGGAGAACTACATTTTCAGTGTCAAACAGGCGATGGAAAATGTTGGTGACAAACTTTCATCAGAGGAAAAATCCACTGTGTGTCAGGGATGTGAGGACAATTTGAAGTGGTTGGACAGTAACACTATGGCGGACGTGGAGGAATACGAATATAAACTAAAGGAATTTCAAAAACTGTGTTCACCTATCATGACGAAACTTCACGGGAGTTCACCACAGTCAAATGGCGGGGCACCCAGTGGAGGTTGTGGTAGAGAAGCACAAGGAGGGTCAAGTACTGGCCCGACGGTAGAGGAAGTGTACTGATCATTTTGAGATTGGTGTTGTTTTTCCGAATTGACAACTGCATTATTAATTTGCAATTTATTTGTAGAGATAAACAATATAGTATAAAATAGTATACATTGATGATGAAATCCGTGAGTAATTCACATTTAATACGGGTGTTTACTTTTACTGTTTACATTTACTGACATGACACTCATTTCCAACACCATGTTCTGTCTTGGAATAGATTCTTTAAGTGCATTGTATAATCTAGGACTTGAGGTGTGTCAAGTGTCCGTGTTATGGTCGGGCCGTATAATTGCAATTATCCGAACAATTATTAAACGTGTTCATGTTTTTTTGGGCATTGTTAAATGTATTATGAATTTGTATGGTATTTTTTATACTTTCTTTATAAATAAATATGAGAAATTACATTGTATGTATTTGTTTGATTGTGATACGAGTCCTAGGTCCGTGAAACCATTTTCAGGCTCAAGCAGCCTGGAATCTACCCTGATCTTAACGTTGTAAATAGTTTCAAAGAAAAAACATTAAACGCTGAAAATGATATCTCAGTCTTTTGCCTTAGCTTTAAACCATTAGAAATATTTATCCAGATATTAAGATTCATCACCGACAGTATTTGAGTCCGAGCACCGTGAGTTTCATTAATACTTACTTATATTATACACCCTATGTCGAAATAGATTTTAAGAAATAGTGACAGGTTGGTTAAGGCACAGCCAGTGTTGTTTCACATACAAATGTACCAATCATGACGTTTAGCCCATAATAAATTGGTTATCGATTGACTAAGGTTCGTGTGACAGTTCCAAATATTACAACATATTCAAATTTATTAGACTGTGTTTGTTTATTTCGATGACAAATTAATGATGTTCATTAGAATGATCACACATATATATATAGTTTACATCTACTGAAAAACATTAGTTAAGATGTTTTGCATCAAGTACCATTAATTAAGCTGTCCATAATAAGAACAATTGGCCAGTTCTCCCCATATTAACCCATGCCAGAAAGTCTACTAGAACGGACTTTTGTAACACTTTCATTTAATACTATCTAGGTTCTATCGTCATAAATAAGGCCGTATCAATGAGTAACCTGGAAGATATTACATCACATGTCTGTTCTGTCTTATCCATCAGTAATTCTGAGATGTACCTTTATCATCATGTAATCTATCCAACTGGTCACACTCTTATCTTCCCCACTAACATATAAGCTGGTGTATATTTTAGTGTTTGGCAGTTCCCCGACCGGTGTACACAAAATCTATCCGATCGCTAATGAAACTACTTGATCCAACGTTGCTGGTTTCGTCGGACTTCAAAGAAAGTACTACACTTTGTTAACTTCCTGCAATGCCACACGTTAACTTCATTTTCATTTCAAATACAATTGCAAAATATAAGACAGAATATTTAGTCTCCCTGTTGTTCTAGATTATATCTACAACGTTATAGGCCTATACCAAAGACATAGAATGCGTATGGAAACCGGACATGTGTAAGTCTAACAATCATATGCTAATAAGGAATGACGCACATCCTGGATCTGCGTCGCAATAGTACTTCAAATTCATGCATCCAGTATAAACGCACAAATGATCCGGGTCGTCCATTTTTAACGAATTTAATTTCTCAGTCGATTATTGTGGTCGATTAGAGCAGATAATAAACCCTTTATTAAACCCAAAATCAAGGAACATTAATACAACATATATCGAACATATTCAGTAATGGAATATGGTGTATATCGTTGTAAACTTCTTATTTTATAAATGTCGACGAAAGTGTCGCTGGGAGTTGTGGCGTGCTCCTGTAATCCAGCTACCTGGAGGCTTGGTGTGGTGGACTGTTTGAGGGCGGGGGTCCTGCTTTCAGGTGCTCTATGTCGATCGGGCGTCCGCGCTAAGTTCGGCATCAATATGGCGACATCGGGGGAGCCCAGTGTCACCAGGTTGTCTAAGGAGGGACGAAACGGCCCAGGGTGGAAACACAGCAGGCAAAAGTCCCCGTGTCAAATAGTAGTGGGATCGCGCCCGTGAATAGGCATCGGTTAGTAGCCCGTCCAACATAGTGGGACCCATTCCTTTTTCTTTTTTTTTCTTTCCTCGAACATGTTTCTAATAATTTCCACTCCTTCAATTTCAAATATTCAATTTTTGTTGTTAACCAAAATGTATATAAATAATATTCGCATATAAATAATTATCTACCCAACAATGAACATCTAAATTGGTTTTTGCATTGTTTGATTAAAAATATGCAAATATGCCCGCAAAATATTTACATTTCATAAGCATGTTACTGTCTTATTCTAACTTGATTTAAACATTGTAGTTGTCCTGTAAATAGATGATGAACTGATGCTGTTTTTATTGACGAAATGACAGTCATGAGCAGGATGTTCCATCATAATTCACATCACTCAATTTATATAGCAATATCATGTAATTGTGTATTTCATATATCACTTTTTTTCACCAACTTTTTAACAGAATTTGTAATATGCTGTGGATATGATCATAAAAAGGTTAAATTATTTAGAATCTAAATTGAAATTTTGAATGTTGCCAAATCAAAAACTTTTATCAATTGTAACACAACCAAAATATGCATTCCTATTAGGAAGAAGGCAAAATGTCATACAATAGAACACAAGACCAACTGAATTTCATATAGCCTTGATTTCAATATGACTAGCTGTAATACCTATACTGCTTGGCAAGAGGGATCTCTTTCGCTCCATCGACTGAGTATGCATGTGTATACCCAATGAGCTAGAGGTCCTGTGTTTGTTTCCAAATGAAGGCAGGAATTGAAAGAAATAAGATGACCTTTAGAGATCTGTTACATTATTTAAATTTTTTTTGTTTGTTGGGTTTATCACCTCAAGCCAGGATTATTTTGAGGTGCGGTCTCCCTGTAGTAGCTGGTCAGGTTAATATATTGAACAATATACAGCAGGCCTGTCACATGGAATCTACAGTAATTAAGTGTCTAGTCCAAGCACACAACCACATCAGCACAACCAGTCAAATTCTCAGCTTCCTGAGAAAGACATGCAAACTACCACTTTATAATAGGGATCATCGAACCACGTAACCTCGGTTCTTCACTCAAGGTTAAGAAAGACAAAGCTCTACCTGACTGAGTTATCACAGCCTGATATGACCTTAACCTCACACCTACCAGTCACTTGAAATTATAGCACTGTAAATTTATCAAAAACTTGGTACTTGTCAATATATAGAAAAAGGTAGTGACATATCATAGAGCATTATGTGTCCTAAATTTGAGAAAGATTGTTCCATTTACTTTATGAGAAAGAGTGATGACAGCTACTATTAATACACCATGATTTAATATCTATAAAAATCTGTGTAATATCTTATCAACATTGAACACTGCATGTAACATCAGAAAATGTTCCATAAAAATCCTTTTCTGATTCACTGCCCAACAGTTTGTACTGTGGCAAAGTTATTGCAGATGGATGTCAACTTAATATAACAGCACTATGAATACTTCTAACCTTTAGTACAATATTGGTACATAATTACAGTGACTTATTTTTACCTCTGGACACCTAGCTAGCCGTCAGAAATACCATTATCTGTAGAAAATGATAAACATCTCTACAACTACAAACCCATTTAATTGATGAGATGTATGTGTGATAAATGGAAGGAAATTAAGACACAGCAATTGTATACACTGGACAGTTTTAATGGTTCAGGGGAAACTGATTACTGCTCCCCCAAAAACAACATTTGTGGCCATAAAATTTTAACAGAGGGCAATATCTCAGTAATCAAGGGTTGCAGGCCCGATTTTGATACATTACAAATCGTCATAGCATGGCCAATGTATACATCATATTTCATTATCTTAGTTTAAAAGCAAGCAAAGTTATGCTCAAGACACAAAATTTTAGCAAAGAACAATAACTCTGTCATTACTGTGGTCAAAGTTCTGCTCTGGATGATGAAAGGCTTGATGGAATGACATATGGACATTCCAGCTCCCCTGAAAATTTAATGGAACACAAAAAAAGAAAATAAAACTCCCCAAAAAACAAGACAAAAATGATTAAATGTTTATATAGTTTTTATTTATTTTTTTTTCTATTTTTCAATGAGCAATCCACTCGTATAACAAAATAATTTACTCAAAAGAGTTCTTCTGTAAAAATATTCAACAAGAGGAAATAGATCATCAAACTCCTCAGAAATGGAATTCTGATAAGTGCAAATAATTTATTTAATACATGATATTTAAATTAAAAAGAAAAATATATTTAATTTAATCCATACAACAAAATGGTGCAGTATTAATTGTTAGTAGCGGACGGCATGGGCATTATAAATGTTAATCATATTAACTTCTGTATACATTATAAAATCATGGATGGAATGTTTAACAGAAAATAAACAGAAGAATTGAATGCCAGATAAAATAAATAAATATCTTGTTTTTCAAAAATTAAATATCACAGGCGTAAATGAAATCCGCTGATTGTCCGAGGATATCCTTATGAAGTTTAGTAATTACTCTTTAACAATTTCTTAAAAAAATAAAAACAGTAAAGTAACATATATCAATATATTGACCTTGTAAGCCGTGACTATTATAAGGTAGTATACAAATCAGAAACTGCCAAGTAACGAGTACAAATATTTGGACGGATTTTTTCTTCATACAACTACTGAAGAACAGTAAAAGACTTTGGTAGTTTGAATATGTATAAAGCATATACTGGAATGCATCGTAATTTTAAACAATTATGCAGTATCAACACCTGTGAAAAGACACATGTTACTGTTATCAGATGTAACGGAAGAATCATCAAATACAGACTCTCATTTTGTGTATTTTCATGCTGTAAATCAAGTCAGTGTTACAAGATGACTTAAGTCATTTTTCTCTTCAAAATATTTATCATTGTGATGATTCACAAATAAAGTCTGTCACTTTGACAATGATCTTTGAGAACATTCAAGTGAAACACTTTACTTCAACTTAAGTCAACGTTTGGGAATTTTTTCTTGGTAATTTATGTAAATTGTCTCTGGTAACAGGTATTGAAGCGTTTGAATGTTCTGTTTAATGGTTCAGAATGAGACATGTACAATGTTGTAACAGGTCTTGAATACGACACGGTCTTCAAGCTGTGAAGCCATGTTCTATTTTAGTCTGTGTTAAGGATGAGACACACACCCTGTAATGACCAATGGCTAATATGTTCTGTGGTTGCAAGGTCTGCTTCAAATACCAAGCCAACTCCCATTGCATTTCTTCTCTGTGAGGTCACATACACTGGTGTCCTGAATGTATTCTGTCAAAGTGAAAAATATGCAAATTTAAGTATTTATACCAAAATAAAATAGAAATTATTACACTCAATTTTCCATGGTTCACAAAATCTTTTGACTTATCTGAATGTCTTACTTCAGATGTATGTTATTCATCTAATTACTGTCTCATGGACAACGGCATTCATAAGAATATAAACATGAAAAGATGTCTATGTAAATTAACTTCATTTTCAGTGTTTGTTAAACCTGATGTTTTGTTAGTTTTAAATCATGATGGATGTGAATATAAAAGGGTTTCCCATGATTTATGCATTTTCTAACATATCTGCCATAAGAATCGAATGGAAAACATCTTTTTATATTTTATAAAAAACAAGATCTATGTTACCTGGAGCTTCAATCTGTGGGATTCTATCGGAATGATCTTAAGAACAGGTAACTCCTGGATGAGCTGTTTGGGATTCTGTCGGATAATGCAGCTTTCTTCCTTGCTCCAAGCTCCTCCCTCTAGATACAAGCCATCCACAAAACAACCTGTAACCAAGGCAACAATTAAAAAAACCAGTATCCATAGCACATCTCGTAACCAATTAGGCAACAATTAACAAACAGCCTGTAACCAAACAAACAAGTAAACAGTCTGCAAGCAAAGAAATAATTAACATACAACCTATTTCCAAGACAACAATTGTCAGACCAAGGAACAAATTAGTAACCATAACAACAGCATAATATTCTTTAACTAAGGACACAATATTTACCATGGTAACAGTAGCAGTATGACAGTTAGTTACCATCGTAACATAATTTTTTTTCCATAATGAAGGATAAAGATCAAAGAGTCTCCAACTAAGACACAAAACAGTAAATATACTTTTTGGCATTAAAAAATTTGCATATAATTTTGACAAGTAACTGGAATGATTATCGGGTCATCACAGCCAGCAACCATAGGTTTTATCATCTTAGGCCGACTTCATATACACGATCATCACTCCTTGCTAATATATGATTCAAACATGGAATATCATTAATGTGGAGTCTGTGTTCATTTGAAGCTTTGACTTACCTTGATGAGCACGCTCTGTAACATCTTCTGCAGTTGACCACTGAGTGACCGTGGTATAGAGTGTGGACTTGTCCAGTGGCCAGCCATTCTTACGACAGGTGGCCTGGACCAGAGCTGTCAGGTAGGATTCAGGAATGTGTAATCCTGACAACCACATCACACCTGGCTCTCCTTCATTAACCTGAAAAGTCAGAACATGTTCCCATTGTCAGAAATCAGCAAGAAAATTAACAGCATAATAAATATATATCTCAAGTGCAAAGTCTTTCTTATGTTAAACTTGGAATGGATACAAAATGTTCATAATAATTCTAAAAAGATTAAGCTTTCTTTTCATAACTCACCCAGCCGTTATACAGCTTGAATCTTCTCTCAAAGTGGAGCATCCAGTTGCCAAGTGACTTGAGAGTGACTGGTGCCAAACGCCTCCAGATTGACGGGATCATACCATTAAATAAGGCACGGGCGACATCATCAAGCTCACTGCTCATTCCAACTTCTCCAATCAGGGCCTAGGTTACAAATCACGCAACCAATCAAAATCAGCAGTGAAAGAATAAACTAAGTTTGTGTCTGGTGATATATTTTAGTTCTGATAGTATTTCCAAGAAAAATTAATTTTTCATATATTGTTTTTTTGCAGATTAAAATCACTTAATATTTATTTTATCATTTCAATATGTTATATTGTTCATTCACTGCCTAAAACACTTTTCTCACAGTGTATTTGAAAATATCAATAAACATTTAAAACATTTGTATGCATAACATATATCTATGGACATGAACTAAGCAGGTTTATAATGATGATGATGATAGCAACCTACCTTCCTCAGAGTTGACAAGGACTTTCTCATAATGTTGATGAGGAGGTTGAAACGATCCAGTTCCTGCAGTAACACAATGGTAGTGGGGGCAATATCAATACCATATTTCTTTTTAATCTTGTCCATCTCAAATTCCTGTGGCAGCTTGCCCAGCACCTCCTGTGCTATCTTGTCTATAAACTCTTCTCGACTGATTCCTCCAGAAGTGTCACCTGTTAGTATCAAGTCATAGTAATTACATTTAAGTTATGATTTTTCTACTGTGCTGACTACATGGTAGTAAATGTGAGTTTCCGAACTAAACGTGTCCATACGCTGGTCTTCTAAAAGAAAATGAAATTTCAATTACCTGCAGTTGTAATTTTGAGGATGTACATACATATTGCCTAATTCCTTTGATAGGAAATTTATCACAATACTTCCACTTAAATATACATAAAGACAACAATTGTTTCATGGTGTCAATTTTGTTAGTAAATATACTATATTTTCCAATAATATGCCCATGTCTGATAATAAGCCCAACCATGTAAAAAAAATTATACCTAATTTCATTGTCCTACTGTAATCCACATTCGTATCCTGGGATTTTGTAGGACAAATATTGTAAATTGAAAACATGAAGAGATTTCACTGCAAAGCTCAAATAAGAAACTGTTTAGAGGAAAAAAGCAGTAAAAGAGAGTGTTTGAATAGAAATTGGAGCAACAGCCTCATTTAAACATCTAGTTAATAAGAAGTCAAAAACACATCTATCAGCGCTTTGTATCAAACATCCAAGTCAAAAAACACTTCTATCAGTATTTAAAACATCTAATAATTTGTAAGTTAAAAACACATCTACAATGTCTAAAATATGTTGTATATTAAAAACACATCTACAAATCTTATCTAAGAGAGGGAGTCGGATCTTTCAAAAGTAGTAATAGATGTTATTAACAAATTGTACATCATATATATCTCAGATACTTGAAAATTAATTTGAATATTTTTATATATCATGGAGTAAATGGATTAAAAGTGTGACTTTACATAAACCAGAAAGTGCCAGGTTCCATAATGTAAAAAATAACATCATATTCATAGGACTCGAGAATTTATACTCTCTTTAATGGCTTTTTTCATTTGAAAAAATTTAATTAGTTCTTCCTGCCAGTTAAAAGCCATCTTAAAAACAATAACTTAAAAATAATTTTCATGATTTGGGATGATAAGAAATACCATATCCAACAGAATTTTATTTTCAATTTTCCTTTTTTTGTTTTAAAAACAATCATGGGTATGCGTATATAAGTACACATAGTTTTATTTGTATACATTTGCACTTTAAAAATAAATTGACAATAAAACCTTCATATTTACAGAAAATAGTGAAGATTATAAAAAATATTTCCATACTTTACGAAAAAGATATTTTAGTACTCAGATTCAGACTGGGAAATATGGGTATTGATGACAAGTATCTGTTTTTAAACAATAGTTCCCTCAAACAGGCTGATTTGACTGTATCCATACATATTGGTGTTAAAGCCAGAAGGAAATAAATTCAGTACAAAAGCTGATAAATTGACATGAAGTGCAAAAGTATCAAAATCTAAATGAAAGTGTTCAAAATAATCACAGCAACTTGTGCTGGCCTACTGTCAATGGCTGAAAACAAATCCGGTTTAGGATTGCGTTTGACTGGCAGCATAAGGTTAGTAAGTTGTTAAAATACACAGAGAAACCTTTCACACAAATAAAGTAGTTACTTATCAGAGACCAGAAAACATTATCTCTGTCCATATATTATAGCAAGTAGAGGAGAGATGGAGATAGAGAATGTTAAATGTACATGAAAATTTGTCATAATTAGGTAAAGAGATAAAAAATTGTACAACAAGGAAGTGTTTCAATTATACAATCACATAGAAAAAATATGCATACATACAAGTTTTAAATGTGATTATGTATAGAAGTACTGTGTATGCTATATACAGGTGTGATTGACTAATAACAGATACAACTTCAGGGAAAATCCTAGGAATTGAGAGCAAAGGATGTGTTTTACAAATTTATGTTAATGTCCAAAATGATGCAGTCATCCTACATAAAGGAGTAAGTGGTAGGTCTCAAATTCAGTTTTGAGTGGTCCAGGTCCCCATCTACGATTTTCCTTGAGACATTGAGAAGTCATAAAGGCAAATGACACATATAAGTTAGTTGTCGGACACTCCTCTATGTTAGTTTACACTAAATTCAACCCCTTCCTCCACATTCAACAAAAATTATCATTTCATGAAAAAAATAGCTTTGACACAGGGTAGGATGACAAATTACTAAAAAGTCTTCTCACATGAAAAAAATAAATTTTACAAATCCCAATCTGGATGTCATTAGCTCATGTCCCTGTGTTAAAGCACTGATCAGTATTATTTTGGAGGTTACATGGATTTTAAAGTACGTACCGGTCTGTGGCTGAAGCTCAATAAGATGAGCCCACATGTCTCTAGCTGCTTGTGTGTAGTATCCAATCTCAGCATTTGGATGGAGGCCAAACACCTCAGGGGTGTTAGCATGGGGTAGGTCCTCAATATAATCTATTGAATGAAATATTCACTTTAATATCAACTTCAAAGTTAATTCGCCCTTCGGGGAAAGGAAGGTAAGTTATTCTGATCATGGTATAAAAAAAAATATTGACTCGATAAACAGTCAGAAAACAATTTCCAGTCAGTTATATAAGGATGTATCTGATATCGAAAGGCTTGAAAATTAAGATCTGTAAAATCTTCTGTCATCCTGACGCTATACTTACCGACATACACATCACGAAGTCCATCATCAGGAATCTTGTAGTCAACTTCTTCGTTGCAGTAAAAGTGGAATGGCTGGAATGTGTCAAAGATGAAGTCTCCCATGTATTCATCCATGTAAGTGCTCAGCACACGACGGTCAAAGTTGTCAATGGCACGACCTCCGTACATCACCTTTAAAGACAAACAACACATCATTCAGTGTTGACAATATTCGTCATTTGCATTTCAAATCACCATTGAGTTTTGGTAACAATGTGAAGGACACAATAAGACGGTTAAATGTTACAATGTGAAAGTTTCCATGTAAGGTCAAAATGTGAAGGTCATAATGTAAAGAATAAAAAAATGATTGTTTAGACAACTTTATATCTTAATCAAAATTGACATTTTGAATTAAAGTGGTGTTTTTATTTCATTACCATATAATTCTAGTTTTGGAAAATTATGATATAATTGCCGACCGAACTGTTTATTCTTTATTTTTCCCTTCCTCTTTCTTATTTTCAATTTCAATTTGTTAATTTTGAGATTGAAACAATGAAGTAAGAAATTGTAAGCTATAACATAACGTCTGCAAAAAGAAAAGGAAAAAAAGAAATGGAATGCAACCTTTCTTTGCATTCACATTTTTTTTTAGTAAATCCATGATTTAAATTCAACTTGATGTCCAGAATTTAAAAGTACTTGCACTGTTCCACTGTTTGACTTCAGTACAGATTTGTTTCTAGACTAGATTGATAAAAGGTTTGCACTGGACACTAACCTCGCCTATAAGGTACTTCAGACTGTTCCATGGTATCTTGGTCTCGCCTTGTTCATGAGCTTTGGTCAGATAGGTGTTGAGAATTTGCATACACACACGGAAGTCGGACTCGTTAAAGTCATAGGATATATTCCAGCCTATCTTTCCGTACTTTCTTCTCTCCTGTACCACAGCATGGAAGAATGCGAGGACAAACACGAGAGCCGGAAAGGCTGGATTGGGACATTCTGACAAAGCAACAGCAGAAATCTTGTGGTAGGTACCACGCAGGTTCAGCTTGAGTCCATTTGGTGGTTCAGTCACAACCTATTAAGGAGAAAGTTATATCAGGAAATATGCACTTAGGGTGTAAACTTGAGTCAAAAAGAAACAGTACAATGAAATAACATTTTTTAAACACTTTTGCTATTATTTGGTAAAGGTGGGCTTATTACTGGATATAAATGATCTATAATTTCAAAAATCTCATTTAAGCAATTTTGTTTCCCTATAGTTATTTTTTTTTTCTAATTTTGCTTAATCAGATGTTTTGTGACATTGTTGGCATTTCATCAATAAGACTAAATGTTTTCTGAACTATATGGCTGATGTTTCAGTGATCAATGTTGGTTAACACAGCAATTTCTGTCCTGATCTGGGTCACATTTTTCATTTTGCAGTACCCTGACCATGAGGATTGCAGACCACTGACATATATTGAACTATCAGTCAGGGCAACTAACAAAGACACTAATCTTTAATGAATCACAAAATGGTCTACACACTGACCTTGAGTGACCTCTGTAGAATGCCTATAGGGAAACTGGGTGTTGGTTCAGTGGTCAACCAGAGACGGAAGTCTGGGTGAGGCTTGGTCAGTTTCTCCAGCTGCTTTTCAAGTTCTTTGAGCCATCTGACAAGTAAATGGCAATTTTGCAACATGAGCCACTGGCCACGGGCAATGGCAGTCTCCAGGTACTGCAGTGCCACCTATAAGCAAATCAAACATAGTGTTCAACTTCAGTACTTGATAGTGGATCAAAAATACAAAAAGAAGCTCCATATTTGCTTGAGAATGCTCATAAAGTATTTGAGTGTAAAAATGAAACCTCAAAAAGTTTTTACAAAGTGTCCAAACACAATTGTGTCTATCCATATATAACCCCCAGTATCTGGAAAAGACCATAATTCATAAAAAATAAACTCATAACAAAAAAGTTTTTCTTCCTTTTCTTGAATCTTACATGTAACAAATCCTTTTCTTGACCATTTTGACAAAGTTTTTTTACTCCGACATATAAACAAACCTTTTCTTGACCTTGACCCATGGACAGGAACTTGATTTTGTTAGTACCAAACTCTATTCTTTCAGCTAACTTCATAAGGTCACTGGCAGGATCAGAACCTGGACTAAGGATGAAGACGATTGGAGACATTGGTGTACTCTGCTCGAAGATAGCCTCAAAGCTGATGATAGGTGGAGTCACATACTTCTCTCCCATCACCTTTGTAACATACTCCTCCACAGCACGGTAAATACGATCAACACGGAAACATCTAAGCAATGCAAGTTTCTGGAAGTCTGACAGAGAGTCCACATACTTGAGGGGGAAAGGCTGCGACTCTGGTGTATCATGGTCATACCACTGTGTAAAAATAATGCATAAATGATAAAATTTGATATGAAATCCTTTAAAAGAAGAGAGAAAATATTGTCTATTTCTCTAAAGTATAATTCATTGTTCCCTGGCTTTAAAAAACAAAACTTGAATTAATTTTAAACAACAAACTGAATTTGTTTTCCCCACCTTCTTCCAGATTTGCTCGTTTCTCTCAATGTCCTCCAGAAGAGAGCCAAACTTGTCAGGTAAGACTTCCACCAGTCTGATACAGTCCTCCCATCCCTCTTCGGGGAACCAACCAAATGGACGCTTCCTTTTGCTCTTCTCGAGTGCTATGTTACCCTAAAGGACAGAAAATAAAACCTATATATCATCCAAATAAAAAGATTTTTAATTTAAACAAAAAATATTGTCATAAGACAATCCCTTGTTCCCTAACTGGTAAGAAAATTAAATGATTTTTAGCCTTTCCCAATAAAAAAATTCTGTAAAGCTGTGGATGGAATGAAAGTGAAAGGATTATCTAGATTTACTGCCATTTTGAGTATCATGTTTATGCTAAAAAGTATATTCTCTGACACATCACAGGCGGATTTCCCTGTTTACTAGGGAAAGATAAATATGTCTTTTCAAATGGAAAAGAAGCTTAGATGTGCAAAGGATACATCATCACTTGATGTATTGTAACTACATTGTATGTCAAATTTGAACACGATCATCTATTTTGATGTACAATTATTTGGCCATTGATAGCGGTATTACACATACATTTCACAGTAACTCCGAAAACCTTCTCATTACATTTTTAAGTATGAGAGAAAATATAATACAACATGGGTCTGCTCCATGGAAACCGATATCTCAACCCTCAGAACAGTGACATGTAAGATTTTACAAGCAATGTATAGCACGAAAAAAAACTTTGATTTACCTTAATGAAAAAGTCCAGTTCAGCCTGAGTCACTTTGCCTCGGTCCTGTTCTAGTTTGATGGTGATTTGGAATGAGAACATTAACTTGTGTTTCTCAAAGATACCAGTACAGCCATAGTTGTACATGTTGTGGGTCAGGGTATCCATGATATTCCTCAGACGCTTCTGTAGGATACTATCAGGCATGGACTTTTTGAGTGAGTACTCGAACACCTCAAGGTAGGAGGCCAACGAATACTGGTACATAGTGTTGATTGAGGACATTTCTGCCAGGATGAAAAACAAAATGGCTCCACGTCTTGCTGCAGGTCTGTATCCATCACGCAGTTTGTCAATGTCAATGGCTGTCTTGGCTCCTAGCTTGAGTTTCTCTGACACCTATTTCAAGAAAAATTACAGGAAAAATTTTCATATCTTTTCATAAATCTGAAGACTGACCAATATCAAATGCAAAAAATGGATGAAATCTCTCTCTCTGAGGGAGAGACAACATAAAAAAAATCAACTCTGAAGGACAAATGTTAGAGAAAATGATTTCCTGAGGGACAAACATTGTAAATCATTAATTCTACCTGGAGCTTTTTCCCACTGACATTTTACACCTGCGGGATCAGACAATGTTAAATAACTTGTGATTTCTCTGAAAGTTTTACCTCTGTGGCCTTGGTTTTGGTCTCTTCTAATGTTTCTATCAGTTCAACATTATCCAACATGTTGCCCTGTGACTGGGCCAACTCTCTCAGTAAAGCATCCTCAAGATCCTTCAGTAACTTTTTGTTGATGCTTGTCTCCTGGATCAAGCGTTCTCGCTGCTCCTCAAGCTCTCGGCGTTCAAACTTGACAATGACACTCAACAGCTGGTCTTCAAGACCCTTTGGAAAAAGATAAAATAAAAAAATCCTAAAATCTTGTCAAATTATAATTACAATCATGAAAAATGTTTGTGTTCCAGATGCTTATATCTTAGAATGCAAATTATATACATGTACTTTAAACTAATATTCCATTTTTAAGACAATATCAATAGTGTCTCATATGACAACATGTAGTATATTGTACTTTCATTGACTTCTTGTTTTCTACAAAATATTTTGTTATCAGTTCTGAATGTCAAAACACCTGCAACGTTTTACCTTAATACAAAAAAAGGCTGTATATTTGATTGTTAACCAAACAAAAGCAACAGATTAAGGTAAAAAATAAAAAAAAATTATTTATTTAATTTTTTTTTTTTTTTTAACTTTTGAAAAAAAAAATGTTGATTTTGACATGAAAATCTTGTAAAAGTACAGTGGAACCTTTGGGACTGAATAATTTGGCCGGTTTGTAGAGAGTTCCTGGTTGTAGAGAGTTCATTGTTATAATATTGTTGGAATTGGGACTTAATTATTTGACTGAATTAGGCAGAGTCCAGTTTAGACAGAATCCACTGTATAAAAATGAAACTGAAATTATAACAGCATGGAGCAACATGATCTTTCCCTTCAGTATATTTTACAATGGCTGAAATCAAAGAATCAAAGACAGAGAATGATGGTAAGTTGACAGATGGTAAGTGTATTTCTCATACCTTGAGGGTCACAGTGTAGTTGATGACCATGGACTTGCCAAAGACATTTGGAGAATATTTTGGGTTTGCTAGCTTGGTGTTAAGGTAGAGTCGGAAATTTGGGTCATAGTCCACTTCCTTATCACCGAGGATGACAAACTCACGCCCTTGTCCACCTGTCAATTTGCAAGTAAAAAACTAAGTTTGAGATATAATATAAAACCTATAATATTACCTGATATTCTTCCTTTAAATGATGGTAAAAAGTTTGGCCTTTAATTCAGAAGTTGAAAAAAAAAGTTTCAATCTCTTTAATGAAACCTAATGTATCAAACATATGTTATTTTTTTCTTTTGAAAGCTTATCTTTAGAAATTGAATATTTATCTATTAGCAAAACTTGATTAGGTAAACAGAAGGAAAACTTACAACATAAATACTATTTACAGCTTAGACAACAACAATTATTTTTTTTAATAAATCATAATTTTTCATAATTTAACATTTATTGAAATTTTCAATATACATGCAAACATAATGTGATATTTTCAAGCCTCTTCAGTGCATTTCAAACATAATGCATTATAGTAAATATGCATGACATTGCAGGATATTTTTCACAGTGAAAAGAAAGCAATAATTAAAAAAAAAATAAGATAAAACAAACAATCAGTAATAAATAAAAATAAATAAATACCAATATATTTTTTTCTCTCAGATTTCATGTTTTATTCTGAACATACAATAAAATTTCATGCAAGATACCTCAATATACAACAGAGAACTGTTACCTACCCCCTGTATCAGGAAATAGAAATACATGAAAGTGTTAACAAATGTTTATCTAGTTTCCATAAGTTCAAAACATGACAATATTAAACTGCATTTCATTAAACTTACAAACATAAAATGAACCAACTTTATGATCAAGAAATTGTGTTCAATAAAACCAGAATTCATTGTCTATTTCAATTTGTGTAACATTATTTCTAAATATTGTTTAAAAGCCATTTTTCTTTGGACACTAATACCACATAGATACCAAAACTAATGAAATGAAAAGCTTGTCTATAATAAATAATAACTTTAAAAAAAACCTCACAACTTTTTATCTACAGGGACATGTACTGTATTTTCTGTAAGTTTATTTGACAGCACAACTAAGATCAAAGTTGACTTAAACCCCATTTACTCAACATGACATATTCTTTAAATATACATTACAGGATTCTGATAATTTTGACAATAATGACAAGGGTAGAATTTATATAATAGGATATTGACCCCAATAAGGTTCTGCAAGAAAGTAAAATGCATTTTTGTGAAATTTCTGACATTGCAAATTATATGATAGAAATATGATTTCTTTCAAGAGTTTTTTTTCTGTGATTTTGTATTAGTACTTCAGGTTGGTTTGTTTACAAGTTATAAATGTGCATTCCCCCCCAACCTTCTCCAAACCTCTAACAAAAACTTACCTTTGATGTTTTTCTCCAGGACATTGTCAATAACAGGGTCAATGTACTCATCAACGTCTTTAAACAGGAACGGGAAGCCATACTTGATGGCGAGCTCAAGCTGCTTGAGGAAGTCACTGTCGTTGAATGTGCACACCTGTAATGGCAATGTATATCAAAATCAATAAAATCTACACTTGCCTATACTATCTACTAATTTACATATCTCATTCCTTTTAACCATATGTCTGTAATAGCTATCCCAGAAGGAAAACATCTCAGTGTCAGGTTTTCCAACATGTCGTGTTTAGATATAGTGTACCAGATCAAAATAAACACATACACTTGACAGTCAAATATAATTCAGTCTGAAACTCGAACTCGTCCAAAATAATTTGATGCTTTATACATGTATGAAAGTTGATAGAAATCCCCCAAGGAATGAAGCCCCAAGAGGTCTGACAATGATTTTCTAAAAATGGTAACAGTGACCTCGACCCCAACCCTGGAACTCATACTTGTCTATGATATTTTGATGCTTAATGAGTGTGTGAAGTTTGAAGAGAATCCCCCTAGGAATGAAGGTGCCTGAGCGTTGGCAACCTTTCACAGAGACAGAGATAAAAAGTCATAGTGGAAACTATACTCCCAAAGGTTTCACAGGTACGGGACTGACCAAGCCCCAACAATACACAGAAATCCTATCATACCTTAAGATTGTTTTGTTCTTCCTTGTGCATTATCCACTTGAGCGCCTGTTGTTGTGGATCGATACACATGGGGAACCGACTAGCTCGTGTGGTTAGGATACCGTTTTGTATAGACAGCTCATCTGGAGGTAGGCCTTCAGACGTCCATCTGTTTACAATTAAAAGTTATTTACAGTCAAATCTATGTCAGAAAACCCGAAATCAACCATCTGTTGATAGTAAATTGCACCAAGGAAAATTCTGAGATCAGACATCTGTTTAAACTTACACCTCACTTTACCACTTAAAACTTTATATTTTCTCTTTATTTTCTGTTTCATTACTGAATAAATTTAATTTGAAAAGATACATGTTTCTTTCTAGAAAATAAACTTAAATCAGTTTGACAAATAACTTACTTGCTGATCTCGACATCGTTGGTCAGAAGTTCCTCAAGTTTGTATGGATCACTGATAGGAATCTCTCTCGCATGTAGATCCTTCTCCCAAACCTCGTACACCAAATCGCTACGGAACTCCCAGCTAAAGGCACCAACGTAACTTAAGAAGGCCGAGCCAAGCAGACAATCACCTAGCAACTTGACACGCTTCTTCTTAAGTTCCTCAAGGTCATTATTCCATCTAGAAAAAACGGGAAAGTTGTAAATTTCTAAATGATCCTGAACAAAATTATAATTGCTTGTGTGATAGCATTAACATTTCAAAAGCTAGAAATATGGTCATTTCATATGACAGTGTGGTGAAATATTCTAAGATTAACCAGCTTTACCAAAAATTAAAGATGGTGTCAGACCTGTTTAAACCCTCAAGACACAGAATAAAACAAAAGACAGAAAGAATATGTACAAGTTCCTCCACTTATTAAACCAGTAGACAGTGATAACTACTGTATGACTGGTCTATAAAGATTGTCTGAATTTAAATACCCATCGCATATTTCTACATTGAACGAAAAACTTAATAATATGCATGTATATACATGGCCATCGGTTCCACGACATACATGAAATTAAATACCCCTGAACAAGCCCAACAAATCAGAATAATTATGAAATATTAGCCCCATTAAATTGAATTATACAGAATGATATACATGTCACAAGTGACTTACCTGACATTTTCATGTCCAAGACCCGAGATAAGTTTGTCGGCTGCGATCAGACGACGTTCCATGATAGCGGCCTCTTCCTCCAGCTTCTGTTTCTCGGACATGGCCTCCTCATACTTCCTACCGAGGTCATCCAGTTCCTTCTCAAGGGAGGCGACTTCGTTGTTGATTTTTTCAAGGTCACGTTTGGCCTGATGAAAACTTCTTTCCAATTTTGCTACCTGTTGATTTTGAAACAGATCATCAGCCAAATCATCTTGCTTATGGTGTGAAAGTTATCATAATACAAGATTTTCTTACAAAAATTCAAACAACACAAAGACTGATAACAGAAATTTAGATAAGAACAGTATATGGCCATGGCTGGCCTGTTGCTATGCAACACTTACCTTGTCTCTCTTGGGTTTGATTTCCCTAGCAACCACACAATAGCCCATCACAGCCTCCACAAATTTCAGCAGTCCAGAACCGGCCTTACTAATGCTTTTCATTGCGTCTAATGTCAGACTCATTGTTTTGTCACTCATTAGTCCTGAAGAAGACAAAATGAGGATAATTTCTAACTGATCAGCCATGCTTTGTCAAAATACCAAATTCTCATTCAAAGTACCAATCACTTCTATGTTAATTAATTCAGTGCATGTTGTTTGATTGAAAATTTTGTTACCTGACCACAACAATCACAGCTGTCAAGTACTGAATTTTCCTTGACCACTAACCTTTGACTGCCTGTGTCTGTCTAGTAGTAATGGCGTCAACATCCATCTCTGTGAGTGACTTTAGAAAGTTAGCTTCTGCCATCATGCCTCTTGCTGACTTCCATGATACCTCTTTAATGCCCCGTAGTACCACAATACACTCGCACACCCGCTGTACCTCTGGGGGAGGCTTTGAGAAAGATCTGATTTCTGTGACATCACCCTTGTCGAGGTCCTCTAAAGCTAGACGGGCAGCCTCCAGGGCAGGCAAGGCCTCGGCGAGAGCTTCTTCTGCTTCACCCTAGAATCAGAAACAGACAATTCTTTTGATATTCTATCACATGAATGCCCTGTTATTCAGTGAATATACAAATGTCACAATTATGCACATTACACATATGTAATATAATAGCTCATTGTTTTCATTTTTTCTCTTTTCTTTTTCCACATCTCTTAAAGATTTATCACATCTAACATAAATCAGTAAAAATGGCAATTATCTCCAATTCTTTTTACCTTTTCCTTTACAATCACAACACTCTGTTCAGCAATTTCCTTTCCTTTAGCCTCAGCTAATTGTTTCTTCTCTGTAGCCATGGTGGAATTTTTCGAGATCTCTGCCAACATGGTCTCACAAGACTGGGTTTTCTCTGTGACAGCTACTTTCTGAACAGCAAGCCGTTCATTAAGAACTGCCAACTGCTCACTAGCCTCAGCGATCTTTTGTAAACCTCCAGCAAGACGGTCACACTGAAAATGACAAAGAACTTTTACTCAAGCTATATCTAACAAAGCGCACTGAAAGTGCAGGGCAATATACGCCTTTTCCATGCCACAGGGAAATACATTTCCAAAAGGAATAAAATATGGCCATGAAAAATTACTGTCTAATCAAAATGCTGCTGAAAAACATTATAATCAAGTCTACCATTTTTGAAACAACATAGTAAAAAATCTGAAGAGAAAAACGTCACAAAAGACTAAAAAGCCGAAAAGAACATTAGGCAACAACTGCAAAATATAATCAAGTCAAAAAGATATATGTGTACATTAATACTCTACCTGTGCTAGAATGTATTTGTCCTTTTCCTCCAATAGGCGCAGATATGTGTTGATAAAGTCGAGGTAATTTTTAGGTGTAACATAGTTGTTACGGCGGAGTCGCTGCTGAAACTTTTTGCTGTATTCACCGACACTCTGATGGACGAGCACAATATGGCTGACCACATTCTCACGGTGGTTGTCTGGGATCAATGCATTCTACAACATCCATAGAAATTTATCCATCAAATATTGTCAAAACCAATTGCTATAATTTTATTTTTTTGTAAATGAACAATATAAAATTCAGGTTTTTTTTTTAAAACTGTATCCAAACCTTTAAAGTTTTTTAAGCAAAAGTGAAAGTTTCTTAAAATATTCATCTTAATAACATAAGTCAAATGCGAAATTTCCTAATATTTACTATATATAATAATTACCCAGTGTGGCATGGTACTGAGAAGAATGGAACTGGGGTTAAAGCACCAATTCATGTTATAGATCATTTCTTAACTTGTATCAGTAAAAATGACAAAAAAAGTTAAAATTTAAGAAATTTCTAGCGATAATTATTGTAACGATGTTGAAGGATAAGTATAAAGATAAATAAACACCAGATTACATTTGTAGTTTTCAAATTGAGTATATTTAAAGGTATAAGAAATCATCAGTGATAAAAATAATTGGACAGGAGGTGAAAGTAGAACAAAATATACACTGTTTGTCTGGATTATTTTGTTGTGTAACTTACATCTGGTGCTATGAAGACACTAGCCACAGCCAGTAAAGCCTGTTCTGGCCAAGGGAAGAACCAATCAATATTAGCACAGTTCACCATACCTATTAGAAAACAAAATATCATTGTGTGAATCTGGTTTGTAAAATAGATACAGGTGTACCTGCTGAATTTGTCCTTTCACACTGAAGATTTAGGTTTAAACATACACAAAACATGATTGCGTTTGAGAGTCAATATCATCTGATCAAATTATTAGTGATAAAGTGAATTCTAAATCTAAAATTCTTGCATCACATTAGTGAAAAAAGGGGATACAGGTCATAAGTAATGCACTGTAAACACACATAATTAGTGGTAATTGTATTTTAGAGTTTTCACGTTGAAAGTAAAGCATTAAAAATGATTGCCCTCACTGGAGTTTCTATAAGCTGCTTTTATAGTCATTATTGGGGATGCACAAATTTATCATTTTGCTAATATGCTAAAATAGTGATTCCACCAAATTATGTACATTTGCAGTATTAGCATTTGTACATGCAATATTAACTAAACTCAATTCTGTAGAATTGATAAATTAATTTTTCTAACAATGAAGTTCTTTGGACAGAAAAAAACAACACATGCAAGCATTGCCCATTTGATAGTGTCACAAAATCTTACCAGGGAAGTTTCTACAGCGAGTCCTAAGAGCGTCACCAACGGGAGACATTGCCAGGACAACATGGAGGTTGTTAGCACATTTATTGACGAAGAACTGCCACACCATCTCACGGGCATGAGGACAACCTGCCGCTATGGCTTCATTACGTATCTGTGGGCCAAAGGTCAAAAGGTTAATGAAACAGTTTGGCTGAGTTGTATTTACTGTCTTCAAAAAAGCCAGGGTCACATAAATTACGGACAAGTTCTACTGAAATGAATTCAGACTGACAATATCAATAACCACTGGTTCCAAACTGTTTCCTATCAGAACCTACCTGTCCTATGATAGCCTCTTTCTCCTCATCCAGGTAAAGAGCAGGGACCATGCCAGAGGTGAGCATGTTGTTGATGAGCTCGAGGAAGCCTTCCTCTACAACATGTTGATCTGTAAACAGAAAGACTGTCTTTTTGTTCTCAATGCCGAGTTTGTTATACAGAACCTTCAGATCTTCTCTAAATGACTGCTCATTGTAACCTCTACTGAGTGTTATCTCAAACACCTCACATCCAGCTGTGTATGAGGCGAGTTTACACAGACTTTGTTTACCACTGCCCCCTACACCCACTAAAAGGGCATGACCATTGTCCATACGAATTACACGATGTACACGTGTCAAATGTTCTAATGCGTCCTCAAAAAGCACAAGTTTCATGGGTGTGTTACTTTCGTTGTACTCCTCCAAAATCTGGAAGAGAAGAAAAAAATATTAATCGTAATTTTACTCTTACAGCAAAAATAAACCAAATTATCAATTTAATCAAAGCTACCAACTCATTACAGAAAATGATGTTTTATCTTCTGTATATTTGATACAACCATTTCATCTTTTAGCTAGAAAATTTAATCTCAACCAATTCAAGTGTATATTAAAAATGTGGAAATTTTATTGCAATATAAAGGAGTTCTGAAAAAGACAAAATAAGTTATTATGACTTTTTCATGATATATGAGCTAATTCATGATGCTGAAAATAATTAAATAGTAAAGTTAATTTGATTTTGGCCTTGACAGGTCATTTAATGGTAAAATGATCTTGAATTCCCTAGAAGGTAATGAAAGTCAACTTGACACTGACCTCATGAAAATGTAACTAATTAATCAGGCCTTGACCCTTTCAGAGTTTATCTCACAATAAATCCATATCTGATAATAAAAAGTTGGTAATCAGAGTAAGAGATATGTATTAATCCTGCGGGCTTATTGTGGCCTAACTATAGTGATGGTCACATGATCATTACCTCTTTAAAGAGTGCCTGTGAAGCATCATAGTCCTGTATGTCTTCATACAGTCGTGGCTCGCTCTCTTCCATGGCAGTACGATAATCTCCAAACAGGATTGGGTCTTTCATTACCAAGTCAAGGTAACTCTTATAGTTATCTTCTACCAGTGTTTGTAGTGTTTTCTAGTAAAATATCACACATAATTATCAGTTTATAACAGCAAAAAGTAGCAATCTCTTCATATGTAAATTAATTGATAGTAGATTTTTACTTCAGATAGACAGACCGAGAGCATCAAATCATTGTGTGATAAGATTCTATAAATACATGTTAAATATAGTAACCTTAACCTTGCAATCCTGAAACAAGACTAATCCAAGGTCATAACAGACTTTTGTTTCAAATTTGATAAAAGTCCCTTTAAGTACCTGGAGTGGTGATACTTATTTGGTACCAGGTAGGACGGGGTGGGTATTTACAACATTTCAACATTATCACAAAACAGTTGTCAATCACGGAAACACTTACCATAACATTGGTTTTGTCTTGGTCATTGATGAGTCTGTCTGATATGACGCGCATACATTCATTCCTCCAGACACGAACAAATTTGTCTGGCTTATTGAAACGGTCGGGCGTGGTGAGACACATGCCCTGGTAGATACGTGACAAATCACGCAGGTTAAAGATGTAATGGAACTTAGATGGAGTTGGCGGCAGGTCCTTAACCACCGTACTGAAAATAAAATCCATTTCATAATCAAAACAATTTCAAATGGAAAAAAAAATATAACCAATATGTTTCAAAGATAATTCTGTAAAACAGAAAAGTTCATATACCATGACCTAAAGATGAAATGACCTTGTTCCAACCATCAAAACAGAGTTCAAGGTTTATAAACAGGTTCAACAATGTTGTTTATGATGTATGATTGAGAGGATAGGAAGTGATTTTAGTTCTGTATTTATATATGACAAATATTGAATATTTGTTTACCTGTATAAATATGTTTACACATGAACATTGATTCTAATAAGTAAGTGTAAAAACTTAGTTTGAAGATTTGTTTACTCGCAAAGAGTTTTTTTATTTGTTATTATTGATATACCTGTAAAGATTTGTTTATCTGTTATGACTAGTTTACCTGACAGTATAAAGTTTACCTGTTATGACTAGTTTACCTGACAGTGTAAAGATTTGTTTACCTGTTATGACTAGTTTACCTGACAGTATAAAGATTAGTTTACCTGTTATGACTAGTTTACCTGACAGTGTAAAAATTTGTTTATCTGTTATGAAAAGTCTACCTGACAGTATAAAGATTTGTTTATCTGTAATGACTAGTCTACCTGACAGTATAAAGATTAGTTTACCTGTTATGACTAGTTTACCTGACAGTATAAAGATTTGTTTATCTGTAATGACTAGTCTACCTGACAGTGTAAAGATTTGTTTACCTGACAGTATAAAGATTTGTTTATCTGTAATGACTAGTCTACCTGACAGTGTAAAGATTTGTTTATCTGTAATGATTAGTTTACCTGACAGTGTAAAGATTTGTTTATCTGTTATGACTAGTTTACCTGACAGTGTAAAGATTTGTTTATCTGTTATGACTAGTTTACCTGACAGTATAAAGATTTGTTTATCTGTTATGACTAGTTTACCTGACAGTGTAAAGATTTGTTTATCTGTTATGACTAGTTTACCTGACAGTGTAAAGATTTGTTTATCTGTTATGACTAGTTTACCTGACAGTATAAAGATTTGTTTATCTGTTATGACTAGTTTACCTGACAGTATAAAGATTTGTTTATCTGTTATGACTAGTTTACCTGACAGTATAAAGATTTGTTTATCTGTTATGACTAGTTTACCTGACAGTGTAAAGATTTGTTTATCTGTTATGAAAAGTTTACCTGACGGTGTAAAGATTTGTTTATCTGTTATGAAAAGTTTACCTGACGGTGTAAAGACTTGTTTATCTGTAATGATTAGTCTACTTGACGGTGTAAAGATTTGTTTATCTGTTATGACTAGTTTACCTGTCAGTGTAAAGATTTGTTTATCTGTTATGACTAGTTTACCTGACAGTATAAAGATTTGTTTATCTGTTATGACTAGTTTACCTGACAGTATAAAGATTTGTTTACCTGTTATGACTAGTTTACCTGTTTACCTGACAGTGTAAAGATTTGACTAGTTTACAGTGTAAAGATTTGTTTACCTGTTATGACTAGTTTACCTGACAGTGTAAAGATTTGTTTACCTGTTATGACTAGTTTACCTGACAGTGTAAAGATTTGTTTACCTGTTATGACTAGTTTACCTGATTTGTTTACCAGACTCTGATGACTTATTTACCTGTAAAGACTCATGGTCATCTTTGTGATAGTAGACACACAGTCCTGGATGTCCTTGGCGAATGGTTGACAATGACCTTGAAGGATTGAATTGTAGATCAAGTACAGAGACTCATCTGAAGGGAATGTCATATTGAACACACAGAAAAGGGAGACAAATCTTGGGTCGGTCTCGTTTCGACCACCACCAGCGATACCCATGGCTGCGATGTAACCAATATCCTTCATGTTCTTCCAGTTGAGGTCTTTGCCTCTGTCATAACAGCCTCCTCTCTCAAGTAGGAGTTTCAACAGAGCGATTGGCTGCTGAGTACCATATGTGTCCACCTGTAAATAAGGTGAAAGATCAGGAGTAGATTTTCACTTGTGATAAAGTCAAAGGTCAATACATAATTTGTACAGTATTAAAAATTCCCTGCATGGCAAGTGACCAGCTCTCAATTCAGAATATTGTTCAATTTTATTTTTTGTACTTTTGAGTGTTTCAAAAGAGGGAGTGATTTCTCCAAACAGAAATTCATAAACCTTTAACTATCGTATCCAATAAAGTTTCATTTAAAGAAATTTGGTTCTTACAACATTTAATATAATATTTGGGGATTGAAAATGTGCTTAAAAGTTCAGAAATTCTATAAATAAAGATATATAGCAGTTATAATGCCAAAAATTGGAAGCCCTCGTGTTATTTCAAATGAATTTTAATTTTTTTTTAAATTAAGCTTTTTCTTATGCTTTTTAAATCATATGAAAATTGAAAGATCTCAATTGGCTGTACCTGTGGCATGTTCATGTCATCAATAAAGATAAGGAGTCGTTTGCCTGGTGGAGGTCCATATGTGTCCTTAGTTCTCTTCTCTACATTGGCCTCCAAGTTACGTTGTACATCAAGTGAGGTTGTACGACTGGAGAAGTTCATGTTGAGTAAAAGCTGGGAAAATTGAACAGAGAAAACCAGATAAAAGTAAAAATAACTTGACATTGCAATATAAATGTACAAATTTTGAAGACATACCATCACCCAACAGAACAGGTGTTAGGAAAAAATAGTTAACATTGATGTTCCGATCAATATTCATCATTATCTTTCTCCCACAAGGAAACTTACATGTGTTTCAGAGTCCATTGTTCGCAGGAAGTTGGATGTAGTAGCAGACTTCGATGTTCCGGTCTCACCGATCAACACGACAGGATGTTTGATGCCTACCATGAGTTCCAGCAGCCACGTGGTACGCACAGTGTCCACAGTTGGGACGAGTATTTCATTGAATTTTTTCTCTGGGGCATGGACGTAAGTCGGGACTTTCTTGGACCATGCTACCCACTTCTTTTCATCATTGTCATAAAAGTATTCATACAGGGTGGGTTGGGTGGTGGGGATTTCACCTGTAACATCAAGGATTAACTTCATTATATACTTTTTGGGTCTACAAAACCCCAAAGCAGACCTAAACTGAAAAAGGAAAGCCTTTGAACCATAATTCAAATGAGACACAAGAAATGATTATCATCAAAACTAAATAAATTGTCTTCTTTCCTTCTAATATATGAATACTAGGAAATTCCCACATCCCACACACCCTCCTTACACTTTACTTCCGTCAACCTTAATTTGTTATAAATAATTGGACAATAAAAATCAATTGATTCAATGAAATGGTATTAACATACAGCATGAAATCATAAACTTTGATAACTCGTTAAATTTAGCTAAATTATAAAATTGTTAATGAATTGATTCTCAGTACAATCCTAAATTTCTAGTATACTTGGTCTTACAAACTGCAATAAACTTAAACTCATGACATACCTAATCCTGCCAGTGTTTTACCCTCGTCTACAACCTGTGTGAGGGATGCAAGGTTCTTAACTTGGGCGTCAAACTTTTCGCGGCCATCCTCCAGAAGAGCCGCGCCAATAGACCAGTACAATGCTTGGAGGAAGAATGCCTCTAGCTCATCGGATTCAAGGTTCTCCTTCACCAACAGGGCATCCAGCATGTTACTCAGCTGGGTCACCTGTTAAACAATGAAAGAAATCTTTTATTAGTTGAATTCAATATTGAAAGAGTCACCAATAAGGTTGTACAATTACATACAGTAATCTAGTGCCAGAAGATGTTGCAGAGAGTGAAAATGATCATAACTCCTGGAGTATAAAGGATGAAAAAATTGAAAAAAAAAAACCCATGAATTAATAATAATAATATTTATAACCACACCACAGCCCATGATGGTAAAAACAAGTGGGTAATTTACTGGAAGAGGAATCCTAAACCCATCTTTACCATGTTAAGGTTTGTTAGTGGTATAATGGTCTTCATCTTGTCGCCTTGTTTTCCGTCCAACACTCCTTCAACGACCATGTCAATCAGAGATGGTACATATTTATCATACAGTCGCTTCATTTCGTCTCTCTCTGTCTTGCTTGGACGACTGTTCATCCATTTTACCCAGAACGGTTCATAACCAAGATTCTTTGGATCAACGTACACCATTCCACACCTAGACACTGTAGCTGGGGAAGCGTACTGTAAGTCAAACACCTGCAAAATCCAGATATACAGATTTATAATCCAGCTGAAAGAATATAACAAAGAATTCTGTTAAACTGATCAATAGAATTAAAATGAGCACGGGCTTATCTATAACCCCCACCTCTACATTTTTTCTCCTGATCATAATCTATTGAAGGGTTACTCCATTAGGGGTTCAGGATACATCTTGTACATAAGCCTTTTATTTCAAAAGTGGTCAAGGGTAACCTCTGACCTTTAACTCTGACCCATGACCACAAAATTCTGTCGAGGGGTAGACCTTGGAAAGGTCATGCTACCATGTGAATATGAAATGAATCTGTTAATGAGTTCATGAGATATGCTGGACACAAGGTTACCTGTAATAGACGCACGGATGCACTCACAGACAATGTGATAACAATATAAACAGTCATATATATGCCTGAACTGAATTATAATAGTTTAGACCTATTGATATGACCTCAAATTTTAAGGTATAAACACAAGTATGTTTCAGAATACATTCTGATGAGAATCATTGTCTGGATAAGACATTAACATTGACACAACTATGATTGGATATGTGAAAAAAAAGTTTAATTAGCATTCATGCCTCTTTGATTTGTAATTTTTTAATGAGAAAGAGCTAAGGAATATCATAAACAATGACCAAGACCAGTGATCAGAACCCCCCCCCCCCCCCCCCCCACCAAAAAAAATTGGTCATATTGCAAAAATCAACTCAACTGTTATGAATACAAAACAAATACAAAAGTGAATAAACAAAAAAGGTTTTTTTTTACCTCAAACAACATAGCACAGTGTTTCTGTAGCCGAATTCTCTCTCCATTGGCCAGAGTCAAAAGACGGTTGTCGTCCATGACAGAGTTCATGTTTTCTACCCAAAGGGCGTCAACGTCACCATCAAATACAATGTACTTGCGTTCCTTCTTGTCAGTAGGTCTGTTGATGTCTCGGAAGATGTTAGAGAGAAGACCATCTGTCCAGTCACGCGTAACAGGATCCAGGATACCGTACAAGTCAATCACGCTACGATCCTTGGGATTGATGACAAACAACTTGGTAGACGTTCCCAGTCTGTCGAGACAGTATATTTTCTGTTAGTCATATTTCACTTAAATGTATGTGACTATAAATTATAGTTAGAATCAATCAACAGAACTAGCAAGTTACTGCAAATGCTGCGTTTTCTTTTTGATTTTCCACCAAAACGTTAGTTAAGACAAGATATATCTCTTACTAAAGTCAGGAAATAGACTATGCTTCCTTTTTTTATGAATTTTGTTTTCAAGACATCTCATTTCCATAAAGATATTTCATCTCCACAATTTCGTTCTACCCTTCAAAATAGTGAAAATAAGATACCTTAACAAAAAAATAACACTTATTTGTTCAAATGTATTCATTGAGTATAGCTTTATAGTATTGTGAAGTAAAGTTAGATTTTTATTTAAGATCCTCTTTCCAAATATTTTTTTATCATTTTAAACCTAATATCAGGTTTTTACATTAAAGAATTTTAAAAGTCAATTTTTCTGTGGCTTTATTTTTTCAATGAAAAACAGAAATTTACAGGTAGAACAGGTTTAAGGTAAATAAATTTTTTCTGACATTCAATAACGAATTAACCTTTTGTAATAAAGCCATACTTACTTAGTCTGTGACTGAGCCAAGGTGTTGATGACAACAGATTTACCTCCCCCTGTTGGCCCGACGATCATGGTGGTATGTCGAGTCATCATAGTTTCATACAGCTGTACAACTTTGTCCACCTGTCAATCACATTATTTCTCATTACTATCTATTTAAAGAATAAAAAATTGGACATTTTTTCTCATCATTTTTACTTTTGGGTATTTTGTTTTAAAATAAATATGGTTTATGTTCATCCTAAAGAGACATGTTTTTAAATGTAAGAAATTCTTAATAAATCCTTTTTAAAGTCTGATAAATGGAGACAAAATGTACACAAAATTTATATAGAATATCAGTTTTTCAAACTCTTGATTGAAGACATGCCTGTAAATACTGTGTCTAACTTTTTGTTTTAGCTGAACATTAACTCATTTAATGACAACCTTACCTGTATTGGAAGCATGACATATCCGTTGTCAGCCAGAACCTCTTCTACAGCATCGTTGAAGTTGGGGTAACGTACACGTGGGCAGTCAAGGCCTGGGAACAGATCACCAATCAGACCCAGGAACAGTGGTACATCCTCAAACACAAACTTGGGCAGGTTCATATCTCTCAGGGCTCTCATCAACACAACATCCTGGATACAAAAAGGAAGGCAAGTTATAACAATATACTCTTGACAGAACATATTAAGCACATTCTCCTGTGACAAGTTTATTCATTTTTCATTCAAAATTAAATTATCATGCTTTTTTTTTTATTCAAATAAATTTGACCTGGTTTCCATGACGATTACATAAACACAAATAATTCTAACTAGATCTTTGCACCCGTTCTTGTTTGATCTTTATTTGTTGATCTATAAAATGTTATTAATAGTTTTCTTCCCTTCTTCCTGTTTTTGCTCTTAATAATATGAAATTTAAAAATTCCTGTAAGAAATAGCAATATAATCTTCAACTCTCATCATCCAAGATGGCCAGATGTCATCCATTTTGTTTTTCTAATCAGTCCCAAAATCAAGAAAGATGTCTTGCTTTTCTGATCGGCCAAAAACATTCAATCCAATACTTGAAACTTACCTCTGGAAGTTCTGCTGAACTTCTCTTCAGCTCACCAGCCATGACCAGGACAGATTTGAGGGCACGAAGACCGAAATCATAATGGTACTGTTTTGACAACTGTTCCTTGGCTAATTTGTACAACACAGTCATCTTTTTGGCAAGGACTTTGGCCATTAAGAATCCTTCAGAGAACAACATGATCTCACAGATCTGCTGAAGATCTGGTACAATTACCACCACGGGACGGAACAATGCCTTCACAGACTCAGGCAGCTCTGTACGACCAGCATAACCAGGGTTCATAGTGATGAAGATTCCAACACGTAGATCCAAGCTAATTTCTTGGCCTTCAAACTATAAGAAAAAGGTCAAATGCAAAAGGTCACTCAGACTACCAATTAAAGTAATAAGTATAAAGGAAATATTTAAATCAAAAAAAAAAAAAAAAAAAAGAAAAAGAAAAAGTTTTCAAAACTGTGCTACCTACAGTTGCTACAGTATAATTATGCAAATAATTTTGAAGAATTTTCAAGAAATTGAAAAAAATAAAAAGAATACTTACATGGAACTTTTTGAGTTTCAGAATAAGGCCATTCTGAATTGTCTTCAGTTGAGTGGAAATGACAGACAGTACAGACACATCAATTCTGTTGAATTCATCAAAGCAGCCCCAAGCACCACACTGGCACAGACCAGAGAAGATTTTCCCCACGGCCTACAACAGGGAGAAAACACATACACCATCTATTAAAAAAAAATTCTTTCTGAAATTTTTAAAAATTTAAATGAAAAAAATGGGAGGAAATATTTATTTTACATTCCAGTTTCAGGACATATGAAAAATTGTTTTTCCCTGTTTAAAAATTTTCTTTTTAAGATATCATTTATTGCTTTAAACACAGATATAGGATGGGTTTACTTCAATAATTCTAAATGGTAAGAATGTAATTTAATTGGGCCAAATCATATTACAATTCAAGTTGCAGGATAACAAAGATAAATTTTTAAATCAGCATCTTTTGTGTTGGTTACCTTGAAGTCCATGCCCTCTCCACAGTTGGTAACAACACAAAGTAGACCCAAAGCCTTTGCCAGATCCTTCACTGTCTCAGTTTTACCTGTACCGGCTGGGCCAGCTGGAGCACCACCAAGGTTCATGGATAACGCCTGTATAACAGGAGTTATATGTAAAGTCAAAACAATTTTGTTGAATCTTTTTGACAATAAGAATTAAATAGTAAAAACAACTTCCACAGGAGAGATAAGACTTATAGCTAGTTGTATTGACGAGCTGAAATTTTTTGTGATCTGCTTTAAAAATATTGTGATCTGAATTTAAAATGTCGCTGAATACATACATTCTCATTATATCATGCATTAAATTTTCACAATCATGTTAATGTACAGCGAAATAGCAAAAATGTTGTCCCTGTAAAAATAACCAACTATGTGGTAACATCTCATAAGAATTCATTATTTTATCCAAATAACTCAGTCCACAGAATAAATGTAATGGGATGTTCCTAGAATTTGAGTTTATGACTTCAACTGTAAATATCACAAACATTTGAAATAATTCTATGCAATGCAGCAACTACACCATAGCAAATTAAAAGATTTCTTCTGAGTGATGGGTAATAGTTCTGTAGTCATTTGCAGATGTGAAAGTACATGTAGTCTGATGATATTTTTCCCATGAAATTTTGTCCTAATTTGTTGATTAATTTCATTTTGTGTGGCAATACTTGATGTTATTTCAGAGATGGAGAGCTCCTGCCATCCATATTTAGGTCTATACCTGTGTGAGTGTTAGGTAGATTCTGTCAGTCAGTGGAGTGATGACCAGTCTGCCGTTGAGACCCATGTACTCATAACCGTAGCCAAACTCTCCTGTACACTGTCTGACCACTAGTTCATCTGGCTCCTTCTCCCAATAAAACCTCAATTGACTTTCCCACTCAAACTCTTTGGCATCCATGATACTGGAAATCGAGTTAGAGAGAGCTTAGTTTTTTTTCCAACCTGATAATCTTTTTTTATAAAAATTCTTACAAAGTTGTGACTTCAATTTAGAAAATCTTCCAAAAAACAATCCTATTTTGGACATAAATATTGACAGTATTTGATAAAAATTCTGAACATTTTATTGTTTGCAACTTTTACTTTTACATGTGTTCTAGACAAGAATTGGATAATAAACTAATCAAAGATGACAGATATTCAGACCAATGGAAAAGGCACCATCTTACTTCTCCATTCTCTCTCCCCCTTCTTCCCCAACCCCAGCCCTATTCCCCAAAAATGATGTAGGGTTATAAATTTGAAAGTGTAAAGAGAAAGACAATACATATGTCTCACTATTACTGTACATTTTGATGCTTTCAAAAGCCATATCCCAATCATGATTACTGAAAACACAAACCTGTCACGGACAAAGCCATCAATGATGTCACGTGCATGCACATCAATGATGAGGACAGTGTTGAATTTGGCACGATCATTTTTGGACAGAGGTGAACGAATCTGTACAACCACCTCGTTAATTTGTTTATGTTGCTGCTTAGCATAGTCCTTCATGGCTGTCTTCTGACCTTTCTTGACTTTACGGAATGTGTCCTCAACTTCCCATGTCCACCAAACCTGGTTACCTGCCAAACATATCATACCTTGGTATCCCAACATCCAGTCCACTCTGAAATATAAATATCACTTCAGGAATTAAAAGAGTGAAATTTATTGTAAAGATTTAATTCTATTCAGCCAAGAATATTTCATTTTTTTTACCAACTCTGCCAATAAACAGAAAAACAAATACTGGTATACATTTCACTTCTCCAAACTCATAAAAATCAAATTAATTCTGTAAAACTGATAAGACACATCACTGATTAGATTCTGTAGATTAGTCAGACCTTTACAAACAGATATTTGTGTGATTTTATTTTCCACAAGTAAATATATACCTGTTTTTGCCATCCTCTCCATAGTAGAAGACAGCCTCTTTTGTGATGAGACGATTGGTAGATCTCATTTCCTCTAAAACCGATGTCATCCAGTCTTCTACACGGCCTTCTGCAGGAATGTTTGTTCGGAACTCCATCACCTCTCCTTCAGCGGAGATCATAGCTGTAGCGAGGGTTTCATTACTACCTCCTTCTTGGAATCTGAGCGAGGCGATGTTATCATACATCTACACAAATATAAACAAGAAATACTATGAAGCATATTATTAGTGTTATATTAGAATATTGTAACAATCGACTTACCGGGTATAACACAAGCAACAAAAGCTGTCACATTCAAAAGGTTCTATTTTTGCAGACAGTTTGAAAAATATTTAAAAAATGATGATAGATAGGTATTACATGCCATGATAACCTAAATGTCAATAATATGTATAATTCCATGACCTAATTACAGATATATTTCATATACGATGACCTAATTAAAGTTAAATAAGTTTACTTACCTTTATAATGTGTTCTTGTACACAGTTTGGATCACTGCTACCCAGGATACTCAGCAGTTCATCATCAGAGATGAAGAAGAAACGTGGGAAGGCATTACGTTTAGAGTCGAGGTAGTCATTCAATGACTTCTGACATCTCTCCAGTCCTAAACTGAGACTCTCAAGGTCCTGCAGGCGGTTAGGAGCATGACATGCTGTCTTGATGGTTGGTGTCTTGTGAGTGTCTGTCATGATCTGTACACAAAGACATTAAATTTTATCATGTATTGAACTTTTTCTTCTTTCACGGATATAAAAATTGATGTTTTTGGGGTTTATGACCAGTAAACATGAGACCCTGGAGGGATCTTGGTGCTAATTATTCCAGGATCTACTAAATAGTTGAATCTATTTCCTTTTTTCCTCCTATTTTCTCTCAATTATTTGTGGTATTGACTTGAACTAATCATAAAAGTGCACAAGGGAAAGCAATATACAAATTTCAAAATGATCCCTGAAGTGATTTCTGAGAAAAAAAATTAATGAACTTTATTTGTCAAAATCATAGATGGCCTACTTTTCATCTAATTTGGTGGAGTATTTGATGAAAAACATTGTTGTATAGCAGGTGATCCCATATATTTTATGTCTTGTTAGGTAAGCAAATCCAAACCTTTGCAAATGGTGGGTGCACTAACCACTGAGCCATCTGGCTATCAGTATTTGAAGTTACCTTTTTAAATGTCTTGTCAATCTGATCAAACTTTTTTGCCTCTTCTGGCAGCTGTGAGCGGATGTCTCCACCAATGAAGATCCCTTCTAGGTACATCCACTTCCTCTGGACCACCATCCAAACCTAAAATAAAAGTACCAAACAACATATATTTAACCAGGAACAGATAGGAATTTCAGTGGAGTTCAATTTGATAACCTTTTTTCCACATGAAAAATAATGCAGTTTCATAACTGGCTAATATTTTCGATCACACAAAATAAAAAATAACAAAAAATTCAGGTGACAGAATTTCAATTGTTGTGACTGACTTACATCTAAAACTTCAGAAACCAGAGATAAACTCTTCTCCCAGTTCTGGACAGAGTTTGCAAATGGGCCAATGAAACGTGATGCAGCCATACTCTGCAGATTCATGGCACTGTCATCAAGGTTTTGAAGTACATCATCAATGGCTCCTAAGATGTAGCCGCGGTTTGAAGTCCCTTTCATGTATGGGACAATGGTGAACTTCATACTACTCCACATTTCTTCTACCTCTTTAACACCCTAAAAATGGAAGAAAATTCTAAAAAATTTCACAACTGCCAAAATGTTATAAAAAATTGGCGAAAAAGCAATCAAATGCATTCACAGAGCAACAGTCACAAATCTGACACCCACATCTAAAATTTTAAAGTTGCTGAATAAAAAAAATGCAAAAAAAAAGAAAATTTGAAAGTCAACTTTTGGAGGAAAATGGCACTGACCTTTTCAATACCCATTTCCTTGCTGGCTGCTGTTACTATTTCTATGATTGTCTCTTGGAAACGCTGTAGCTCCATTGCAAATACATTAGCCAGAGTAAAGGTTTCTGGGTTGATGTCAAACTTTTGTCCAGTCTTGTTCATCAACTCCTTCCAATGGCTGTGAATAGGAGACAAAATAAAAGTACAATATATGTAAACATTATTAAACCCCATCAATGTGCCATAATATAATGATCTTATCGAAAAATTATAAAATAGCCTTACTGACAAAGTTTTCTTCTAGACAAACTTTATTTCTGTTTGGGATTTATATTCATGCTATTCCTAGGTACTCATAATTTACAAACTCATAAGTCCAGGAATTAAGCAACTAAAATCTCACAGAAATGTTCAGTATTATTCATCCATGAAATCAAAAGCATTCGAAATGACAATTTTTTGAAAAACCACAAAATTTGGGCAGCGTGAAAAATACGAGTTTGAAGTGTTATTAATAATCTCACCGTTCTCTCAGTGCTTCGTGTTTGAGATCAACAAACAATGGGAGAGAATCGCGGAATTCCTTCATCTTTGATTCGAGGGCACGAGCAGCCTGTAGAGATTTAACATCGCGTGGCATTTTTCTGAGCTGTTTGAGGAAACCTTCGATTCCATCCTGTAGCACCTGGACATTGAGGTTGGACCAGAGAGTTTCGGACCATCCCTCTCTTGCCGCCTAAAACATATCACAAAAAATACATAGATAAAGGAGTTATTTAAATGCTTCAATCCAAACATGATGTTTCTGTATGGCATGCAGCAATTTCACAATAATGAAATCAATCAAAGTCAAGCAGGATATGAAGTCCTGCACACAACAAAAAAAGTTTCACAAAACATTGTCTTAGTGCTCCTACTTCTAGTCTCTTTATGTCCAAACACTTAAAAATCTAAAAAAAAGAACTTACAGATTGAGCCAAAAAAGAAAGTCATTGTAAAATACATTTTTTATTAAAAATGTTGACAAAATTGCAATTCAAATTTCAATTTGAAATGACAATTAAACACGAATCAACATGAATTTTCTAAATGCACCATAATACCTTTTTATTCTACCCTACAATTTGAAACTTTTCTCAGAAACTCACCATTTGTTCTTCATACAGTGCGTAGACCATCTCCAAACCCTTCATCTGTTTCTGTACCTCCAGTAGGTCAGGATACATGGTGATCGGTAGGTCAAACAGTTTCTCAGCATTGGCCAGTTCTTGTCGATCAGTCTCATACTGGGCAACTTCTCCGCGGAATGTTTTCATCAATTCCAGCCCTGGTAAAGTAAACCACCACAGATATATTTAAAGAAAGCCTAATTCATGGAATAGAACTTTGGGGAAAGAATTCTGTAATCCAAATTCAAAACTGAAACTTAAACTAACATGATACCACGCAAGAATCATCATTTATAACAATATTTGCAATCCTTTTATATCCCACAGCATTAAACATTGTCTTTATTAACAAGAAAGTAACGCCCTGACTAGTGAAGTGGTACTGAATGACATAGGTGGATTAACCTGCACATTTTCCCTTTTCCTAATGAAATTGAACATAAGTGACCTGTTTACTCTGGCCCCTAACTAATAGTGACACCAAACAAGAAAAACAATAATGTTGTCAATTCTTTTTTAATGCTAACTTTGGAAAAAGACCAATGCTTACTGATATTCTGTCATTTCTTCAGTTTATGTGACATTTTCTTTTTGAAAATTCATTCAAGACATTCAAAATATGATATTTTTAAGGATTACTATGAAACAAAACCAATGCTTGCTGATATCCTGTCATTATTCCACTTTACTAATAATCAATATAAAACTTCATTATCAAAATACACAACTTTTAAAACTTTTTAAAATTAAACTACACAATATCATGTGATGTTTAATAATCTGTCTTACCTTTGTCGAGATTGGTACCAACTGCTCCGGGACCTTTTTCGTAAAAGCGAGTCGCAAATTCCTCAAGGTCTTTCTTGAAGTCTTTGATCTGATCTTGTGTTATCTAGATAAGAAAACAACATATTCCATATAGCTGCTTAATATTGCGGGGATGATATTTTTGCTATTTAGCAGTACATTAATGTGACCATGAAAGTTTAATCTGTGAGATAATAAGATATGTGTAGTAGATGTCCTTTTATATCCAGATCAATAAGTTTGAACATATTAGAAATATAGTTTGAAACAAAATTTAAAACAAAAAATGCATACAAATTTTTTACCAATAAAAATCATCAGCTATACAATTTCTTAAAAAAAGAAAAAAAAAACAATTAAAAAAAATAATAAAGTCAAAGAATGTGAATGCTTTATCAATGCTTTATCAATTTATCACAAGGAATTCAATAACGGACACAGAACTTTCAGGTGATGATATAGACCACAGTATCAAAGACAGAAAGATCACTAAACTTTCAAATAAACTTATAGAGCATCTAAATATTCTGTACACATATAATACAATATACAACGTTTCTATTCATAATTCATTACCAAAGTGACCTACCTCTGTAAACCTCTTCTTCACCATAAACAGGCTAGCGTCAATGTTCTTGGATTTCCAGACAAGGTCATCCCAGATTTGTGGAAGTTTTTGTTGAATTTCCTTTTCCTCATCTGTAACCTCTATATCATACATGGATAGAGTTCGATACCGCTCTTGGATGTCTCGGATCTTTGCCTCCACTTCTAGGGATATTGTCTTGATATCAGAAATCGTTGTCAGCACAAACTTCAGATCCTCTAGACTACTGGGGGTCGATTCAAGGTCATCTGACTTGTCCTAATAGAGAAATGATGGTAAAACATTGTTTTATTTCACATGTTTTAAATTTGAAATTGTATTAGATCAATTACATTCTATCAAAAAAGTAAAATCTTGCAAAAATATAGAAGTTTCTGAAACTTAATCACAAAATGAAATTACCAGTATCTGATCAAATCAACACATTAACAAAAATTTTAGGTTAATATTCAAGCACTTTACCTGACTTTTGCAAAAAGTTTTGCTCAATCAAATAAAAATTAAAAACAAAATTTTTTGCATTTCAAAAGTATTCAAAATGATAGTTCTTTGTAGGTAAGGAAGCTTACATCCAGGTTGTCCCTGAGGCTGTACAAGGCTTCTTTGGAGGAATCCCTCAGAATCTTCCCAAGATGAGAGATCCATTGTTTGGCATGGTCCTTTACTGAGGACGCAAGAGGCCCCATATGAAGGCGAATACATTCCTGGTCCTTGACTAGTGGCAAACCTTCAACTTCATCGATTGTCTTGTAGTAGTACTGAAGCTTGTCGTCAAAAGCCACTACACTAGGGCCTTTCTGGTACCACTTGTCTGCAATGGTTTGCTGTATGGAAAAGCAATTCAATTATCAATCCAAAATGATGTTTTTCTTTAACTGATATCAGAAGCAATAAAAAGAAAAAAAAAAGGAAAGAAAATTATGCCCATAATTTTCCAGCGAATCAAAAACTACAACAATAATAATTCTAATTCTTTGATTTCATGGATTTATATGCTGCAATGGTCTTAGCCGAATTCAACAAAATTTGATATCACTTTTGAACTTTGACAAAAAATGAAGAACCAATTCAAAGTGCTTTACTAAAACATGAAGATTAATGACATTTAGACTCCTGATAGAATTAGTCTAAGAGAACTGAAAGCAATACAAGTAACCAAGATGTTATACTGAGGGAAAGACTACAAGTAACCAAGACGTTATACTGAGAGAAAGACTACAAGTAACCAAGACGTTATACTGAGAGAAAGACTACAAGTAACCAAGACGTTATACTGAGAGAAAGACTACAAGTAACCAAGACGTTATACTGAGGGAAAGACTACAAGTAACCAAGACGTTATACTGAGGGAAAGACTGAAAGAAGAGAAAAAAATTAAAAATGAAGAAAATCTGATCCTACCTTATCCACCTTCCATATGCTGCGGTACTTCTTCCATCTGTTGAGGTAGCGTGTCATGTTGGTGAGAGTATTTTTGATGTTGTTTTGGATACCCTGTACATAGTCGATCACTTCAGGGCTTACAGAAATGTCAGTGAAAAAACTAAACACATATGGTTCATCCTCTCCTTCTACTTTCTGAGGTGGTGTCTCTATACACGTTCCATTCATCCAGCGTACGAACATCTTTGTCCTATTCATGCAGAAAACGGAAAAATACAGCTTTTCATACAACAGTGATGAACTATAATGGAATTTCAGGTCTAAAAATTTCACAGATTTCTTCCCTGTTTTTCCTCCTCTTTTTGGACTATCAACCAGATATGCTTATAACTAATATATAATATTCAAAATAGGCAAGCAATCTTCAATATTAAACATTCAATAGATGAAAGTCTTACCCCTCCACACAGTCACGAACACACTGCAGGGTTAATTTGTACACCTCATTAGCCTGAGGGTGAAGCACCACATCTGGTGGGGCTAGGAGGGTCTCCACTTGAAATAAAGGCCGTTCTGACCTTAGAGCAGTCTCAAATCGACGCAAGTTGTTCATGATTAGCTATTCAACAAAACAAAATAACACTTGTTTAAATAAAAGTGGTTCGGAATTGTTTAGAAGTAACTTTCAAATTACAATTTTATATAGAAAAAAAAAACGAAAAAAGATTACAGGTTTACACAATCAAATCTATCCTTAGACATATAAATATTACAAGTGTCATAACTTGTCCAATAATTATCACAGGAACATCAAACCTTTCTTATTCCTATTTAACAATAATCCGTATTTACAACTAAACAAAAATAGCAAGTACATTATTGTTTATTTTTCAAATGTGGCTTCAATTTAAAACCAGAAATTTCATTTGAATAAAAAAATAGATATTTCTGTCGTGAATGAATGAACCCCTGAAGGAAAGAACACAATTTAGTGAAGAGTTTTACTGACAAACAGAAAATCACTCTAAATCAGTAACATTTACCTTAGTGAGTGCATCATAGACTTTGCGTTCCCAGTAGGCATAATACTGACTGAGTTTGGGCGACCGACCTGAGTTGGTATGCACCACCAAGCCCTCCATCTTGGTCAGAAGAGGGCCAATGGCACGATATTTTCTGGCTAGGATTTCAAAATCTTTACTGCGCTCTTTCTCCACATGTTCGTAGTACTCCTACAAGATATATACGATCATACACAAATTTTGATTTCAACTTATTCTGTGGTGAAACTTAGTATACTTAAATATTTCCTATATATATTTTGTCCATTTTCTTCAACATCAAATTCTCTCATAACAAATGTTATATCTGATCTCTCTCTGCATCAGTTTTGTTGGATTTTAAGATTATTATTAAAATCTGGAAGAGAAAATTGCTTTAAACTACAATTAACCTTTTAAATTCCACAAATTTTAGATATTAACCTGGATGTAGCACAACTGAGTTCAGCATAAAACAAATTAAAGTGACCGGAACAGAGATAGGGTTATTGAAATATAACTACATTCATTGACCTAAGGAAATATCAAGATTTGTTTCATACAGAAAATCATACCCTAAAGGGGAAATGTTGATGTACAAGGTAAAAATATTTTTGTATCTATCAGTTGACTACTGATTAACAATGAAATCCCCACAGATCTAACCATCAGCCTTACCTTACAGCTTGGTAGCATGTCAGGGTACTTTGGTGTCGGCCCTTTGTACAGGTTTGCATTCTCTATCATCCCTAATCTCTGGTTGATATCTTTGGCATTCTTCTGGATTTGGTTCACTAGGGACTCAAATTTTGCAATAGCCTGAAAAATAAATGTTTGTTTTTCTAAAAAATCATGAAATTATGAAATGAAAAATCCGTAAATAGATTAGGGATTCAAAAGATTGTAATACATTACTTTCTAAATAAACAGCAATTAGTTACATTATAGTGTGTTCCTATCAGAAATGATATTTGTCTAATCAAATAAAATACATACAATGTATCAAAACTGACATTGCAAAATTAATATTTTGAGAATTTCACACTCATTAAAGTTTACATTAATAAATGCCAAAGAACTCACAGCTCCTGATTTGAGGACAAAGTCATTGATACCCAGCGAGTTCCAGTTAAGACGTTTGGACCCTGGTCTTATGACACGACGCAAATCCCTCATGTGGTCTTCTAACAAGTTAGTCTGAAGAAAAATTTCACAATATGTTAAAAGATGACAATTGTTATTATAATTGGGCCACCTTTTAAAAGGTTTAACAGTTCAAATCATTCATATAAAAAAGATCATCCAAATACCTGGCATGTATTTATTAGGTTTTATGACCACTAAGTATGGTCTTTTGGTCTTTCAGTGGACAAAGAAATGAGTAGAGAGGAAATTGTATGAAGTGATGGGAGAGAGATAAACGAAGAGTTTACTTAAAGACTGTCTTGTATTTTTGTACTCAGTAATTCTTTTGGAAAACAAAAATAATAATTTCTACGTAAGTTCATGAGTTATTATAGGATTAGTCAATCTTCAGTAAATTAAATCTGCTAAAATATTAACTGGAATAATTGTGCTATTTATTTGTGTTTTATACGGTTTACACTTTGTCTTCCAAAGAATCAGCAGAAACTGCAACAATTACATCTGAAGGATCAAAGGGTGGGTGAGGGTGTGTATACTTATCTCTGATGAACTGAGGGAGGTCAGCTGTGGCTGGAAAGCTGTATGCACTTACCTCTAAGGGACTAAAGGATTTTACTTACCTCTGCAGGGTCCAGGGAGGCCAGTAGTGTATGGTAACGCTCCAACATATGTTTCAACTTCTCAACATATTTTATGTATTTTTCCTCCTGGTTAAAATAAAACATCTCAGATTAATCTTTACGAGTTACATGATAATTCAATTTCTGTAGAAAGATAAATTTTCTCCTATGAAAATACCTTGATATTATTTTTCTAAATCAATAGATACATGTATATGAATGTCAATATTTAGATAGACTACAAGCTACAGAATTTTCCATAACTCTTACAGTGATCAATTCTCCATCACCAGTTAATGTACATCTATGTTGAAAACACCCTGGCACATTGTTCGAATCCCAAACTTAGGATTGAAACATTGGACCCTGTACATTATTTCAATTGTTATTTAGACATATTTTAAACATTTGAAAATTATTCAGGAAAGTGTTATCACCATGAGAAATTGATAAAGGTCCTTATCAAGCTGATTGATCTTGAATACATGGAGTTCTCTACCTTCATTGAAAATATTGATCATGAACTTTAAGTGTCAGTTGCCACTGCAGCATACAGCTGTGCAGAAAATACCATCGCATACTGATCATGTGATATTTATAAGCTGTTGTAATAGCTTGTTTCCCGATTGTTATTGAGTGAATAAAATTCATTGAGTTCCAACCTGGAGTGCAACGTTTCTGGCCAGCTCAGGGACAGGGAAGCCTAACTGCTCCATGTACTTTGTCTCCGAAATAATTTCACTTAACATGGGGTCAAAGTCCACAAGGTACTTGATCTCAATTCCTGGAAAAGAATGTTTATGTGATTAGTAAAAAGTGGACAAACTAAACCTAATGCTTTAAAACAAACAAAAAAAGTTACAAGAAGGAAAAAATGTAATATAAAATTTCATTCACAATAATTGTTGTTATGCAGGAAGCATAGAATATGTTTTCCAGAACTGAAAACGTGAAAAATGATGGTTATATTATGAATCTGAGAGAGTGTATGACTGATCAATATTGTACTGAAAATAAAAATGATTTGTATCACACACAGTGAGTTACACCATGACGTAATGTCTACTAACAGCACATAATTATAATAACATAATGGACCATGACATCAATGTACAAGTAAATATTATAAATCATACAAGATCTATCGTATGTATACAAAGCACACCTGTCTCTATATAAGTATGTAAACAGATTCTTTTCTTATATATGTACTACATATACAGTATTCTGTCTTCTAATTCTTTATCATCCATAAAATTCATGAATTTAAAAAACACAAAATTTTTCATTTCTATCTAAAATTCAAATTGTGTCAACAGATTTCACATCAAATCTTTCCTTGTAAATTATTTAATAAAGTGCACATCTGATCTTTTTATAAGCTCAAAATGTCCTTATTAGGTCAAATACTGTACACCAAGCAGAATTTTTAAGGCAATTTCTTTTTAGGCTGTCAAGACTGAAGACAGAGTATATGATAAAAGTGAAAATATTTCAAAATCAATATCTAAAACTAAATCTAACTTCTATATATAGACCTAATTACTGTCAATTACTCTAAGATTTGAAGCAATGCTTTGAAGATTCTCTACCAAGAAAACTTTAAGACAAAGCCAGAGCTCACATAGGAAATTGTACATACACTTATACAGAAAGAAATAACCAAAATTATCACTACAACTTTTGCAGTGAATCTGAATGATACTGAAGAAAATTGGTCAAACCAAAAATAACTTAGGAGAGGTAGATAGATCTGTAAATAGTGCAATTCACCGAAAAAGTTTTCGAAGTGCTACATCAACACAATATCAAAGAAAGGCACTCAAACGAAACAGGTGGGAGGTAAAAAGAAGGGGAAGGCAAGGATATCACAACTTTGTACAATTCAAACATAAATAGGTTCAATACATATCACCAACTGAATCTATAGTATTTACAAGTCCAAATTATCCTGTACACGTAAAAACATAACTTGGCAAATTAATTTGATTTCGTGAACAATATGCTATTATTCATTTTCTTTTTTTGAAAATTTTTATTTTTTCAAAAGAAAGAACAGCATATTGCACAGAATTCAAACTTTTTTCTTTAGCTTTCTCATAAGCAAATAACCTTTAAAATACAGACAAAAGTGGTAAAATATCCTGAAAAAGTTTTCCCCTTCAAAAAATTGTCATATATATATATATATATATATAAAACAAAAACAATGTACTGATATAGATTCCATAAGTAACATCACAAATAACATACAGAAACACAAAATAAATTAATATATATAAATAAATAAAAGCATAATAACATTAATGAACTGGTATAAATGATTATATACTGTGGATAAATAATTTTATATAATTTCATAAATACATGAAAAAAACCCAAAATCCCTAATATCACAGGGCATTATTAGGACAACTGTTAAAGCACAGCTAGATACATTGGGTCCAATAAGATATGTGTCAATCTTTATTGTTGACAGACAGGAGACTTAAGAGCTACTGTTAAACTTCTTTTGTGTTTTATGTTTAGTATTTATTTAAAGATTTCTGCTGTTTCTGCACAAAGAAATAAACGTAACATGTACTTTTTCTTTTCTTAAAAATTAAATAATGACACAGAAAAAAAAAGAAAAAAATGGAGGGTGAAAACAATCTTAAAAATTAGCTTCTCCAAAACCATAATGTAGGTTATGATTCCAAATCATTACAATTTAACTCACTAGTACTGTTTGATTTAGAAAAAAAATAAATAAAAGAATTTGACATCTTTTTCATATACATGTATCATGGATTTGTAAATCAGAATGCAGTTTTGAATTACAGTCTTCAAAAAACATTTTACAGTATCAAAATTAAACCAAACTCAAAATTATAATTCCCATCATTGTCTATCATAACTTTGAAAAACAAAAAAAAAGGAAACTGATACTTTGTTGACCTGGTCTTTATACACAAATATGAAAATGAAGAAATTGGATTAAACGTCTGAAAAAGAAAGGTTTATAGTTCGGTGGAGGAATTGGGAAGAGGTCATTGGACTGACACAACTCAATTTTAGGTAAGTACACAGCAAACTGTGGACTCTGTAGGCCGAAAACAAAAGCAAACAGCCAAACTGTGTTATGTCTGATTCTTCAATAAATCCTTAAGGCATGTGTTTTTTTTAATTAAGTATGTGGTTTAAATTGTCAGTTTTTAAATGTGAAACTGAATCACATACACCATTTACTCATCTATTACTGAATAAATATTTTTATCAAAATCAAATAATACTTGATGTTCCACATCAAATTCCTGAGTACATGTGGAAATATGACAGCATCATCTATAAATATCTTATTAGTTGTGGCAAACATGTAAACTAGTCAGCCCTACCTTTCTCCTAATAAAAATAATTAAACGTTGTTTCAACAAACATGACCTTGAGATCTAATACACATAAATGTTATTTTAAAAAATGCTGAATCCCTTTGATCAGTTAGTAAATTATCCTGCAAGAAACTGCATTACTGAAATAAGATTGAGTAAATAAATTCTTGGTCATTAACATGTATTGTTTAGATTCGACAATGGGGAAAAAAGCCAAAGAGAATGCGAAAAACAGCTGATTCTCACACTATCAAAATCAGAATCCTCAACAATACTGATTGAAAAAAAAATCTGTATATATACATGTACTGTATATACACTTATCCAAAACTTTAAATTCTGTGCAAGAGGTGCATGAGCAGAAAGAATAAACTGTAGAGCTAAATAGAAAAATAAAAAAAAAAGTTTGATTGCACAGTTTGGCCATATTGCTACAAGTCTACTGACAGTCATGAGAGTCACACAAGTTAGTAGTCATCACACGGTTACCATGGTTACCATTATTGGTAGCCTGCTCTGGTTGGTCGGTCTGTGCTTGTTCTGGCTGTTGATTGGCTGGCTGAGTTGAGACCAGTTGAAGGTTTGTGTTATCAGTACCAGTTACCACAATTTCTGTGTTATGTAGCTTTACTAATCACAGAAAAAGGACATGCAAAATTGTTAATAACTAAATCTAACGCATAAAGGAGAAAATCAAATTGGTCAATTTCAACAAATTCAAGCAAGAAACATATTTTTAACAAAAGCAAAAATTTGAAATCTAAAAGCTCTGGTTAGGTTTAAATGATGCAGCAAGTGAATCTAGAGGAGTTTTTGTGAATGTTACAATGATATACACAGGTATAGGGCTCAAAGGTCTTCATAAAACAAAGTGCCTAACAGCACTAGAATTTTTATCATTTAAGTATATCTTTTTGAAAAGTAATAATGTGTTAAAAAATGACAATGCCATTAAAGACATTTACAGTAAAGTGTTTCTTTTAAATCAAAGTAATTTAGCCTGACTGTAAGATATTTTTGCAGGTCTCCTAAATCTGTTATGAAAAAGGAAATAAAGTTAAAGTATTTTTTTATCACATTATAAATGTAATTTTACAGAAAATGTGATTTCAATGTTGTTTTACATTGCATATGTGTAAGTGTGTGAAATCACTTCATCATATCTATTAGTATTGATATTTGTTTCAAGTTCATCAGTAATACTACAAAATTGAATATTATTATTAAATGTATTGTTTATCAAACTTTGTTATATTCTATTGTACCAAGGAGTTTTTGTAATAATACAAGTGTTGAATATATTTATATGTAAATATGTTTCAGATTTTCACAGATATGATTCTTAATGAAATGTTAATTATTATGCTAAAATATGACATCTTGTTAAAATCATAAAATCCAAATCTTTATCAGAATAAAATAACAACAAGAAAAATTTGATGAGTTTTAAAACATAGCCACTGATTTGAATGAATTAGACACTTCACTTCACACCAACCTTTCAATATAAAATGAACTCTTTTTCTAAACTCTCCCTACGAATCTCACCATACTACCAATCATATCATAGGAACTGGGTAAAAAAACCACAAATCACTGCACCATCCAATATCTGTGTTGGGACACATTGCAGCATTTCAAAATACTTAATAATGTTTGATGTCCTCTCCGTAACATAAGCACTTAACTTGTTGTTCAAAACACACCCACACATTCAAATGTTTAATTACCTGCTTCACCATGGTCATCATGGGCCTGCTGAGTCAGCTGTGAATGATGTGGTTTAACCAGCAGGTTTCGTTTTAGTAGGGATGGCAGGACAAGTTCAACATTTTCTTTCCAGGCTTCATATTTTTGGTCCTCATACAGTTTCATCTGTTTGGCTACACTCAGGTACTTAGCTCGTGCCTGAAGACAAACATAATGATATATGTCTGAAAGGTTGAAAATTCTTTTCCCTTTGTTTACATTTAACTATCCATGACTGTTTTTGTGACAAAAACTTGTCCAATTAAAGTACTTAAAATAAAATACCTTTTTCTGAGAAACATATCTATTTAATGCTATGGAGCGTCTTTATCACAGAGGATTGAAGAAGTTTATTGTAATACTATTTCAGAGCTGACAGTATGGTGTTAAAGTATGGCTGCTAAATGCGGTTTCTGTATTTTTTTTGTATTTCAATAATTGTGGATGCACAAATTCATCAATGTGTTAATTTGTGAAAATGATAATGCTTAAAAGTTTATTGTGCCAAATAAAGTTTCTTTATAATATTTTTCCTAAATCAAACTTTGACTAACATTTGTTAAGAGTGTGATGGAGTGTTATGTTAAAACACGAAAAAAGGAAATTAATTTTGAATGCAGACCAAAATGTTAATGACAAATATAATGTGTAACAAGTAGTTCAAAACTTTTCTAAATATTTTTGAAGTCAGAATATATCTAAATATCAAAAAAATAATAAAAACAATGAAGTACAGCATACTTACATGTTTGCCCATCTCGCTCTGCATCATATCCTCCATGGTGAGAAAACGTACAATGGTGTGTTTGATACGGTGGAACAGAGATCGCTCCCAGAAGATGGCTCCAGATACTGACGGGTGGTTTTTGTGAAGTGGTGGGTTTTCACGATGCTGTTGGAAAAGGTCATCTAAAGCGGACACCTGTGATAAAATAATAAGAAATTAGTAATCATAGACATCTGATAAATCAGCATATTAGGGAAATTTTTAATACATTCTTATGTGAAAGCTCCACCAGAGCTTGATCAGGACACTAGCAAAATTAACTTAATATGCCAAAGTTTTCTATCAAAACTTATAAAATCATAAATCATCTCATTTACCTCTGTGCTTACCAAAATTTCCCCTGTCAAGAATATTCTAGCAATTTTCCAGCAAGCAATTATATTTTAATCATTTCATGTGCTATTGTTACTGCCTATTATGTACATTTGGACCACACATAACCATAATAATACATTTTTTTTTTCTTTTTAATTTTACGTTTATATTTTTCAACCTCTTGATTTTCCCATTATAACTTTCCAGGACTGAAATTATACAATTGGTTCGTAGAATGAAAACAATCAAATTTATTGTTTACTCAAATCTATCCTTGATCTAGCTATGTTACATTAATTAAAAACTTCTGCAATTGCAATGAGCTTCATAAAAATAAGAATTTTCATACCTCTTTTTCGTATTGCACCAGAATATCTTTAAATTTCTGCATCATCTGAGCGTTGATAGCCTCCCTAGATCGGATATGTTTAAAGTTCTGCAGCATGTCAAAAGCACCTTCAGCTGACCTAAGGGACTGGAAAGACTCGTCAATAAACATGATGGCTTCTCCGTCAATGGAAGTCACTTGTTTTTCAAACTTGTCCATGATCTCTGATCGCCATGAACCTCTGTAGTTTATCATGAAAGGATCAAAGCTGACCTGTGAAAGAAATTGGAAAGATTTTTTTGAATATGAACTTTGATTATTTTACAACAGCTGTAAAACAAGTTATTCAACATACCTTTAACACTGTTGTCGGCATGGGTGGAAGCATTTGAGGGGTCTTAATGTGGGAAGCAAACAGAGTACCCAGGATAAAATCCATATGGCATGTGACCCATTACCTTTTCATATCCATTTGGGGAATCAGACCCTGGATGTCAAGGTGAAAGGCGGATGTGTCACCACTGTGCCTTCCAACCACTATACCTCACAGATTTATGAAAATTTCTTGTTTTCTTTGCTCTTTCTCATTTAGCTCAACCAATTAAACCATAAAACAATTTAAATCACGTTCCACATCTTACATTGGTTGTTCTGCCAACAATGTTAATTTTTTCCAAAGTCAGCCTACCTCCTCAAGGGGTTTCACTAAAGCATCCACTCGTAGAAGCACCTCCTCAATTCTCTTTGGATCTCCTGTCACAGCCTTCAGTTCTGGCCCAAAAATGTTGTAAAACTCCTCCAGTACCTGTTAAAATTCAAAATACCAAGAATTCATTTTGAGAATGTTTGTTTAGTTTGCTGGGTTTATTTTCACCTGAAGAGCCAAGATAATTTTGAAGTGGGGTCTCCTTCTAGCAGTTGGTGTGCTGGCTACCTCATTGAACAACATACACAAGGCCCACTACATGCCATTCAAAGTCTGTGGGATAGGGTGTCTTAACCAAGGACAATACAGCACAGAATAAACTGTAATCTAAGCCTGCTGAGAAGAACACACTGCCCTGAATAGGAATCATCAAACCACACACCCCTTATCTTCACATGAGTATCTTAAGTCTGATGCTGGCTGTCAACTGAGCTATTACAACATCCCCCACCTTTCCCTTTTCGGAGATAGACAGGAAAAACCTCATTTTCATACTTAACACTAAACTGTTTTACAGCCACAGGAAATAGTTTGTTGTAATTCATGTTATGTGATCAATTTACCAGAAAGAAACCTGTTCAATAGATCTCGGACCTCTTGAGTACCTACCTCAGCCACGTCATACAGATTTTGACATATGTTGGCCATGTAGTCTGTTCTCTCAAAAAGCTTTCGTCGGTCAAACTCCCACCGCTGGTCACGACCAGACGCTTCAATCTTTGCTCTCACATCAAAGTAAGACTCCTTCCATACCAGTAGCATCTTTTTAGCCTCCTGTGTCTTCCTCTTTACTTCCTCTGTACCCTCCCTAGGTAACACAAACAAGCCAGTTGTAGAAAAACACTTCTCTAACATTCATCTTCAGTCTTAATTTTTGTCCTGTAATGTCTTAATATATTAATCAGTGTGTACAGCACACTACCCTGATTATGTGAAATCTACATGAATATGTTTTAAAATATTGCTGTAAAAATCTAAAGAAGATTCTGATCTAATCCACTAGTATGGTATTCAGCAGAATAGCAACAAATGTATAAAGAGTCGAAAACTTTCAAATGAAATATTTAAGGATTTCACTCTTAGCAAATGTTATCAAGATTTTTCTAATGACTAATCTCTTAACTACTTAAACCAGGAGACAATTTTCTAGCAATTATATTCCAAAAAGTTCTTAAAATTTCAGTATTGATTGCTGGAAATAGCCTTGTACACTAGGAAATCTGATTTGTAAAATTGAAGAACTTAAAATGTTCTTGAGATTCTACAGTTCTGTTGTTTCTGATAACAATACTGAAGCATGTATGTTTCACAATGAGTACATACTTGATTTGTAATCTAAAATTTGTTTCATGTTATCTAAAGATACATCTAACATACTTGAATATGGTCCTTATGTTGATAACACGAGCCACACGCTCTGCAAGCTCCCACGCGATTCTTTCCATCAGTGGCACCATGCGTTCATCCTTATTGTAATGCCGTGAGATGATCCACACCATACGCAAGGCATTCATCATGGAAGGAATGGTTTCAATGACAACCTGAAATGTGGCACCGTGGGTAATGTTTTTAAAGTGACGCTCTAATGTTGACAAGAAGCGGACATTGTCTTTAGCCTCAACATAAAGTTTATTGAGTTCAACCTTAATGTCATCAAAGTCATTCTCCACGTGACTGTACACTTCCAACATCTGTGCAACCTTTGGAATCTTTAACTGTTCAGACAGCGCACTTAATGCTGCATTCCGTTCCCGCCAAAAATCAATTTCCGCCAAAGGTCCTTTACCGAGGGGCACCTTTTTCATCTGTGTCTCGAGGGCACCCCTAATACGTTTGGCCCAATCACCACATGTGTCTCTGATCACTTGCATTAAGTCATTATTTGCTAGCACTTCCTCTACATTTTCACCAATTTCAATCTCAGGGATTTCTAATCGCACCTCACCCTCAATTTGTTGTATAGTGCGATTAATACTTGAGGCAAATTTTTGCATGTTGATGAGGAACTCATCACGAAGAAGTGCCTTGGCACGAGACTCAGCTACATTGACCTTGTCTTTGGAATCATCTCCATCACCTTCGCCATCAGTCTTCACCGATGCCTGTGTATCTGTTCGACTAGGAGGACTAGTTTCCTTACGCATCTCACCATTCTTTTGTTGACTGTAGGACAACAGAGGCATGTAAACCTGTAAAATAGAAAAATCAAATTTATAAACTGGGAACACTTTTCATATAATTACTGTATTATAAATATATAGATATATTTGATACTACAATGATCAGGGTGATGTTGAAAAATGAAATATATGAAATACAAAATAGTGCAAAGACATCACTAATTATGTGAAATTTTATTTGGTCTTTTAATAAATCACTTGATTGTCCCTTTTATCATAATAAAATGTCTAATACAAGAATATCTTCCCCTCATGCAATTAAGCATCATAGTTTGACAATTCTCTATAAATAGCAATGCATTTTGTGACCTTGACCTCAGAAACATTAGTTCATCCAAGGTATTCTCAACCTTGACCTTTGTATCAACATTGCTCAATATCCCTAATAAATGATGTCACTGGAGTGATTGACTCAGCGTAGGATGGGACAAAACTGACAGAAATAGATTCAATATGTTAACCCAACCCATTTATAATTGAGGCATACAACCAATCACAATGATTCAAAATACAATTATGATGGCTACATCTAGTAATTCACTTTTTTCAAGAATACCAAATCTTAAATAGATTGAATAAAATATGGGCAAGTCATGAATTTCACAATGGGCTTGAAGTATTTAAAAATAGTTTAACTACACCTATTCTGAATGTTTTCCAAGCTTACTTCCCTTTACTAAAAAGGTTAAAACACAACTATGGTCTCTGACATATATGAAAAATGATCTATAAAGGTTTATGACTGACATTTAAATGTATCGACAGAATATTTACACATACCTGTGAGATGATCTGTTCCAACATGACAAGAGAGTGTCCGTTGAGGATACCAATCTCAAAATATGATGGCAGTGTTTCATCTGCCTCATCAGCACTTGATGGGAGAGGTACCATGCCTGGGGTGTTTCTCAGGAAATAAACGCAGTCCTGATCAGCCAGCTCCTCAGGCAAGTGTTGGTAACACATGTATAGGTATGTACGCATCACCTTCTGTTTGATGATTTTCTGGAGATAAAAATATAAAGATGCAAAATAAACAAAAGCATAAATTATAAAAAAAACCTGTTCAATTTTTACTTTTCAGTGCTATTAAAATTTTTATAAAATTATATAAGTAGAACATATCCTGGATTTTGTGACAGTGGTATGGATTCAGGAGAGTGAAAACAACAGCCAAGCATAGGATATACTTCTCAATGTGCCAGCCAAATTTGTAAAGCTAAGTTGAATGAACATCAAATGTCAGAAATATTATTTTCAAAAAATGAAATACAGTGAAAATGTACAGGTGAGAAACCCCGCCTCACTTATTGTTTAAAATCTTCTTTTTTTAAAACAACAACTGCACAGAATATTTGATGTTTTTTTGACAATGAGGCTACATTTGCTATAGTAATATGACTTACAGTTTTTGGTATCTTATTCTCCTGTTCTTCTTCCTCTCCTTGTTCTTCCCCTTCAGCAGCCTCTCCCTCGGGGACAGGTGTCTTGGTAGTATCTTCATCCTTCTGTTCATCACTAGTGGGTGTGTCCTTACCCTTCTTTCTTTTCTTACCTATAACACACAAATTGCAACTCACCTCAGAAAAAGTAAATAAATAGCCATAAAACTTCAGTTTCAACTCATCTACTGAAATTCAATCTAAAAATCTTGATTAACTTGAACTACATACATTGAAAACAAACTAATTGTGATAAAAGACATTAAATAGTGCCAATGTCTTCTGTGCTATCTCTTTACAATAAACAACTGCAGTCATCATGAGTAGTATTACAATGTATGTCTTTTAAAAACACAAGTATCAATGTATAAAAAAAAGTTAAAGTAACATCAATTTCTCTACATGTTCTTTTGGAATAAGTACAGCTGGAAAGTCCACAGAAGTAACACAGAGAAACACAGATTTTTTTATGAATAAAAATTTATGAATAACTTGGTATATGATCACACTAAATACTAAAACATTAAATTTACCTGTTCCTTTCCTGGGCGTTTGATCTTCCCCCTCACCAGTGCCGGTGGGTGAGGAGACTGGGAGGGGCTGGTCACCCCCTTCACCCTCTCCCTCGCCACCTTGCTGCTCACCTTCTCCCTCTCCAGCCTCTTCCTCCTCCTCAATACTTGGGATCTCTGGTTCTGTAAGTCAATAATGTCAATATAATCAGTAACAGGGTCAATGTAACAAACTAATGAGGTTATGATTATACAAGATTAAAAAGACAAATATTCCAAGAGCAGTGACTTTTGATATTACTGGTAGTTTTTAACAAAAAGGTTTGTTGTCATAAGTTTTCAGGAAATTCTTGCCATTAAATTTTCAAGAGTATTTGAAACTATATGACCTTCAGAATATATGTAAATCCATGCACAAATTAAGGAATTCTGCAAACTGGGTACATACTTCTTTGAAAAAAAAAAAAATATTGAAGAAATTTAAGAATCAATAACAAACTATTTAAATTCAACATATTAAAAATATACACTATTGCATAATAATACCTTCATGCCATGGCATACGCACCTGAATTGCATGCTTTTGAGAACATGAAAAGTCTCCAGGATATATCATATAATATCTTGTAATGTATATATAAATATTAATGCTTTCAAATAAGGAAAAAAAAAGTCCGAAGTTCTAAGATGTCTACTTGAATTTGTCCTGAATTGAACACCAAAATTCTATTGTGGTTCTATGTAAATACAATTAATTACACTGCCAGAAAATTCTGGCTGATTGTTTTTGGACAACAGCCAACTAACTTTGTTAGGTAACAGTCTGTACTAGTGTACACATTACTGGTACAAGGTTAACAGTACATGACTACTGATGACATTATTGGTACTTAATTCTTCATTTACTTTATTTTACAAATTTTCATACACACAAGGAAAATAGAAAAATGACAAAATATTACTGGAAAATTTATGTATGGGTAATATTTACAAATTCTTAATCAATATTTCATGGCTGTGTTTTATAAGGCACAAATATTTATTGTCAGTCAGAAGATTAAAATATTTTGGGTAGTTAAACAACTTTTTCTTTGTTTTTTTTAATTATTATTATTATTATTTATAATACATGTCAGCAATTGCTACTTTGACACTTGGTTCCTTAATAATTGCAACTAAAAAGTTGTGAAGGCACATAAAACAAAACATTGGTATGGTTGTTAACTGAAAACAAACAACATTTTTTGTAACTGTTTAAATTTCAATATAATCCTTCATTTGATACTTGATTGATTTTAAGTTTAAAAACTGAATGTCATGTGATCTTTCTTTTTAATATATCCAATCATCTTTGATGGTGGAAAGGCTTTCAAAGTTTGTATCTTAACTGTAATTCCTGTTCAATGCATTATTATCACCTCAAACATAGCAAAAATAATAAGGTACATCTGTCTGTATAAAAACTATATTGTGCCAAGAATTAATCTACAATTTGATGGCAATATGACAATTATCAAATATTACAGCCCAAACATCTTAATTATCCAATTAATATAAATTATACATAAAATCATCAATTTATTTAATTCACTTAATTGTGTATCATCCCAAAAGCTTCTGAACTTAACTAAATGAAATGAAAAAAAAAAGTCAAAATCACTGAAAAATCACATCTAAAAAATTAAGTCACACAAATTGAGAATCATGTCACACAAATTGAGAATCATGTCACACAAATTGAGAATCATGTCACACCAATTGTGAATCAAGTCTAGCTTGTTTAAATTTTCAAATATTAACTTTAACAAAAAAAAAAAGTTCAAACACATAAATTCCGATGAAAATGAAAGAACATATCAATAAATATCAAAGATTTCCACAAGTGCTCTAATTACCAGTAAAACACCATTCACATTCTGAGTCATCTGATTCTACAAAGGGTTCACAACTCATGAATTATGTTGTATATGAAACGTATTTGATTTTAAATCATGGGGAAAAAAAGCAAAATAGAAAGATATTCCTTTAGTGTAAAGCTATCAAAGTATCGATAGTACCGAAACAGGCAATATAATTATATCGATATGAAAAATACCGATTATGTATCTTGACATATTGCCAGGAAGTTAAAAAGTCTGGGTTTTTTTTTCTATATTTGACACACAAATGAAAGCAGAATATGTCTAATTGATTCTCAGCAGTTTACCTTTTTTTAATATTTCAAATAGGATATATCAAAATGTTTTTTTTTTTTTTTTTGCACTCAAATTGAATAGTATGATATATATGGGGATAATTTAAATGTCAGTTCCTGTTCCTATTGACAAAATAATTATATGTAAACATAACATTTGTCTTGTGCACCTCAGTATTGATTATCATACCAATACAAAGAAAGGTTATTTGGTAACTGCATGAATAATGGTCGATAATAAAATGGTATATGACATTTTGCTGGAAAAACAGTTGGTTGTCTTAAAGAGTGTAGTTTACCATAAGCTATCAAATAACTTAAAATTAATGTTTCATCAATAAAATGCAGGTACAAATGACAGCTTGATCACGGTGCACTTTATGTATATAAATGTAAGGGGATAATTTAGCTGGTTGGATTGATGCAACAGGATGAAAACTGGTCACAGTCTACTCCTGTGTTCAAATTTGACTTGGAGTGGCTCATCCACTTCCCAAGTTTTCTTAGGCTCCTATATATAGTTACAATACAAATCAGGGATAAGACTGTCTGATGGACTGTTTGGTGTTATGACAACACAGTTTTATTTTACATCAAATAGTATTTCAGGATATATCCCAATCATCTTAGGACATGGGCACTTTTTTATCGACAAGTCACCACAAAATTATTTTTGTGTATTGTCTGATGTAGAAGTCGAAAAGTTGGGATCAATCTGCATGGTATTTTATGCAATACAAGGACTGATATTAGTCTCTGAGAAAACTATCAATTAAATCTCACTTAACCAAAAATAATTCAAATGATCAAATTAATTGTTTACCACATTCTACTTCAACTTCTTCCTCCTCTTCTCGTATGATTTTGTAGAAGAGAATAGAAGATTCATGTTCCTCTGGCGTATCGTTCAGAAACTTCCCAAGTTCGCGTTCCTGTTCACCGTCATCCCTTTCAAGAAGATCTTCAAACACGTCATTTTCTTTAATGTCCAGTGCCAGGGACACTTGTTTCCCGATCCACTCAAATCTTGGATCATCCATCTTTCCAGATTTCTTTAAGTTTTAAATATTATTTAGATTCATTTCTAGCGGGCACCGTTCATTTTTTTGTGCCACATTACTACTACTTCTATATCAATGCGTGCATGAAGTGCGTCATTCCGACATGTCTTTTTTCGTTTTCCTCTTGTTAATATGTGATAAAAATTTCAAATCAAACATGCATTGTATACCTTGTTGACATTTCCAATATTATTTTGGTTGTTCTGATGCAGAGTTTTCTCAAATTCTATCTAAAAAATATCAATCCGCTTATTTTGACGGGACTATTTTTGCGATTTGCTGCAAGTCGCCATGTTGTATAAAGCGGTAGCCAATGGTAACTAACTAACCATTTGGAATACCTCAAGTGTCAAGTTATTGAAAACTCCAGAGAACACCCATAATACAACTTTGCAAATGTCAGCGCCCATTTACCAACACCCACTACTATCAAAATTACGCGCACATGTTTACATTTTCTAAATAATGGACAATTTTGGAATAATTATCGCACTTTTGGTTTTCACGGTATCTTTAATATATTTTCTTAGAAATCGGATTGTGTTCCAAAGGATGATACGATTAAATTTTGATGAAACATTAAAAAAATGTGAAAGCCCAGGATGTGTCAGATGCAGTATGTACGACAAAGTTTTGACAGATGCTACACATCGTTTAGAAGATATGTATCAACTCGAGACAAATAATCACGATTTGCAACGGATAAAGAATTCACTTAAAAAGAATATTCCTACAAATTCTTCACAGAAACCAGAAGTATTTTACCTAAATGGTTTGACAGTTATGCCATGGTGGACCTCTAGCTTTCACTTTGCAGGTGATGTGGAAAAATTAGAAAATAATTTCAAGATGATTTGTGAAGAATTTTATAAGGTGAACTCAAATCCCTGTGCCTTATGGAAAGTCAACAACACTCCTGACGGTCAGTGGAAAGTTTTACACTTGGTAAACCAGGGTAAAGTGCAAAGGAACATGGTAGATTTGTGTCCAAATACATTCAATATTGTCTCCTCTCTTCCCTCTGTCATGACTGAAAATGTGTTTGCAAATATTGCTTTCTCTGTTATCGAACCAGGAACAGTAATTACTGAACATTATGGTCCCACAAACATCAGACTAAGGTGTCATTTAGGTAAGTTAACAATTATAAGGTAATTCAGTTCTTATAATGAAATTTGAAAAGTTAAATTTAATCTGGTGTTTGTATACAATTACATCTGCACTAATTTGTTACACTTACCAATTGTTTTTTTTGTATTCTGAATAGTCAATATATATTGTGTTACCCTTGAAGTATTTATGAAGATGTAATCAAAAGAAACATTAAAGAAAATAATTCTGTACAAAAATATTTAGAGTATTGAAAATTCAATATGATTACCAGGTAGATCCTCTGTAAATTAGAATATGATTTTAATGATGTAATATTAATTAGGTTAAGCCACAGGCATATCTGTTATATATTTAAAATTCATTATCCACTAGACAAAATTTAGTAAAGTAAATAATAATTTTTTTCTTGCATTGCTTAATAGCAAGTACCAGTTCTTGTAGTGAACTCATGGCTTATTGAATTTGTAGGTTTAGTAACACCAAAGAGTTGTCGTTTGTGTGTGGCTGGATCTTGCAGTCAGTGGAGACAGGGTGCATGTCTCCTATTTGATGATGCCCATCTCCACAGTGTAGTGCATGAGGGAGATCAAGACCAATGGAGAGCTGTACTGATTGTAGATCTCTGGCATCCAAATGTGACTAGATCAGAGAGATCCATCATCAACAAAATTTTCAAATTGGATTAAAATATATCAGAAAATACTTGAACTGCATTGTTTTGTTAGTTGTAAGTTGCTGGTAACAATTCACTTCAGAAACACTGTAGGAATTTGACCTTTGACTTTATGCTGTGATTTTGATTTTCAGAACGTAGATCTGTGTTATATATTACGTGTATATATCTTTTCAAAATACGTGTAACTAAAAATAGGTAAAGGGAAAAAAACGATCAATTTTGACATTTACCTGTTCAGTTGAGTTATTTTTGTAATGAACGCACATTCTTCTGAAAAGGTTTGCATGGATAACAAGAGGTGCAACAGGCCTGCATCACCCATCTGGTAATTAATGTTCATCACAAATGCAATCAATTTTCAACACAAATACAAAATTATGTACACGAATGACATTAAAATGGGGCACATCCAATCAACTTTAACTTCATTAATTTCACTCTGAATAGTAATAGATATGAACTGGATTATAGAAAAATGTCATTTTCATGCATCCTCCCCTAAAAAGTAGAGGGTCATATAGCATTGTCCATGTCCGTTGCATCCTGTCACATTTCTTTGTGAGCAACTAGCAATTTCAATCTTTGGCATGTTTTGGTCAAATTAATTAGTATTCTGTGGACATCATGTTTCAGGAGGTCAAGGCCAAGGTCATCCATTCTGTATTTAGGTCTCTTTTGCATAATCATTTGAAACAGCTGGACTGGTTGAACCCGCCATATCTGTCCAAAACTAACCCGCTGAATATCATTAGTTTTCAGAATTTCGGTATAAAGCAGGGTTTGTGCATGCACATATTTCTGGAAGCATAATGCTCTTTCGTATGAGTGAAATGGATGTTATCTTAATTTTGGTTCATGGTTTATGCTCGAAAGAGTTAGTGGAATAATTTCAGATCGCCTGTACCGTTTCAACTGGGTTATGCAAAAGAGGCCATAGAAAATCATCAACTGATTCCATATAAACACATCATGGAATTCTGTTAAACTTTATGCTAAGATCAAGAATGAGAATATTTTGGACATTATTGTTTCAGGGGTCTTTCTTTATTTGCTGGGCTTTGACCTAAGAATCCTTTATATCTTGCTTCATAGTCTTTTGGTTAATTAACAAAATCTTTTAAATGTTTAACAAATTTGACCTTGAATATGGTTCAAAGTGAATTTTCTTTATGAAACTTTGTCAGGCTTCACTTGAGAGATCTACATGCCCAATATCATGTTTCTGTTTGTTTTGTGAATCAGAAGAAATGGGTTAAAGGTTTTGACAACTTGACCCTGTGACATTTAATCCGGGACAAGGTCATTTTCTTTTTGCACACTTTGTTAGGATTCCTTCCCGAGACCTGTCAGCCAAATGTGATGCTTCCATAGCTGTCTCTCAGTCAGAAGAAGTTGTTTAAAAGTTTTGACAAATTTGGCCCATGACCATGAATATAAGTTGAGATGATCTCTTTCTGCAAACTTTATTGGGCTCCAACCTGGGAACCTACCAGACAAACATCACAACTTTAAGTTTAAAAAGTTAAAGTTGATGCCTTCGGGGAACTGAGTTAAAAATGACACCAAAACAATTTTATTGATCATATACCTTTTTACTTTGTGTTCACTGTTTGTACTTCATATTGTCTGTTAATTGCACTAACAACAAAAACCTTTCTCACAAAGTCTCTCGGGCAAATCCATTATAGGTGATAAGATAACACTTACATATAATATACTAAATAATTATAATCAATTTCACTTCAATAAATATTTCTTAAACAATTTGTACAGATTAAAACTGCATTTCCTGATCATTCCATGATGAAAGGTAATCATCAGTGACAAATGCTTTTCTCTTATTCAATTTTCCTACATTTATGAAGATTTCAGTCAGTGACATGATTGGGAAGTTGGATATTTACGTTAATGAAGTACTGTTAGTCAAGTACTGGTAATTTTAGTTACAGATAAGTATACCTGCATATATACACTTTCAGTTTCTTTCATTATTATTTACAAGAGTTTTTGTCCCTCACTGCAAACAGAAATTTCAACATCCCTCGCATGTAAACTGTCGCCCAGTACATCCAACAAATAAATGTAAAGTAAAACAATTCTTTACTGTATTCTTCCCCAAGAATAGTTCAAATTATGCTGTTTTACCAATAAATTACAGTAAAAGCTGAAGCATGTTTTGTAAACATGAAAGAGACAATTTCTCTTACCAGTTTTTTTTTACAAAATTCCATCTATCAAACTCCTCGACCTATAATGTCAGCACTCAAAATCATTGATTCAGACCTTTTTCAATTCACCAACATTTTAAAATTTTTTCTACATTTAGTAAAACCTCCTATCTGAAATCTCACATCCTATAGATGCACATTCCTATCCTTTATCATTCAAAAAACCAATCATACAGTGCATGATTTCACTAGCCTAAAGCCTGGTACTAATAGATTTGTTGTCAGAAATAGGAAAAATGGTTCATTTACAATGAAAACATGGCCTTGATTAAAAGATTTTGTTTAAAGAAGGTGTCTACATTCCATATTATATCTTGAATACGAAATTACGCAATCCTTTTCTGAAACTGTATTTCATACTTATTATATATTTACACATCCCCCTCACTCTCTCTCTCTCACTCATCACAGATTTCTACAAAAGTCTGGAAATATATGTAAGCCTGGTCCCACAGTTTAACTTCCTCCTCAGTTTGGGAAACTCAAATACTAATTCTACTTGATTCAAACATAGTTTATAATAGCGAGTACAAAAAATTCACTATCCAATTCCAACACAAAAACATTAACATATCTCAAATGTCTGAATGTGTAATCTCTTATCACAGATGACCATAGATATCCTATTTCTCTTTAATCTCCCAGTGTATAACATACAATGTATTATGATCATAAATTTCGATTTTTTGGGAGTTCAGGATCTTATTGATATGGAATAGGCAATACATACGCATCATATAAGACTTTAAAAATTTTAACAAAGAAATTTATAAAGCTATACAAATTTCTACTGTATTAATTCTGTTAAGACTCATTTTCCAGCAATATCAATAACTCGTATACTTACATAACAGATATTGCACTCTTTATAAAGATATTAGACATTATCATTTATATCATTCATCACAATGAAGACGAGGAACTAATGAGCTCCAGCATTACAGTCTGTAGTTTATATTTCACAATCTTCTGAACAGGTATGGACAGTAAAAGATCACATTTACAGACTGATTATAGCTGATTTTATAGCACTTTCTCAGTATTTAACAACCATATAATTTGATTCCATATCAAATGACATACTGTAAACACACCTTAGTTTGGTGACATCAAATTTTTGAGCGTCATTAATTTTTTCGCAAATTAGCAATATACCCATACACAATTGCAATATAAACAATTAGCGCAATAATATTTTAGTACTTTCACAATAAAGACGCCAAAATAAGATGGTCACTAAAATATGTTTGTTTACAGTATGTTTACATTATCCATATAGTGTCATGTTATAGTCTCTTCTTTATAAGCTTTTCCAACTTTTTAATACGACTAGACTCAGGTTCTGGTGTAGAAGTCACAGACATTTCTGTATGACCACCCAATGCCATGGAAACAGGAATTCTAGCTCGATATATCTCCAGTAAATTACTTTGGTCACCTCTTCTTAGTCCCTGTATGAGAAAGTAATAACAGATCATAGACTTCAAATTTCAATATCAACATTACAAACACTTTATATAGTTTCATATGGGGATTAAATGTCAACATTATAACATATTCAATATATTTTTCATAACATCAATTCAATGCAGTTTGATATAAATGAAATTTTAACAAGAAATTCCTAATTGGGTCAAAATACTAGTTCATGTACTTACTTATAAATAAGAAGCAGATTATCATATGATGATTTAACCTATACATTTCCAACGGTCTAAAATCATACATTTCCAACGGTCTAAAATCATACATTTCCAACGGTCTTAAATCATACATTTCCAACGGTCTAAAATGATAAATCAATTATGTACAAAATAAGTTTGATGTTCTATCTTATAATCCAAAATTAATTGTATGCATGTTGATTTTACCAATATTTTAAACATATGATCTTTGAAAATAGTGTCATTTTGTTGATAATCTGCTCTCCATCACTGATCCAGGGGGAGGTAACTTATGTTTTGTCCACAACCACTGAGACAATAAGATTGCTGACACAATCCTCACATAAATTGAAAGTTGTGATGAGAGACAGAAACATGAGTGCATTGTCTATTGTTTTGCTTTACCTTCATCTCTAAGACTCGCTGGAATTCATTGATATCAGAATCACTGAGTAGTCTTATGTAGTTGTCAACAAATCCCTGAGGTGGTTCATGGAGGGACATTACAACCTGGAACATTACAATTGAAAAGATTTTCACTTCAGCTCAGATTATGAAATGAATACATGAAAAACAAGATTGAACTACATTTTGAGTAGGATACCATTATAACATCAATTTCTATAATAACTTCCATTTGGTTTCAAAATCAAAATTCAACTTTATCAGATGTGTGATTTTAAGTTCACTGCCAAAGGTTTCTTTCCTCTCTGCAATGAGTTTGTAATTACAAGAGCTAAGGGTCATGTTGCTCAAAGTATGTAAAGACACCTAAACAGAGATTGAACAACAATTAAATACAAATGACAACTGATGCTGAAAATCAATCTTACCTTAAGTATCATCTCAGCTTTTGTCATTCCTTTCACCACAATCTTTGTGAAACTGAAAATTTAACATACGGAAATTACATCCGATATATATAGACAGGACAGACATTTAAAGGCTTTCTGTTCAACGGATAAATCAAAAGATATTGCAAAAGGTTACAGCCTTGCTCAATCATGACTTTCTATCTCTGATCTGTTCACGACTTTGGACCTTGTTATTGAATTTGGACACATCAAATTTACAAGAAAATAACAAAATTTCATAGAGCTTTGAGAAGGTATGATCTTGAGATGAAAGGAAGCTTTGTTTTTGACCTCTTGTCTTCTGGTGTATTCTGAATTCATTTTCTGCAAATAATTTTAAGCTATTCAAAAGTTGATACTAAGACAAGAATATGTAATATACTGATGGCAGAACTTGTAAGGTTTCATGTGGTGTGACTTTTAATGAATGAGTGACAGCTGTCCATGTAACATCCTATAAACTAAAACTTGGTACACTTTTTACTGTCTATGACAACATACTGACCTGGCTGAAGCCAATTGCATATGACAATTTCCTAATTTGGCCACAGCTCTGCTACTATATACTAACCTGGCCAGAGCCTTCCTGTATATGGCAACACTACCCAGGTTGGAGCCTTACTGTATATTACAGTATACTAACCAGGCCAGAGGATTACTATATATTACAGTAACCAGGCCGGCGGATTACTATATATTACAGTATACTAACCAAGCCGGAGGATTACTATATATTACAGTATACTAACCAGGCCGGAGGATTACTGTATATTACAGTATACTAACCAGGCCGGAGGATTACTATATATTACAGTATACTAACCAAGCCGGAGGATTACTGTATATTACGGTATACTAACCGGGCCGGAGGATTACTATATATTACAGTATACTAACCAAGCCGGAGGATTACTGTATATTACAGTATACTAACCAGGCCGGAGGATTACTGTATATTACAGTATACTAACCAGGCCGGAGGATTACTATATATTACAGTATACTAACCAAGCTGGAGGATTACTGTATATTACAGTATACTAACCAAGCCGGAGGATTACTATATATTACAGTATACTAACCAGGCCGGAGGATTACTATATATTACAGTATACTAATCAGGCTGGAGGATTACTATATATTACAGTATACTAACCAAGCCGGAGGATTACTATATATTACAGTATACTAACCAGGCCGGAGGATTACTATATATTACAGTATACTAACCAAGCCGGAGGATTACTCTATATTACAGTATACTAACCAGGCCGGAGGATTACTGTATATTACAATATACTAACCAAGCCGGAGGATTACTATATATTACAGTATACTAACCAGGCCGGAGGATTACTATATATTACAGTATACTAACCAGGCCGGGGGATTACTGTATATTACAGTATACTAATCAGGCCGGAGGATTACTATATATTACAGTATACTAACCAGGCCGGAGGATTACTGTATATTACAGTATACTAACCGGGCCGCAGGATTACTGTATATTACAGTATACTAACCAGGCCGGAGGATTACTATATATTACAGTATACTAACCAGGCCGGAGGATTGCTGTATATTACAGTATACTAGGCTGGTCAGACACTTACTGTATATAACGGTATACTAACCTGGCCGGAGCCTTCCTGATGATTTGTGATCCTAATGATGGAAGATCCAATAACACTGTCTTCAGTGAGTGAGTATCCAGTAATAACTGTCAAAATAAACATAAACAATGTCAGTCTTAAGCTGACACAAGTTTTAGTTTGTATTCCAACCGTGGAATTCTTTTGTGTTAATGACAGGGTTTTAAAATGGGGAAAAAAAAATCCAAAGGCTATATCCTGCATATTTTTCAATTTTCTGGAAAGCTTGACTGAATTGTTAATTTGAGTGCTTGTCCAAGATATCAGAGGAAAGAAGGGTACTTGTACATGGCTAACTGTATCTAGAGCTATGAGAGGTAATGACAAAGTCAAATTTTATATATTAAAACTTGTATATGTTATAGCTTACACCCCCAACTACAACTAACAAATCAAGCCCTGTCCTTACTTGTTCTGCTGCCACTGTGCTGATGTTCTTGCATTTGAAAAGATGATTGATGAATTTAGGAATAAATGTACTGAAAAACAAAAAGATTTTGAAGACTTCAAAATGGTGCCTAATATGGTAATGTAGAAGGAACTTGTCACCATCAATTAAAATTACAAACCTAACACATCATTATTGAATGAAAATGCCACCTCGTATTTTAGTTTAACGTTTTACTTGGTTTAATATTTTTATGAAATCAAAAAATTAATATTGCTGACAAAATAGAAAATAAAGGTGTAAGAGAAAAACTAGAAATTCCAATAACCTTGTAACATTTACGGAGAACATTTTAAAGTAATTACAAGAAAAAAAATGCTTTATAAGAGACACATACTTTGCAAATTTCAGGCAAAATTGCGTGAAGTATTTGCGAGAGGAGGCGAGGTTGTCTCTGATAATTGGCAAGTTCTGTTTGAGATGGGAGGTCAGGGCTGTAACATAACCACTCTGGTCACCTACCGCCTCTATTGTAGACCAGGACATCTGAAATATAAAAGGATAAGCTATCAATTCTCCATTATCAGACAAAGTCTTTGGCCATTCTTACTTGATTAGTATAATTTCTAAGAGAATCAAGTTAGGGAATCAATCACAACAGCTTGGGAGTAAACTGATATGGATTTATTTTGAACTGTCAACCAGTTTCGCCCTCTCTGGGCTTCATCAGGACCTAACATTTCTAAGAGAAGCTATAGTCTTGGAAAGATGTGAAAATGACCTTTTCAAGAACCATTATTAAACATCCAGGCTTACCCCTATTTTCAAACAGTCTCTTCGCTAATGAAAAAAGATTCTGAAAATTGTTTTTTTAATGGAAGAACTTGTGAAACTTTCACAGTTAAAAGTAAACAGCTAAATCTTTCTTCCAATACATCTGTACATAACATTCTTACCTTACTCATTGCTACCAGAGCAGGTTCACATGCGATCTCCAAGTCCTGCACTAATAACTGGATACAGCTGGAAATTACACTGTGAACAAAACACATTGAAATCAGTTAGTAATTATAACAAGAATACAATATATATATATATATATCAGTAAATGCACTTCAACAATATACAATGCAGATATTTACCTCATAAGTTACTATACTTTAGCAATTAGTGAACTGAAGATAACCCTACCATATCTTCAAATTTGTGGTAGCATATCATCGTACTGTTGAAAACCAAGTTTTACTGATGACACGTAGTGGTACAGTAAAAAGGATATTTTAACTTACAATCATGATATACCACCAAAATTTTCAAAGCACAGTAGGGTTATCTATATCTTTATCAATATTAAAGTGAAGAAAAATATGATGTATTAGTGTGATTTTTGTGCATAATTTAAGAAATCTTAATTACTTGTCATAATGATTTATGACCATAGTAAAATTAAAATCAAGCAAAATTTCATTGAGCTTTGAGTCATCCTTTTGTTCTCCACATCATTTTCATGACATGTCAAGATTCCATCAAAGTTATTGACATCTTTGTCACTAAATAAATCATAGTAAATCATTGTACACCTACTTGTGGAAAGTGTCCTGTTCTGGGTTGAGATCTATCTGTAAAGATAATTCTTTGTCAACCTTCTCTCGTAACTTCTCCTCAAGTTGTTGAGAGGTTTCCATGCAGTACTCTGCAGAACACAGAATGCTACAGATTCTACATTGTTCCTCCTCCGTAAACTTTGTTACTTCTCCTTCCTTGAGGATGCTCTGTATCAAACCTGATGCGGAGCTGATGCCAGTGTTTTGACTTGTCATTCTATTACAGAAAAAACAGAAATAAAATGAATATGGGTACTGACCCAAACTTCATGAACTTTCTGTCACTTTATGAAATTCTTTGACTTAAACATCTTTAAGGAAATTCTTTTTGAAAACTTCCAAGAAGCATAATAATTAAGAAAAAAAAGGGGGAGTATGTAAATTAGTCCGAATTTAAAATTGATGGTGCTACAGATTTTTCCACGACAGATATTTATTATTTCAATACTTTATAATTTGTAGATGTGAAGTATTTTAAAAGTAAAAAGTTGAAATTATATAAATGGGTTATTTTACTTAAACAGTAAATTAATGAGAAAAAGAGATTTATCATTTGCAACCAAATCAATAAATCATTCTGTGGTTTCCTTTTGCTGTAAGTTCAAAACACATATCTATGACATTTTTTACATACTACACTATGGACTTAGTTTCAGGACAATCAACATACTTTGGGAGGTTGGTGAGTAGCACTTTATGAGCATATTCCCGAAGGTATTTCTGGAATGTCCGAGTAAGGTCAAGCATTGGCTGACCGGTACTGAGTTGTGAACACTGGACCATACATTTTTTGTAGAACACAAACAGGTCTGCGCAGCTTGGTAATACATTACTACTCTCCTCTGACTCCATACGTGGCGTGCCATGCTGGCGTAGGTCCTCCAGGAAACGATTGATCAGCTCCGCTAAATTTCTACAAAAAAAAAATGTTTCAACATTGAGTAATTTTCCTGTACAATCAAAATGAGTTGTAAACAAACACAGAAACAATTTGTTTCCCACATATATATCAATTACACCATCAAAATATAATTTGTAGACAAATACAGGGAAGGAAAATGTAACATGCAAGTTGAATGCAAGATTAATTCCCCTAATTAATGATGCCATTCAGATCGGGGCTTTTTGTCTTTCCATTAAGTTAAAGATCTTTCTGAATGGTTCAAAATGAATTAATCCATTTTAATTCATGCATTAATCTATTTCAGTTATATTAATACTAAAATGCTCCTTTAAGAAACATGTGATTAACATGAATGCTTTAGAATTGGTGTTTAGTATCAAATTCAGCTTCAAAGATAAGCCATATTTTTACATCACATCAGTTAAAACAATGCACTCACCAAACCATCAGAAGTTAAACATAGTATCTGAACCACATTTAGAAATCTACATGACAGGATACTTTGACAGATGTCTTTTATCAACAAAACAACCCCTAAAAAAATAAATTGGCAGGCGAGAGACCCATTTTGTCACAAGTATTAGACATACCTGTCTTGAGATTCTATATAGATACTGAGATGTGCCTCAAAACATCTGGAAATGATACCACTGAATGGTGACAGGATTTGGGGTTTGGGATCCGCCTATAAACAGTCATAATAAGTCATTTCATAATAGTCGGTGACAGAAAATAGCTTACATAACTGATTAATCTCCGAGATAAATCTTATTCCAATCATGGTATTTTTTAATTAAATCTTTAAAGTTTTGATTAAAATTTAACATCCAACTAGTAAAAACTGCATTAGTGCAGTCTGGATTTAACTTTAAATATCTGATAAAAGTTTATATTCACAAGATTTCCTTCAATGAAATATGAAAGAAAATTTATCCATCTGATGCTGCAGATGATGATTTTAATGAAAAGATATGTTGACAATGATCAAATATAATGTTCTTTAAAAAACATATATTTCTACCTTGCTTTCTTCACTTGGAGTTGTGTCCCCATCTGATGCTCCCTCAAATGGGTTGCTGGACTCCTCAAAAGGGTTTTCAGGAGGGGAAGTGGGGCTCACAACTGGTTTCACCTGACCCTCCTGTAATGTCACTCCAGTGAATCTTTTGGCTATTAGAGCCTCAAAATTGGTTGTCCTTTGTATGGCAAACAACAGAAGTTTGACATCAATCTCTGCACGTCTTCTGCCCATGATATTCCCAAGCTCTTTCCTGTAGTACAAATAAGGTACCTTACAAATAGTGAATGGTAAAACAAACAAGAATTTTAAGCTACAAGTTTCAACTTGATTTAGATGGACATCTATCAAAGGGACACAACTCTCTTGAAATTCATTCAAAATGTTAAATAATTCACAAATGCACAACACCCAATGGGTAGTGATTATGTATGTCAAGTTTCATTGAAACTGGTTTACAGAGTATTTATCTGAACAATTTCTCTATGGAATGATGTTCTGATTTCAGTATAACACCTCTCAACCTTTTATACAATAAATTTTACCATGCAAGAACATATCTAGGTCTTCTGTGAATAAATTGCCCGATACATGTACTTTCAATTGTCAATACTTCTGTCAAGTAGACATATGGTACTAAAATTTGAATGGGGGAAACAAAACCTTACATAAATTCTAAATTCAAGTTTCTTCTTACAATATCCTATTGGATAATGAATGGAAAGTCAAAGTAATCAATCTTAGAGAGGATTTTATCAAAGATTGTACAAAAGACACACAAGTGAATAACACCTTTAATAAAAATTAAGTTAGATACAGTAGAGCCAAACCGTGAATTAAACTGCATCATACAACTGTTTTGTCTTTGTATGGCTCGTCAATGATGCTAAGGACCTAAATTTTAAATTCTTTGAGGCAACTGAGGAAAATCCAAAGTACCTCGGTAATCAAAAGAAAATTAAAATCTAGGTGGTGAGGTGCAAACAAATCCAACATAACCTGAATTACTACTCACCTGGTAATTTCACAGAATTCAGCACATATCCTTTCACTGACCTCCCAGTCAGGTGGGAATAGGTGACCAAATTTCTCCTCGAAATCTACAAGAGTTCTTTTAATCCATGTATAGCGCCGATCAATCTTGTCCAACCAAGCTACCTATAACACAAATTTGGTATATAAAAATTCATTTGTACTTAGAGTTAATCATATTATTACAGATTCTGTTGATTTACATTTGAATAAGATATTACTTATTTTCAAGAAAGGTACCAGCTTTCTGATCTAGGTATTTTCTTTCCCACTAAACAAAGACAAAACTTTACCTAACAATGCAGGATTTGAAAGTTGTTGTAAATATTCACTTGAAAAGAAGGTATGACTACATTAAGTGGTGTTTGTTTTAAAAAGGAGGAAACTTAAAAACAGTTTAGATTAAAGAGAGAAAAAAAGGCTTGATTAGTAGCTATTTCTTTAATAGATTAGCTTTGATAAGTGGCACATTTGTAAATTCAAGCTTGACACTAGCAAAACTTTCAATTTCATTAGAAGACAACATGTCAAGCACAGACAAGACAGGAGACAGGACTTTCAGGAACATCTTAACCTCCTAATCCCATTGAAATAAAATTTGTCATACACAATTAAACATTGCAATTTCTTGCAATTTTGAAAATAAATTTTAGTATGGATTGATTACAAGATCAAGAATTCAATGATTATCACAAGACCAAGAGTACTACACTAAGGTGGTATAATCATCAAAGTATGATATGTAAATTTTGATACGTAAGAGACTGGGTTCCATGAATGATGGATATTGAATGACTGCCCATACCACATGACATGAGAAACAAAATTTTTCATTTTTTAAAATCATAGCTAGTAACTGTGTATGGGGAACTTTTCGCCCTTCTTTTATTTTCGCCTCTTTTTGTCCATGAACAGGGAAGGCAAAATTTTGTTACATTTATATAGCTCTTTGTGGGTGAAATGAACATGAGGTGGTGTATACTGACCACATGGGGAAATAACCTATATATAACACCAACTCACATCTTGGTTCTCCCCGAACAGCACAAGATACTCCGACAGCTGCAGCTTTACAAACCAGCTAAGGAGATCTTTCTTGACCTTGCTGTCCAAAACACTGACCACAAAACATGCCTCCTTTAGCTGTCGCTGGTTTCCAGGACCATACTGCAGGGGTAAAAATATATAGTATTATGTATGTCCTTGATAAAACAGTCAATAATGTTTTTCCTAACTCTGAAAGATAATAATGAGATTCTATGTTTTTTAACCTCCTTTTTTCTGATATTGACATGCTAGAATTGGCAATTATTTTGCCTTATCTTAATTTGGTTCTCCCCTATGATACCTTATATCAGTTCAAGTTCACATCCTCACCCAATGCCTTAACTTAGATCCTGCCCTCCTGACTGCCTCATTTTAGATCAAGCCCCCAACAATGACTTCTTTCAATCCAAGCCGCCTAGAATGACTTACCTTTGCCCCAGCCCCCTGAAAAAGCTTCCTTTAGCCCCAGCCCCCTGGAATGACTTACCTTAGCCCCAGCCCCCTGGAATGCCTCCTCAAAATCTGCTTGTATTTGAGTCCCTAGTTCTGATTGTATCTGTTTCACTCTGCATATCAAATTAAAACACAACTGCAATTTACCGGGTAGATATGATCAAACTACGAAAATGGAAAATGAGAAAAAGTATCAAAATTAAATTTGAAATAAACTATCTATGCCAATCAAAGTTTCTTCATTCATATCTTAATTTACATAGGCATCAAAGAAAAGACACACAAGGAAATAGCACCTTTGTAGAGCCAAATTATGAAATAAACATCACACATCTGTTTCGTCCTTATAGGACTTGTTAGTGATGCTTAGGGTCTAAATTTTAAAACCTAGGAGGTCACTGAAGAAAATTCAAAGTGATGAAAATTGAGTAAAAATCATGGTGGGAGGTTCACTTGCCCCATATTTCCATAAATTTTGTAATTTTTGTAAATCTGATAATTTCAAAAGAAAGTTAAGTACATGTGGATATTCTAAATTAATTAGACACTAACAAGAGATATCTGTCACATGAATGCAAATAAAAATGTTTTCTCTTTGATTTATGTAATACTTTTTATATATAATAAAGGCATCCTCATTTTCCATCACATGTATGTTTACTGGTACTTACCTATCTGCTAATTGTTTTATTTGCGGGATGCCCATATACTTCTGGAAGTGGTCTAGTACATTGAGAACACCCTGCAACAAGTTTGCTACTTCCCCATATTGTCTTCTCCTCGTTAGAGACCTGAATTAGTTCAACAAAAGTAGGTTATAGATAATGATAAAAGCATGCTAATATTCCCTTCAAAAATGATTTCTCATTTAGACTTCCAAAATTGTTTTCTTTTAAGTATTTGTTATTGTTTGTGAAACCTCACTATTAAGACCACCATTTGGACTAGACGAAAGTGGCCTTAATAGCAGGATAGTCTTAAAAGTAAGTATAACCCAACAGATAGACTTCCCTTAAGGCCATCTTTGTCCATATTTGGACAGTCAATATTCCTTTTATGTCTGTTTTATAACATTAAACACAGTTTGACACCTAAATATACCTAACTGAACTCACAACCCACAGATGTATACAGTGGAATACCCACCAGAAAGGTTGTTTTACAAATGGTCTGATTAGTGAGGTGAAGCTAACAATACAGAGGCATTTTTGGAACTGCAATCAAGTGGTCTTGAGAGCAAGGTAGTCTTGATTTTGAGGTAGTCTTTAAAAGAGGTTTCCCTACATCTAAAAAACTTTACATATAAATATCTCCTCATTTAGTTGACAAGTAACTTAAAACCACTAAACAAGTATCTTGAACTTCAGGAAGATTGATCCAAAGAATATTTGTGGTCAAATATGATCAAAATTGTTCCAGTTCAATGTTGAATTCTCCATGACTCATACATACGTGAGAGAATCCACACCTCCCACCAGCATGTGTAAATGATTTAGTGTTGTTATTGATCCCGTCAAATTCTTCTTGGCATGATCTAGCTGTTTGATATCTCTGGTGATTTCCTTGACCTAAGTCATTAAAGAATATAATAAATGTGATAAATAACATGATGTATTAAGATAATTTACATCTGAGTTAATAGAGACATGTACATTTTATATCATGATATCAAATAATTAGTTTAGTTACATAATTTTGAATAAAGTTAATAATACATTTATAATAGCACAGTTAAACCTGTATTAAATGTCATCTCTATATAATAAATACCTGACAATAAACCCTGATATTTGGGTCCAAGGTAGCGCCATCAAAATCATGAAAAATTGAACCTCTATATAAGGACCAGTTTCTCTGATCACTTTAGTGACCTTTATAGACAGGTTTGACTAGTTGCCATTTACCATTTCTTCTGACTTCTCTGCTTTGTCCTTTATGTCTATAATTTTGGCAAAGAGTTCCTGTATAGCCTTCTGTGCCTCTTCCAGGGCCAGTTTGCCATCCTCCCCAACATTGGTCTGGCCTCTTACAACTGTACGTATATCATCATCAAGTCTCCTACATTCATAATGGAATATTCAATTAGCCTCTAAAGAGAACCAGACTTTCAGTACTTGTTTGCTTGTTTTTCCCCTTTATCAAACAGATTATGAGCATCCTTGTTAATTTAAAGATATTCACTGTTTTAAGAAAGATCATTCATCATATATATTACATCTAGTAGATAAAAAATATATCATAAATCTTACATAGGTAAATAATTGGTGTATTGCATATGTTGAATTCATATACCTGATTTTGTGTCGAATTTTCCCAACTACATCATCAATGTTTGCTAAGGACTGTTCTGTAGGGAACAGTGTGTTGATGTAATCGATGGGGTTAAAATCGGCCTTGTCTAATGGGTCATCACTTGGCAGCACCTTTAAGTAGGTTTATATTTAAATTAGATTAAATTTGAGCATCAATATACTATCAGGGACTGTGGAACAATAATCTTTGCTTAATATTCAAGAAGATATGACATTAACTTGGAAGTACTGTGCATTCCTCATCTGAAAATGTGAACATCAAATAGGACAAAACAAGTTTTTGATTGAATTGTAATGGTTGTTTCCAGAATATTAATGGCCACATATTATCATTTTTTTTTATCTTTGGCCTCTAAAATATTCGAAAGAATAAAAAATAAAATACATATGTATTAATCAAATTGTCAATGCAGAATGTCATATCTTGACATGAAATAGGGTTGAACTGAGGTTATGAACTATTTACCTCTTGGAAAGACACATATTGCATCTGTGACCCCTGGCTTACCAGTCTCACACAATAAATCAAGCTAAAAGGAAGTTATTTATCTGAGGAGTGTATAGCAGTTATTATTTACCAGGGTTGCATACTCCCCCTCCAGGAAAGGAATTGTCCTTACTCCTGAGTTCTGACAAACAGGTGTCATAACTCAGATCATCATAAATCTCTTTCAATACCTCTAAAGCAACATTTTGACACAAAAAGCATAATAATGCAGTTGTCTACTTTTTGTAAGAATCACAAACTTTTATCATCTCCATTGCTTATAGATTGGCTAAAAAAGGACACATGTAAATTCATGCCTAAATATGACATTTGCAAAAAATACACAAAAGAACAGAAACAAAATGCTCCCAATGGCTATACACTGAAGTCAATGAAGAACAGTGGTATAAATTTTATTTCAGCATGAAGTTAAATAATAGAAATGTGTATACTTCTTATGCAAGTATATACTGCTGGAAATGCAATATTAAAAAAGATGATATCCCTTCTTGTTGCAAATGTTTAAAAGACCTTGTGTACTTGCATTTCAAATTATTCCCTCAAAAATACAAAATTGATAAAAATATTAGCCAATGCTCTGCCACTCAAATGCAAGACTGTTACATATGATGGGTTTTGTCCAATCTCTTCAGTTATAAAACGATGTCATCACCCGAGAGATAACTTCAAGAATATAAGAGGCAGCTTATCTAGACGTTACGGTATATATATATTGTACCGACACAACGCCTGTCACAAGATACTACATGTGTGTAAACTCAGTGTTCGAGTATCGACAGGTATGCATCTTAAGTATCATTGGACAAAAATACACCCAAATTGGATTGTACATCAGATATTTTTCATCAAGTCGTTTTATTTCCTATCCGACTTTTCGAAAAACACTCATAAATGTCTGTGAAAACAGTAGGGCAGTATGAGGCCGACATCGACGACTTGCCGTGGGATGGCTTCAAACGTAGCATAAAACCAGTGATATTTGGATACATGTACATTAAATGCCCTTATAATGAATATTTATGTATGCACGTGGCCAATTTATTGATACCTGGTCTATAGCATCTTGAACTTCCAATGGAAATTCGAGTAACGACTCCAAATGTTCATCATCTAACAAGTCATCGTCGTCAACAGTCGCCATCTTGGAACAGACGACGAAAGAAAACGGAAGTGAGCGCGTATTAATAATAAAATCAACAATATCTTTTTTTTCAAAATCTGTTCTTAAAAATAGATTGTTTCGTAAAGCTGCTGATCACAGTTATCATTTATGATTGTCAAGATGTTGTCCTTAAGACAAGAAAAAAGTGCATATAAGTGCACTACTTTTGCGTAACAATTTCCCCCATGGTGCTGGAGATGTTGTTAGGCACACCATGTGGATCTGGATTTACATGTAGAAAAGGCTTGAATACGCAAAATTTCATTTAGCAAAGTGAAACACTGAGGATGGGCAAAAAGAAAAGGGCGTTCAATTGGAAAGCAAGGGAACAAAACGATACTGTCATTGACAGATCGGCTGAGAAAAAAGTGGGTACTCATTTAGATACAATGTAATCTGCAATGTGCTACAAACACCGTACACTGAGACACGTTATAAGAGGAATACATGTATAGGATTAAATATTGAATTATAGATAATTATATGTATATAATAAAGATGCCAAATATATATAGGAGTTATAGTAATCAAAGAGTAGTTATGTCCCTTCTTTGAATCTTTGAGTATCCGAGTTCAACAGATTAAAAATCACATCAATACTTAGTGTCTGCAAGGAGGCTCACCCTCAAAAAATGGTCCTAGCTTTAAATGAGGTAATAAGCACATGGCTGACAAACAAACAACAAGTTTATACATTTTTCCTCAGGTTCAGTCTCTAGCTATAGTGATTAACAATTACTTTTTCCTCAATTCTAGATCAAGCTCGACAAAGATGTCTTAGGAGAGGACAGTGACAATGATGGAGACAACATGTTGGTCCTGCCATCAGAAAAGAGGAAGTCAAAAACTACAAAAGAAACTATCCATATAGTGAAACGACTCAGCAAGAAAGAAAGAAAACAACTTAAAAATGTGCTACAGCAAAAAGAAAAGAAAGCCAAGGTAACATACAGTCTATATTGATGGATTTAAACCTGTTCTTTAAGGATTTTCTACCATTGAATTTTAATTGAACTGAAACAGTGTACTGTTGTCATGTTTTGTGCCATAGAATATGTAAATATCTTAAAAGTTTGATTTACAGGAATAATGCTTATTAATTGGTTCTGTTAGGATCAAATCCTGAAATGTTATGAAAGTTTGGTCAAAGAAATAAACATTGAATATAAAAAGAGCATTTAAACATCTTATTCTAGAGGGCTGCCATATTGGAATCTCTAGCAAAAGTGCAAGCAAAACCAGAGGAAATGCAGCATTTTGTTGGAGTTGCTGCAATGCAGTCTGGACATTTAAAAAGGTATGATATGACTGATGATAATAATATATATGCTCTTAAAACATCTTACAGGGTGTTACTGATCCTATATCCAGATCACTTGGTACTAGAAATTTAGTACTATGAACATAAATATTAAGAATGTTTCATATTGTGCACGATAAAAATTAAATACCTATTTTATTTCTCATTGAAGTTCCAAAGGGTGGCATATATATCCATTTTTAGTCTTGTGGGGGGGGGTTAGGTGTGGGAGGGTATATTTCTCAAAGATCATTAAAGCTTCACGGAACAATAGCGATGCTCAGTTAAGATACAGTTTTTGGTAGTTTGGTAGTTGAGTTTCAAATTAAACGTTTTTCTTTCATGGAATCAGAGAAACAGAAACCCAACAAAAAAAATTAGCAGCTGACTCCAAAATCAATTTTGTGGCTGGAAGCAATAAAAAGACCAAACATAACCGAGGGGGAGACAACTGTGATGCTGAAGGGGATGACAGTGACGCTTCAGAGAGTTCTATAGACACATCAGATATGTCAACAGACGAAGAGCAAGAAGAAGCTGAAGCAGATTCAAAGATAAGTGATGAAGGTGTTAATGATGAATCTAAAACAAGCATCCATGAAAAATGTGAGACAGGAGAAAAGGAAAAAGACAGTGTAAAGAATGATAAAAGTATGACTGAAAAAAAGGTAAAAATGGATAAAGAAAAAGGAGACAAAGAAAGTAGCAAACCTGCAGTAAATATTCCAGTCATCAGGGATAAAGACATCCAGGTAAAGTTACTTTTTTTAACCTATTATGTTTATCAGTTTGTTAAACATTTTTCTTACAATGAAATTCCTATGTTTGAAATGGTACACAAACATAATGAAAAGAGAGGAAAAACAAGTATAATGGAGATAGCATTTTCTACTGATCATGAATCATAAATAAGTATTACCATGGTTGACAAGTATGATAAATACACCATTGTGTCTTTAATAATCTTTGTTTTATCCAGATTCATTCTTGAACAATTCGTTATCGGTATTTCAGGAAGCAAGATTAAAACTACCTATTTTGGCAGAGGAGCAAATAGTGATGGAGGCCATTAATGATAATCCTGTAACAATAATTTGTGGCGAAACAGGGTCAGGAAAGACAACTCAGGTTCCTCAGTTCCTGTACGAGGCTGGATATGCCCAGTAAGTACACAAAATGTCGTGTATTCAGTGGTAAGATACCCTAATACGAGTCACATCCACATTCTTATACAAATTACTTAAGATTTACTGTCTGGTAAAAAAGTTCCATATCTGTGATAGTGGTTTTAAGAATGATTAAGTAGCTACAAAGAACATGCCTATTTAATGTACATGTAGTTTCAGCTTTCAGGTAGAACATTTATATTCTTTTAATGACCCAAGTTCCTTCTTGGTATATTTATAGTAGTGATGGCATCATCGGAGTAACAGAACCACGTAGAGTGGCAGCTATAAGTATGGCTCACAGAGTTGGCAAGGAAATGAACCTGTCTACCAGGTAATATCACACTCTCATGAACCTGTCTACCAGGAAATATCACACTCTCCTGAACCTGTCTATCAGGTAATATCACACTCTCCTGAACCTGTCTACCAGGTAATATCACACTCTCACCAATCTGTCTACCAGGTAATATCACACTCTCCTGAACCTGTCTACCAGGTAATATCACACTCTCATGAACCTGTCTACCAGGTAATATCACACTCTCACCAACCTGTCTACCAGGTAATATCACACTCTCCTGAACCTGTCTATCAGGTAATATCACACTCTCCTGAACCTGGTAAATGTTCCCTGCTATTTTCATTGTCCTTCTGACCACCCCCTGACTGAGTCACAATTGTATGATTGACACCTTGGTTTATTGGAGGTGAAATATCATGATTTAATTTCTTCAGGTGAAATGTTAATATCTGTTTGGCATAGAATAGAAATATGAACATTTAGCACTATCAAAATATGAATGAAAGTTTTTATATTCTTTTCTGTTTAACAGTGAAGTTTCCTATCAAATCCGTTATGAAGGAAATGTCACTCCAAAGACTAGGATAAAGTTTATGACAGATGGTGTGCTTCTTAAAGAGGTTCAAAAGGTTGGTATAAAAGACCTCTGCATTCGGGCCAGCAAAAGTGATAAATATATTAAGCTTGAATCTTGTTTTGCAAATGTTGTTAAATAAAGTTTATTAAAAAGTTCATGATATTATCTTAACATATCAAGAAAAAATTTAAATTCTTGAAAATAAAACTTATTACTTCTGTTTTCACATACACATAGTAGGAAACATATATAGTATAAATCTGTTTGAATTTTCATCAGATTGTTACTATGTTATGATATTTGATGAGACTCTTCAATTGTTTCTTGGCAGGATTTCCTGCTGATGAAGTATAGTGTTGTAATTATAGACGAAGCACATGAACGTAGTGTGTACACTGATATACTGATTGGTCTCTTGTCAAGGATAGTGCCTCTCAGACACAAGGTATAGTTGTTTGTTTTTAAAAATCTTCAAATGTTTCTTAAATATATTTTGCATATTGCTTTCAGAAGAAACTCTAACAGTGAATTAATACTGTTTCAGATGTTGTGAACTTTGTAAAAAATTTCAAACATTTTGTGCACCGTAGAAATGTTTGAGTGACTTTGAGGTTTTAAACATATTCATTTTTTTCAGAAAGGATCTCCCTTGAAATTGATTGTAATGTCAGCAACTTTGCGAGTTGAAGACTTCACTGAAAATAGCAGACTTTTTAGAGTGACTCCCCCTGTGGTGAAGGTACATAACTTTTTCACATTTTTGTTATCAAATAAATAATTGACAATAAAATATTGACATGAAGAAAGAAGATTTTTCATAATCTTTTTACATATTCCTACCTGTAGACACTTCGTGTTTATAAAATCATTCTGCATTCCAATCTATGTCATTGACCTTGGTTGACTTTTGCAGGTGGACTCTCGGCAGTTTCCTGTTACCATACATTTTAACAAGAGAACTCCATTGGATAATACATATCTTAATGAGGCATACAAAAAGGTGAGTTTGTTGTGCATTTTAGATTGATTAAATGTAAACATACAGCTGGGCTGGAATGTTAATTACATGTATTAACAGAAATGCAAAACAAAACAAGGGAGATGTATCAGAAGATAATTTTTATAACTTGAAAATCTGTCAAAATATAACTCCTTTAAGTTATGCAATAAAAGTATCTTAGATTAATTTTCATTTTATTTGAAACTTTGTGAAATATTTCTTGAAGTTTAATATTTGTTCCCCCAAGGCTTTCAAAATTAGTAACATTTTCACTTTTCACTTAATCTGACTCTATGGTACATGTTGTATTTTATTTATCATTATTACATTTCAGAAATTCAGAAAAGTTAAATTTAAGTGCCCACTTTTCCTTACAGGTTTGCAAGGTTCATCGTAAGTTACCTGAAGGAGGTATCCTGGTTTTTGTCACTGGTCAACAGGAAGTGAACACCTTGTGTCGCAAACTCAGACAGACCTTTCCAGCTACCCAAGGTCAGTCACTCAGTGCAACGTCATCAAAGTACTTTTTCATCAAAGTACTTTTGATAATCAGAATATTAAAACATTTACTCACAAATAAGGATCCTGATTCCTCTTCTGTCAGAAATTACATACAATTTCCATCATTGTTATTAAATATTACAATGTATGTATGATAGTGACATACACACAGTTACATTTACATTCTGTTTTCCTTTTAAATCAAGGTTTCACTCATATGACTATTGATACATCATAGATCATATGACAAATATTGACACAGACAACACATCTCGTAGCTTTGCTTCAATCACTCCGATGATTCTGATTTTCAGGAAGTTCTATCAGTAAATACTATAAAACATGATCAAAGATTAATCTTTTATAGAAAACAGATTATTTTTTAATTTAAAAGTAGATATGAACTTTTAAAATTAAGACGTTTTATTTTCACTATGAATGCCATCTAAATGACAGGTACACGACATTCAGACTTAGATTTTATAGTTATTATGAATATATGTAAGCTGCGTTATACTGCAATTTTCTCAAATGTCAAAAAACATACACATAATGTATATAATTGCCATCTTTGAAGATGGTTAGTTTCAACAAAACTTAAGTCTTGAATTTGAATTTTTGATTGTTTTGAATAAATTTAGGCGGTAAAAAGCAGGAAGACAAGATGCTCAGTAAAAAGAAGAGTAAAAGAACAGAATCTCCAGAGAAAAAAAATCTACCCAGGATCAGTCTTGACAAGTAAGTGAAAATGAAAGCTCTCGGTATGAATATTAAACTGTGATAAGCTTTCCTGTCCAGGATAGTGCGTTAATACTTCAGTATTACTTCTGTTGTCTTTTGTTCCTCTGTTGGTCATTGATCTTACTTCTCGTCTGTCTATCCTTCTGCAATTTTTCTGCTATAATGATTCATGCGTAGGATCATTTCATGATATTGAATTATCTTGAACAGTTAAAAATATTCAATGACATGACTTGAATAAGTTCATTACTAATCCTGTCAACATGACTTATAGGTTTTTGTTCTCTCTGTCTTTTTCTACAGTTATTCAGTGGAGCCAGCTGATGAGGAACAAGAGCGAGAAGGAGGCAGTGACTCTGAGGCAGAGTTTGAGGAAGGTTCAGATGAGAGTGACGAGGATAATTTAATAGAGGTAGGAAGAACATGGTGAAGAAGATGACTGAGCTATGTAGAGAGTTTTACATGAAAAATGACCAGGATGTATATATTCAGGGAAGCCTAGACAGATCTCATAGCAATTTATTTCTGTTACTGATAAGTCTCTCTGCTATAACTGTGAAAAATCATATTTCATTGCCATTATTTTCCTGTTCTGCTTAACTTTGAGATAAATGACTTTAAACATTTAAATTTTTATACCTTGTTTTTTTTTTAAGTTACAGTATCCTTCCTTAACAGGACATCATTTTGTTTTGTTCATAAAGTGATACACTTGACATATATATGCAATAATAACAAAAATCATTTAAAAAGTTATTTTACTTTGATGCCGTTTTAAAGTAGTAACTGGCTTAGTTGTACTAAGTACCTATATTACTCTTTTTTTCTCACTCCCTGTATTTATCCTGTAGTAAGTACAGAGGGCTAATTATCACACATTTTCTGATACAAGTTGGAAGGTAGCTAAGGTATACATGTATAAACAAAGACATCAGTTAAACAACATTGTTCTAATATCAATTATATGTAAACTTCATTACCTACATACACACATTATGCACTGTATAGACAAGACCGTCAACTAGGTCTTTCTTTTGGCATACAACTGTCCTTTCTCATGCAGTGTTCAATTTACTCTACTAAAACGCATACAGGTGTACTTAAATAAGCTGGAATGTGTTAAGGTTATCGTATGTGTTGATTTATCATTGACAGGATGATGGTGGATGTTCTGACCCTATGTATGTACTGCCACTCTACTCCATGTTGTCTTCTGATAAACAGGCAAAGGTATGTCTTATCTGTGTCATCAGACTTAAATTGACTCCATTCTGTCTTTTGATAAAGAAGGGTGAGTTTTTCTGCCTTTTTTTTTACCTCGTATTTTCTTTAGACAGACAATCCTAAACCATGCTGTCTTCATTTTAAAGTTACATCATATGTATTGGCTTTCTTATAATGTTATTGGTTATCTGTTTGATTGACAGGTGTTTGCTCCACCTCCAGATGGTTACCGTTTATGTGTTGTGGCAACCAACGTAGCAGAGACATCCCTCACCATTCCTAACATCAAATATGTGGTAGACACAGGCAAGGTTAGACTTACTGTTTCCATCTATTTAAACACATTTTATTGAGAGTACATTCAGGTTACTTTTGTCATTTTTGTTGTTGTTATTGATAGATTATGAAGAGTTTTTATTTCAAATTGAATGTAACTAAATTTGGATCTTATCTCTCCAAAATGATAGATGTTACAGTCATTTTTCAAGAATTAAATCAAATCCTTAAATTACGGTATTTTCTGGTTATAAATCGCACCAGTATATAAGCCACAGAGCCAGTTTTTTAACATTTGTTTTTAACAATTTGACCCACATATAAGCTACACCTGAATACAAGCCACACCCTTTCTTTGGTAACCATAATGTTGACCAAAGTTTGCTGATATAACAGACAATGTTGGGCAATTTATCAAGATCGTCGATGAAGCATTTGATCAAGTTTGCAAATGAATTATACACTGATAATCCATGTATTTTATTGATGTATTCAAAAAAATATAAAATTGCAAATATTTAACTCATTTGGCTTGGAGGCCTTCACAGATTGTCTACAAAAAGAGCTATGGGCCTGACGTTACATACGGTTTACTAAGCAGTCTCTCCATCGGTGTCTATACTGTTAGAAATTAATGAAGGCCCTTGCATGCTGATCACATACTTATAGTTCCATATTATTTCTTCTTGTAAATTACATGAAGCCATTTATATTGTAAATAAGCGTGGCGATTGTTCTAGAATTTGACCTACCGGTATAACTCAATGAACTATCAAACCCAGGATCCAAATATGTAAACTTCCATTGTGGCTTCAAAGTAACAAGTAAAGTCCTGAAGAATGATTAATGAAATCCACGAGAATGTTATTTTTATTTCAAATATCAAATTATTCTGTATATGATTGCAAATGATGGTACTGGACAATATGTTTTAAATTATAAACACTTGATGGGTAGGTATTTGTAAAAAGATCTTAGTACCGCCTCGTAGTCGTGTACTGGTACACTTCCTGTTGTTTTTTCATTCTGCAAATCTTATTTTTGATCAATATATAAGCCACACCGGTATATAAGCCATGAGCAAAAGTAGTGCGGCTTATAATCCAGAGAATACAGTAAATGACATTTCATTTATTATGAATTTGTAAATTGATAACAGAAAAAGTGAAAACATCAATTTTGAAGCAAAAATATCGCATCTTTTGATATTGGTAAAGGACAATATGGAAAGATTTCTTTGAATAAATTATATATTTTCATACACAGTAATAGAAAATTGCAATGTACTTATGATTTTGTTTAGCATTATCATAAGAGGCTACACTCATGTCAGATAATTATATTGAAATGTGCTAATTTTAGTACTTTTATATACAAAATCAATTGCAGTGTCATAACTTTGAAATAAATTCCAGGTAAAGACGAAATTCTACGACAAAGTAACAGGTGTGTCAACGTTCCGAATAACTTGGACATCCAGTGCCTCAGCCAACCAGAGAGCAGGGCGAGCAGGACGAACTGGGCCTGGCCATTGTTACAGGTATGTGATGTATATCATTAAATCTGAAAGTGACACATACTGATTAATCAACTGAAAAAAAAGCAACAAAAAAAACATACGTTTAAATTTGACACTATGATTTAATTTATAAAATTTTAATCAATAAATCTGTAAAAATGTTTTCAGATTGTACTCCACTGCAGTGTTTACACATGACTTTGAGAAGTTTTCCCCAGCTGAAATAACCAGACGGCCTGTGGATGACCTTGTCTTACAGATGAAGGTGATTTTTCCATTTTCAATACACAATTATATATATTATCCATGAAACTAATGGAAATATTTAGCTGCTGTTGAATTTTGTGTTAGTTTGTTATGAAGCTATCAGTGACCATTGTTCTCTTTACAGGACATGAACATAGATAAAGTGATGAACTTCCCTTACCCAACACAACCCGATGTGGAACAAATCAAGGTATGAAATTTCTCTAAATAGTGAGACAAGAAGTCAGAGCACACAGCAAAATCATTATACAATTTTCTTAGATGTCAATATTTCAAGTTGATTTTTATAAAAAAAAAAAATTTCAGAAATTTATAGGACATAACATGATGTGTTTTGAGAAAAATATTCCAAGAAAAATTGTTTGCTTGTCTATTTCAGGCTGCAGAGAGATTGCTGGTCTCATTAGGAGCTCTAACAGCACCTGTGTCACGCCCTAAATCCCAATATAAAAGTAAGGTGGAACCAAGTCAGATCACACCCCTTGGTAGGGCCATGGCCCACTTCCCAGTGTCTCCACGGTTCTCCAAAATGTTATCCCTAGGACACCAACACGACCTCCTCCCGTACGTGGTGGCCATGGTCGCTGCATTGTCGGTAGCTGAAATCTTTGTGGAGCTGCATCAGCCACCAGATGAATCAGGAGAGGTGAATCTTCATTTTTAAAACTTTATATCTTTTTACTTTATGAAAAAAACAGTGACAAGGAATGGTTTTATTTCAGAGAAACTGAAGACAATCAACTGTCAATACAATTATTTTAAGAACCTGTTTAGAGATCTAACACGCGAATCTGTTCTGTTGAATGTTGAAACTAAAACATTGGGATTCAGATGTTCTCATGTGCTAAATTTCACCACTGTAACCAATGTATTGTGGTAATTGACAATGGAGAATGTACAAATGTATAGAACTAGTCTTTAATACGCTGTGAACAGCAGTTGTGGTGTGTAATTAGATTAAAACAGTGTTTAAGGTGTCCATCTGTGTGCTTGACCAACTGTACACTAAGTGAGTGTTTTTATGCAGACAAGTTGAGATAGATAGTAGATACAACAGTAAGCAGAAAATATTACTCCATATAAGAATGCTGATTAGTTTATCATACTAAAAGTAAAATAATGACAGACGTTTAGAAACATCATTATCTGCAAGATCTATGGCTATTAGCAAAGAGACTGATCACTGTAGTGTAGACTCACATAGTCAATATCTTGCTTAAAGTTCTTGATTGCATGCAAAATATGACATAGCATTATGGTGTTTTAAATCATGATTTTAAAAATGGCAATTGATACTTGATAAAGCAGTCTTTCTTGTCATGTATTGAGAAACAACAAAGAAAAGATAAACGAATGACATAGATTTATACTGAAGAGATCAGGATGTGACGCTATGAAAAAAACTGGGAGTATATCTAAATACATTCACAAATTAAATATACATGTGTAATATTCACAAATCTGGAAAAGAAGTTTAAATTAAATTTTTGTGCTTTTAAGTGTCTCAGTTCAAAATCATATACATGTATACTGTATACAAAAAGAAAAAAAATGCCAAAAAAATGTTTAAATTATGTAAATATTTATTATTATGTATTGAGGTTTTTATTCGTATATGTAGGTTTCAAGGTAATCCTTTCAGATTTCAATTGTCTTTTATTTCAGAAAGATGAATTTAAGAAGAGATTACATCACTTAAAGCAGATTCAGAAGATGTGGGCTGGCACTGTAAGTTAACACTTGTCTATAGTCATCTCATGAAGCTTTCCCCCTTATAACCTTTACTTTACATCTCATGTCTTGTCACTTATGATTTAGTCAGGTCTGCTGCGACTTGCTGTGCTCATCACATGCTGTCTGGTGAAGTACAGCATTTATCAAATAATTAGTGTGATAATAAGCCCTTCCATATCTATTAATGTTCAGTAGCATTACCAATGTTGTATATGTACTATTGTTCTGTAATAAGCTTATCCCTTGTCTTTGAGTCAGATGTAATGTGTTGACCCCTTGAGCCTCATCCATTTTAATTTTCTGGTATAAAACTGTCTCATAGATTCTTAAAAAATAACAATTTTTTATGACTATTGATAGGATTCACTTGATTGTTGTTCATGACGAGATAGTACAGTACATTGTATATGAATAATTCATACTCACCCTTGAAACCTCCATTGTTGATGATAGATAAAAGTTTTGATTTGAACAGAAATTATTTTGCAGTGGTTGTACCATCGGTATATTTGTTGAATGTTGAATGGGAGACAACTGATACAGACTAGAGTCACAACAATATCATGTACCTTTTACTACTGTTTTCTAGGGTCATTCACTGTTGCTAGGCGATTTGACAGTGCTGCTAAAGGCGGTGGGGTCATGTGAGTACCAGGGCTGTACTCCAGAGTTCTGTCAGAAACATGGGATACGCTTTAAGGCTATGAAGGAAGTCCGGAAACTCCGTGTACAACTTACAAACTCAGGTACAGAAACCCACCCTAATTACATGTGTTGGACACTTTAACTTTAAGCAGAAATGCTAATTTCTTGATGTAAAGTCAAGGACATTAATTTTGAAATTTGTTGAAATGACAACTCCACGATCTTGTAGCACAACAGGGTTAGGTAAGACTAGAGGAGATTTAAGTTAGTACAGGTGTACTTCTGTTTCATAGGATTTTCCAACAAAGATTTGAAAATCTTCTTTAAACATTCTGCACATTTTGAGAAAAATATTTCTAAAGTGTTTTTGTTTCTTTTCATAACAGTAAACACTGTGATACCAGATGCCAACCTTTGTGTTGATCCGAAACTTGACCCTCCTAATGACCTTCAGTCCAAACTCCTGAGACAAATTATCTTGGCTGGTCTTGGTGACCATGTAGCCAGGTAAGAAAATGTACAACACAGCATAGGTGACAAAACACTGATTTTCAATATTCTTTATGAATAGTAAATCATGTTATTTTTGTCGTTTTCAAATTGTATGGTTTTACAAAATATTTATTTTCATTTCCAATTAATTTCATAGATATATCCTATAAATCTACCTGTATTAAGTTGGTGTCTAATTTTTTTGTGGTTATCATTTTGAAGACTTATGATAGATTAAGAGTAACCATGAATTCAACAAAAATAATAACCCACCAAAATTAATGATTTTACTGTAAAAGTAGTTGATTACTTTTTGCATCAAAGTGATATTGTCCTGAGATATGAAAATATTTTGTTTATTTTAAACTCGGCCTGGCCTGCTGTCCTCCACGTTTTTACTTAAAAAGTGTACAAATATAAATTTTTGTGTTATGTGATTGAAAGTGTTATAAGTTTAATTTCAATTTATGTGAGTTTTGATGATACATGACACAGAAACTTTATTATTTTGCTAGCCCTTTCATTCAAGATAATGTATTTACTGTATAGTGCAAAATCCTTTTCCTAAAAACTGTTTTGTGTGGTGCTGATTTATTTGTGGACACATGAATTTGTTGATTACAACTACTGACAAAAATCAGTGAGAATCAAAATTCCATGATGATTAATTATTTTACTGTATACCTTATATATTTCATAGTTTAATAAAGTCAGGAATGTTAGTTTTGGCCTCAGGACTTTATCAGGCCTTAATGAAGCCCAGAGAGGCCTGAACTAGTTGCCAATTAGTACATGTAATAAATGTAATGAATTCACTCTGATAATGTTGTGATTGATATTCCTGACTTGGTTTTCCCTACTGTTCACCCTGCATACTCTCGGGTATCCAGCTGAAGAGTAAAGGAACCCACGACCCAACCAACCAGCACGAACGGTGTTGGCTCTATTGGTAAATCCTTTTAAAGTTTAAGTAACTGTCTTAATTGTCTGGAGATTAAAAAGATGTCCTGGTTTTGTTATTCCTTCAGAAAGTACCCAGACCCACCACCAGGAGCTGATGATGAAGCCAAAAAGTTAAAATATGCTTATCAGGTCGGTACAGTTGAGAAAGATATTCCACATGAGATGAATATACTAAATTTGAGTCTTGTTAGGGAAGACTTTGCTGTTGCTATAAAATATGGTGATATTGTCAAAAAGTTGTTGTGACCAAGACATCAGGAAATCTTCATCTAATTCTGATTGATTTGTTAAACTCTGCATTGCTGAGGTTTAGATGATGGTTGCTTAATTTTGGTATGACAGTGATGATTAGTGGTAGCTGGACGGTAGGGCAGAGGATAAATTATGGACAGATGATGAGGAAGTAGTAGAATTTTGATAGTGACAGGAAAATGGGGACAACAGGATTATTGATACCTGGATATAGTGTGTCAGAATGTTCGAACGTTGACCAATAGATGGATATTTAGCTTTAATAGGTTTGATATTTGGTGAGTAGTATTTGTGTTGACAGTATGGCAGAACAGCTGAATTCAATGATGGCTGCCTTAGAAACGAGTTGGTTCTTAAATTACTTCTCTCGATGTCTGTGACCACAATTACTGATTCCTATGATATAGTGTGCTTAGTTATACGAGTAGTTGTTTGTCCATCCCTCCTCTGTTCTGTCACTGTGAAATCGTAGTTTTTTGTGTGGCTTAATTTTCATGGTTTTACAAAAAAAACAACACATTTTCATGGACCTTTGATTGAAGGATAGATACAGCTCATTAGATATATTTGCTACCTTTAAACATTTGATGATGTATCAATTTGTTGGTTAAGATTACCAATGAAATTAACAAAAACGAATCTCCATGGATGACTTATGACCTCTGACCTATTCCACTAGTGTAGTAGTGTACTGCGATAAAAAAGCTGTTGTTTATCTCTCTATTCCTCTTCTATTCTTTATTTGTGACATATGACCTTTTTTGACCTGTGAACTGATTGGCTTGTTGTAGTGTGCTGAGTAAAAAGAGTCCTAGGTTATCCGGCCTTTCTCTATATCTTATGTGACCTATGACATTTGACCTGTGAACTGATTTGTCTGTTGTAGTGTGCCGAGTTAGAAGAGCCTTTGTTTATCCATCCCTCCTCTGTGCTATACAGACAAAATCCACCTTACCTGGTGTACCAGCGTATAGAGGAAACTTCCAGGTTGTATATGAAAGGTAAGACAGCTTCTTAAAAAATCAGAAGCAAAAATGGAGTATACTGTATAAATGGTACCCCAGGTATATATTTTATAAGCAAGTCAACTACGTGTATTTAGAGAAAAAGCTCTCAGAGGCACTACATCAAAAGTCATCTTCCATTTGGTATTATTTACAATTGTACTCGAGTGATTTAGATATAACATAGAGTAATTAAAACAAATGACCTTGGTTGACCTTTCCCGATCACCTCTGTCCAGGACTAGTAGCTGTGGAGCCAGAGTGGTTACCAATCTTCTGTCCATCACATTGCACATTTTCCAAGCCATTGGATGACCCAGCACCAGAATTTGATGAGAGCAAAGGTGAAGTGAGATGCCATATGACCAGTACATTTAGTCGCTGTACCTGGGCACTGCCTGCTATAGAAATGGAGTACCCTCTTACACTGGAGAAATACAAATGGTTTGCAAGATTCTTACTGGAGGGCAAAGTTATACCTGGCCTTGCTAAATTCTCTACTATGCTGTTGTCTTCTCCATCAACAATGGTCAAGACCTGGGCAAAGTGAGTGTTCAGATATTGTCTTAGTTATCAGAAAGTAGTAGATAAGAGAACATTGGGCAATCATATTATACCGTGTATCAGTGTATTTACATCAGCAACATCATTGTTTCCAATTTTATTTCTTTTTTTTTTCTTTTACTTATGTTTTATGAAAATTGAAAAAGTAAGTTACTGATTTTCAGAATGTTTAAAGCCCCAATATACATAAAAATCACTATAAAAAAACAAACTTTATCTTATTTACCCCGTAATATATGTAACAAAACAAATACTTTCCTTTAATTAAAGAAAATAAAACTGACTGTTTTCAATTTAAATAAAAATTGAAAAAATCGGAAAATAAACAATGTGGGACCCACAATAATTCATACATTACCGCTCGTAGCGATGACATTGCGCATGCGCATATGCCGCGTGTGTAAACATGGCAGACACAGTACAGACGTCCACCAGTCGCTTCCTTTTTTTCCAATCATACATCAGGCCAATTCTGAATTATTACGTTATAATTGTGCGTCGTATCGTTTCTAAACTAATTATTCCTTCTAATAATTTCCCAAGAACTGAATGTTTATCACAGGAATACCTCAAGTCTACGACAAGACTTCGCAAACAATGTTTGTAAACAAAATCTTACCGTAGACGTATCTGCATGTGCTTCCTCTATAAGTAGAAACCTCAACTCTTGCGAGATCAGGTCATGAACTTTCCGACGTGGTTCGGCAACAATCGTAATTTCGATGGCGGCGTGTTTAAAATGGAGGTGTGTTTACAAATAGCGAGTTTCAACTGCTCATATATCAATACTTTATGCACAAAGTCATGGTAACTATTGTTTGAATAACTTAATTCTAACTACATCTTAGAGAATATCTCAATAATTATGTGTGATTTTACACTAAATTTTTGGTGAATGTTACGTATATTGGGGCTTTAAATCCTTGTAACTGCACATGCCAAATTATTCCATACAGTTTTATATGCGGTCTTTATCCTTGATAGAGAATTATTTTTTTCTGCAATATGTTGCAAGGTTACAACCAAGGACAGAGGTCCTCCTGAAGGGTCTGGCTGGTGAGGGAGTCGACAGCAGGGAGAAGCTTCTCAACAAATGGAAGGCACAGCCTACCTGTAAGTAATGATTCTACAGTCAATCTGTCTACCTGTAAGTAATGCTTCTACAGTCAATCTGTCTACCTGTAAGTAATGAGTATACAGTCAATCTGTCTACTTGTAAGTAATGAGTATACAGTCAATCTGTCTACCTGTAAGTAATGAGTATAAAGGCTGTCTACTTGTAAGTAATGAGTATACAGACCATCTGCCTACCTGTAAGTAATGATTCTACAGTCAATCTGTCTACCTGTAAGTAATGAGTATACCTGTAAGTAATGAGTATACAGACCATCTGTCTACCTGTAAGTAATGAGTATACAGACCATCTGTCTACCTGTAAGTAATGAGTATACAGACCATCTGTCTACCTGTAAGTAATGATTCTACAGTCAATCTGTCTACCTGTAAGTAATGATTCTACAGTCAATCTGTCTACCTGTAAGTAATGAGTATACAGACCATCTGTCTACCTGTAAGTAATGAGTATACAGACCATCTGTCTACCTGTAAGTAATGAGTATACAGACCATCTGTCTACCTGTAAGTAATGAGTATACAGACCATCTGTCTACCTGTAAGTAATGATTCTACAGTCAATCTGTCTACCTGTAAGTAATGATTCTACAGTCCATCTGTCTACCTGTAAGTAATGATTCTACAGTCCATCTGTCTACCTGTAAGTAATGAGTATACAGACCATCTGTCTACCTGTAAGTAATGAGTATACAGACCATCTGTCTAACTGTAAGTATTGAGTATACAGTCAATCTGTCTACCTGTAAGTAATGATTCTACAGTCAATCTGTCTACCTGTAAGTAATGATTCTACAGTCAATCTGTCTACCTGTAAGTAATGAGTATAAAGGCTGTCTAATTGTAAGTAATGATTCTACAGTCAATCTGCCTACCTGTAAGTAATGAGTATACAGACCATCTGTCTACCTGTAAGTAATGAGTATACAGTCCATCTGTCTACCTGTAAGTAATGATTCTACAGTCAATCTGTCTACCTGTAAGTAATGAGTATACAGACCATCTGTCTAACTGTAAGTATTGAGTATACAGTCAATCTGTCTACCTGTAAGTAATGATTCTACAGTCAATCTGTCTACCTGTAAGTAATGAGTATACAGACCATCTGTCTACCTGTAAGTAATGAGTATACAGACCATCTGTCTACCTGTAAGTAATGAGTATACCGACCATCTGTCTACCTGTAAGTAATGATTCTACAGTCAATCTGTCTACCTGTAAGTAATGAGTATACCATCTGTCTACCTGTAAGTAATGAGTATACAGACCATATGACCATCTCTGTAAGTATTGAGTATACAGTCAATCTGTCTACCTGTAAGTAATGATTCTACAGTCAATCTGTCTACCTGTAAGTAATGATTCTACAGTCAATCTGTCTACCTGTAAGTAATGATTCTACAGTCCATCTGTCTACCTGTAAGTAATGAGTATAAAGGCTGTCTACTTGTAAGTAATGAGTATACAGTCAATCTGTCTACCTGTAAGTATTGAGTATACAGTCAATCTGTCTACCTGTATGTAATGATTCTACAGTCCATCTGTCTACCTGTAAGTAATGAGTATACAGACCATCTGTCTACCTGTAAGTAATGAGTATACAGTCAATCTGTCTACCTGTAAGTAATGATTCTACAGTCAATCTGTCTACCTGTAAGTAATGATTCTACAGTCAATCTGTCTACCTGTAAGTAATGATTCTACAGTCAATCTGTCTACCTGTAAGTAATGATTCTACAGTCAATCTGTCTACCTGTAAGTAATGAGTATACAGACCATCTGTCTACCTGTAAGTCATCTGTATTTGTAAACACTATATGTACACTGTACGTCTGGACAACCTGTCTGTGAAAACCATAAGTGGTCCTTGTATATGTAATATTGGAAAATTTATCTGTACACACAGTGACCAGTTTTGATTCTCCTTTTACAGATCTATTTGATGCCTTCAGCCAGTGGATACCCCAGTCAAATCATTTTGAGCTAGAAGCAGCTTGGCCACCAATCACGTGACAGAAAGCCAAATAAAACTTTCAGAGTCAAGGTCAAATTCTACAGAATGAATTTTTTAATCTGAAAGACAAGAATTATCAGAACAAGTAACTGGACCATATGGTTTACGGAGGAAATGAATCTTGTTTAACAGGTTAAAGGGAAATTCAGCTGGAAATACCATATAGTATTTGGAGACACTGCAGTGATACTACTCCTATGTGACCAAATGTTGATCTTTTTTTCAACTTGTCATTTACAACTGACAGCTCTGACTTCAAGACGTATACTGTGTCTTAAAAAGCACATAGTAGACATTATGTCGCTGGAGAAAAAACTTGTGAACTGAGGCCAGGAATGAGCAGTTTCCATCAAGATAAAAGTGTTATTGCACATCTATTTGCTAATAACTGTGAAGTTCTGAAGGGAAAGCAACATTGATGTGATATATACAGGTCTATCTGTGATAGATTGGTTTTGAGCCTTTCATTAGGTACTAATACACAGGTGGATTGGTACTCCCCTAGCCCAGGGCTAGTAAGCTGTCAGTGGAATACAAAAAAAAAAAAAAAGAAAACATTCTTACTGTGACAGTTTGGACAATATTTTGTTTTTTGTTTCTTTTTTTTCAAAAATTGTTCAAGCTATACAATGTTGACTAGAAATTATTTTTGTGACTGATGGTATAATGATGATAGTGCCAAATTATCTCAGTAAAAGACAGGAAATCTTTTAATTGTCTTTGATTATTTTATTATTCCATAACATAAGAAATATGTCCTATTTAGTAGCACAATAGATGCAACACTAATGTGAAGATCAACAATGAAATCTAACAGACTTAAAAATATAGGAATTTTACAACTCCAAAAACATTTACATTTAAACAAGTCAAATTTAGTACTTAAAACCCTTTCGGATGTGAAATAAGACTTTGTCAAATGACTTTATCCATGATACTCCCCTCTTTACATCCCATTCTGAATACATCTTATTTCCCAGACTCTATATAACACAGACCCAGGACATTTGATTATTTAAAGTTGTGTAAAGATTGTGACTTTGTGGTTAAAGGCCTTCCCATGAATTAATATGTATGCTGATAGCCTGGTATCTTAACAAAAAACCTTCTGGTTGTTCAGAAGTAGTTGTTTTTCAAATTTAACATACTTGACCTCTGTGGCCTTGACAGCGGGTAGAGGTCATCCGTCTCTGGATGCTAATGGAATATATCAAGACCAAAGTTAATGAGAATAAGTTGTTTAATAAAAACTTGATAAGTTGGTAGGAACCGATAGAACATGGTTGTAATTCAATAGCATAAGCTCACTTGCCCTACATACAGGCGAGGTAAATACTCCAGTATTAAGCTCACTTGCCCTACGGACAAGTGAGGTAAATACTCCAGTATTAAGCTCACTTGCCCTACGTACAGGTGAAGTAAATACTCCAGTAAACATCTATTAAAACATGTTCTTTACTTGCTGTCGATCAACTAATATCCATGAACTGATTTTTTTTAAATTTACAAAGTTTCATTAGAATTTCATGCCCGTTACTGCAGTTTATACATGAACTCCCACTGGCATTTATGAATTTATAAATGACATCTATACATCATTGTTGATTTCATATATTTTCTCAAAATTTAATGCAACATTGGACAACATCACAGTAAAGTTCACTTGAAACAAAAAATGTGGTGTAATGAACCAGGTATACCGGCAGTGGAAAGCAGAAAAAATGTCAGAAGGGTGTAGAGCTATTTAATGTTATGACATATATTGATTGTGAGATGTCCTTTTATCGGGGCCTGCAGGAGGATCACGTCATTCATGAGCTAATGCCTTTATTCATCAACAACTGTTATCGTCAATGAACAAATCTCCATTTCTTTCCATTGTCTGTCTCATTTCAACTACTGTTGTGTAGAAGAGCAAAGGAATAGTCTTTTGGGGCAGTATGCCATGATGTGGTTTCATGTAGAAAAAGCATCTTCAGAGCCTGACCATGAACTATGTTTGGTCAGTTGTCTCCATTTCTTCCCGCTGTTTGTCCTGTTTCAAAAATTTTTCCTCAATATCCTGCGGTATTTCTAGAGTGTCAAGGTTCTCCATACCAGGCTCTGGCTCATCCGCAATCAATAAGTCAATCAAGTTCATCAAAGCGTGGAAGTTGGCTTCATGCTCCTCCCATTTGTGATATTCACGCATAATGATGTAAGTGTTTTTCTCCTTCACAAAATGCCGACCATTCTTTGTTGCACATAACTGTAACAGTTAAAAGATGTTAAGTATGTTAAAAAAATTTCAGAGAACTTTTACCATTTTTTCTTTCATCACTCTTAACATTTTTTGTGCTTTTGATTTTAAATAAGCAAAAAGCTTAATGAAGATATTTACATATTTAAATGAAGATTTTAATAAAAAAAACTTCTTTGTTTCCATTTAAAACCATTCAGTATACTTTAACTTCATATTTCATGGAGCTCAATTTTTGCATTTTTTTTTCCAAAAAAAATACTTTTTTGTGAATACATGTATTTCATTTATTCTTTTTGTTTTTAAAAATATTAGTCAATAAATTTACTTTTACTAATTCTATCAGATTGTTGACATACCAAAATTAATGATTTTCCAAGACGGAGCCTAGTTTCAAATTTTTTAAGCTACAAGTAGTATGTAATATGATATTTATATAAATATATTAGTATGTAACAAAAGTTGATGGCAAAACATTATCACGAAGCTGTAAACTACAAACATTCATATGAGAATATTATCAAGTCATAACATTTAATTGCAATATAATGAAAAACATTAATATACAAATAATACAAAAAGACATGATGTATAGAATTCTTACTTACAAATTAAGCAGCTCCTTCATCAACAAAATTATGTATTTTCAAATTACTGTGGGAGACCTATATTAATACTGGTTTCAGAGGTCTTTGCAAAGGTCTGGCAAAACAAGATTAGTAAGTCTATCCCTGTTTCATAAATCATAGTCTAGCTTGGCGGAATAATAAATAAAAGGGGCCCAGAGGTTTATGACGTGAACTCGGAAATTAAAATGTTCTTTTAACAGACTCATCAATCTACCTTGAAGATTGTCTCAATGAGCATCTTCCTGATTTCTGGGTCAGGCTCACGTATTTTGTCTGGGGGCAAGTACTGTAGGTCATCTGGTAGCTTTTCATTGTCATCGTCATCAAACTCCTCTGGACCAGCCAGAGGAAGCAGTAACCGTGGCAACAGGTCAACAGTATCACTTAACAACCATTCATGGCAATCTGAAAATCATAGATCTTTGCAAATTATTCTGATAACCACTTCAACAGGATATATTTTTTTCATTAAAAACTAGGTTTAGATAATAAAAATAGCAATATGAATCATGCATACAATAAAGGTGATCAATAAAAGAGGTTAAGTTTTAGCATTCCTGAATGCCGTCTTGATTTTTGTGAAAGGAGCTTGGCCTTGATAGTCTTGTATTTACACAGATCTCACTAACTACACTTGTATATGCATTAACGTTCAGATTAACCTGTCTAATCTAGATCATAAGTATTCTGACATCTTATTGAACCCAACATTATATGCTTGCCAGCTGTAACCCTATTTACAATAACTACCAAAGGGTTACATCAAATCAAAATATGTGTATTCTGGTATCCTGCCTAATCTGAGTAAAATCTTGTGCTGGATTAAGCAGGTTTCACTGTAACCTTGATCAATACATATATTGAATAAACAATTCAAATGTTCATACCAACATCAAAGCAGCAATTCTTTAAACAAGCTATGATCCCATGGCGACGTGTTTTTGAATCCTTGAACTCGATAAAAGGTAGAAGTCTCTGAACGACAAACTGATCTTCAGCCATGACCTTTGACCTGATTTCACGAATCTGGGTCAGGTTGCCAAGCACTGTTGCCAAGTGATGAAGGTTAGCTTTTGGATTGTGTTTGGTACTGCAAAGAACATTTACCAGATTGGGAACACCTTGATCAGTGTGAAGCAATACTGAAGCAACCTTCAGAGCACAGTTTTCAGTTCTAGTCACATTAGAAACTAATTGACAAACATAATCTGCCATTTCAAACTCTGGATCCAGCATCTCTTTAACAAATTCAGCAGCCAAGTTGGGGTAGGAAGGCAAAGATAAAAGATGATTAGATGCTGTTTCCAGGTTTGTTAGGTTGATCAAAGTCTTGTAACTCTTTTCAACAATGTCTTTGGTGTTGTCTTTGAGAAGAGAAACAATCCCCTCCAGAAATTTGTCACTGTTGCCTACAAATAAACATCCTTCTTTTCCACCACTGAGTCCTAGGAAGTACTCTATGGCAATACCCTTAACATCCAGTTTGGCTTCAGGGTTCAGGAACGGACCAAACTCCTTTTCCAAGTGTTCTTTGTCAAGTCCTTCCATAATGTTGCTAATAAATCATTTCCTGAATCTGGGGGAAAATGGTCATAAAATGATGTTACAACAGACGTTAACATCAGTAAGTAATAAACTGTTCAAACCAAATCATTGGCTAAATATAGCAATGGTGATTAACTATATTGACCAGGTTTACATAAAGATGGTGGAAATTAAAATGGACAGCTAAATTTGCATAAATGTAACAAGTTTAAAAAAACAGAAAGTTATTGTAGCAACAAAGTGCAATTATTCTATAAACGCTCTACTGTAAGTTTTCAATTCCATAGTCATGACGATACAACAGAAAGGTTATACACTTTGAGAAATCTGAAACTGTTGTAGTCTTTCATTTTGGGGGGGATCTTTTTTTGTTTCAAAAAGAAATATAGCTCAAAAAATGTACTTCAACTTATTTTAACAGTTCATGGACATATCAAATTCGTGAACTGTGAGTGTCAATGAAAGCAACGAAAATAATTTCCACGCAAATATTCACGATTTTACAGTAAAATGAACATAATCAAAATTATAGTATCCAGATTAGACAGAATCCAGTTACTTTTACGGATGGTGCAAATAATGGGAACAAAATAACAAATCCAGTATTGACCGGGCATGAACTGAATTTGGTTTTGATATTCAAATGTTATGTTTTAATGTACTACAAACAATTTAGCGGATCAATAGTTATGACCGTTTTCTTTGGGATTTTATATATAGTACCACTACACAAAGATTTGTGTAATTTTTTCCAGGTATGAAATATGCCGTAATAAATATTTCAGAGGAACAGCTACAAAGCGATGAACTAGGCTGATAATTTCTATCTTTCTAGTCTTAAACATTTTATCGTTGTTTACCCGATTCGTCTTGAATATTGTCTTGAAAGTTTTGTTTGCACAGAACGTTTAAATTTTTCAACTGAGAAGTCTCTTTTACAAATTTTCTCACAGATTAACGGTAGAAAACATCAGATCATTTACAAAAGCGTAATTATTCAGCCCATTAAACTTACGTATTGTGTAGAATGTGTCAATTTCACACGTGTTTATGTAGGAAGTGACATTTTGAAGGGGAAGTCACTCCAGATTTACAGTCTGCAATTTGTCTCCCTTGGGTACTTGTTGAAAAATGGCTGCCACTGGGTAGCAACGAAGACCCTCTCAAGTTTGATCACGAAACAAGTCTAATATTGACATTCAAATTCAAGTATGTTCACATCGCAATATATTTCTAATCTCAGCTATTTCACTTCTAGTTACTTATACAACTTATACTTAACATATGGAGAATGAAAATAAATCTTTAAACCGGAAATTACTTTTCTGGATCAGGTGTGTCCAATAGAGACGGCGTGGATATAATTTGCATATCAAATAGGTGACATGCCACAGTAGGTAAACTGACGAGAGGACAATGTGCTAGGGGAACTACAGATATATTACATTTTCTGTTGTTTATTCTAGATGATTGAGACGAAAACGTACATCTAACCCAGATAATGGAATAAGGAAAATGTAAACGTGAAAGTATTTCTGGATTTGACGTTACAATAATGAATATTTGGTAAGTTTATATTTCATGCTTTTTGTCAGTATATACAAGCAGTATATACACATACCAGTGTTTTGAGAACTGTGATTATATCGCATTATGACGAAAACTTCTATATACAACACCTTTATTTGCAAATGGTATCAGATAGTATGGACGGCACTAGTTTGTTTACATGCTTTAGTGTCAAAAGGTAGGTAGCCTTTGATAAATATATCTGATTAGCTTTAATGTTATTGTTTTCATATATACAGGAAAAATATAGTGGACTGTAGTACTTTAAGTATCAGAGTGTGAAGAAGATCTTGGCATGCGACAACTATTTGATATTTAACAAGGCACGTAATATTTGCATATATTATTAAAAAATAGGGGGTAGTAAAATGTAGGCTCAAATACATGTTCTATATAGAGACAAATACACAAATGATTTAAGGCTGTTTATGAACCCTCAGGATAATTATATGCTATTATGTACCCTGCACAAACACTTTAAAGTTCATCATTTGCATATATTGCTACTGTATGGTTTATTCATGAAGTACATCCATTGTTTGCTTTGCTTGTCTTGTTTGATAATGGCCATCCATTCATTTGACATGTGCATTGTATAGTTGTTTGATTTATATTTTATAGATTTAAAAAAAAAGTTATATAAAGTTTGAGACTTACTTATATAATACTAATTGATAATAAGAAGTGATATGTTCAGTGCCAAAAACATAACTTGGTTCAATACATTTTTCCAAGAGTGAATTCCAAATAACCGTAACTTTGCATTGCAGATGAATTCCATTATGATATACATTCAAGTAATTGTTTTCAGTTAAAGCTGTGCTCTTACAGATAAGCAGAAAAGTGAAGAGTTCAAATTTGACATTGATTGGTCTTACAACTTCCACGGAGTTGATGCTAGGGTTTGTTCATTGATAGATAATTTCTAAATTTCCCAGGCCTGTTTTTGTAACTGTTTTTCAGACCTTTCTTTGTACCTGTATGTTGTCTAAGTTCCTCTGCCGTGTCTTTGGTATAGTCTTCTAGACAAGAATTAGAATGTCAAATGTATATATATGTTACTGGTTTCAAATACTAAATACTTTATTCCCCACCTAACAAAGTTCAGTGCATGTTTAATGAAGCTGCTGTGACCTGATTGAATGATTTCTTTAATCACTCTCAGATGCTGCTATTTTCGTGATATCTTTTAAAGAACTGGTCAGATTTTTATAAAACTTAGTTGGTACACTGGTTACCTTAATCCCTTGTTAAAGTTTAATTATCTGCAAATTCTATACATGTTTAATGAGGCTGCGATGACCTGATTGGCTAATATCTTTTCCAGTTTTCCTTGTTGCCCCTTTAAATGTATATATTTTACAATGAACACGAGTGAGGGATTTTAATGACTATGTCCTTGTCTTAAAATAGTCATTAGAAATCTGAAAAAACCCACAAAAAAGTGAAAACACAAACCAATGTGTATGATTTTAAATTGAGAATACTAGCTTACAAGCAGATGGTTTTCCATAATTGTTACTTGTCTAAGATATAATGTTATTGCCATAACATTAATGTATCTAATATTATCAATATAGTGAAAGATCTAGTAGTTTTTTATCTCACACGTAGAAATTATCTACCTTGCAACATGTCAATTTCATAAAAATGTAGAGGTTTTCTGCTTCCCATTGATTTCGTTTTGTTTCCAGTTTTGACTTTAATCTTTGGTGTTCTCCTTTACATATTTACAAATATTTTAACCTTCCTTATTTACGAGGGAGACTCCCAAATTAGGACCCCTAATTTTGCTATTTTCAACAAGTTCATTTAAATCAACAACCTACAGGATGCCATTTACAAGTGTTATTTCTTTACTGAAGGGTATATATACACAGATTTCATTTATGCCTTTTTGAGCTTGTAAAATTTCTCTCATGAAAATTTCAAAAAGTTGGCATATACTCATCTTCATGTTTATTCATCAAAACAACAAAAGAGTAACTAACAACCATCAAATATATTTGTAATTGTGTCATTGTGTCCCACACACATGTACATTAACCTTACTGACCAAGCACATAGAGATCATATATTTTGCAGATTGAAAAGAAAACTAGATTAAAATTTGCTTTTGATATGCTACAAAAATGTTGTAGCTTCCAGATATTGATTTGTGTACGATGGACTGATATGCGGTAATTAGCCATGTGTTATGCACAGGTGACTTTCTACTCTCTGTGTACGTATTGACTGATTTCGTCTGAAAATGTGCCAATGTTTTGACATAAAATATTTTGACTGAAAAATCACTTTGACTCAATTGAAGTTTCAACTCAATGAAATTTGAGTCATCTGAACTTAAATTACAAAGATAAAGAAGGAAAAAAATAGGGACTTGGAAATCATTTCGACTCAAGCAGAATTTCGACTCAAGTGATTTTGAGACAACAAGTTTCAACTGTATATTGATCTACTCAATGCATACATTGATTAAACTTTTGAAGTCTTTGATAGAGAATTCAAATTAGGTTTGTATATAACAGTTAAAAAACTGTCAGAAACATATTAAAAATGTTATTGTATACAAAACTGTCTCTTTCCATTGGTATCCTCTGTTTATCACAAAGATTCTGATCCCTGTCTGCTCATGAAATTTTAATATTAAACATGTGTATTGTAATAAGTCTGTTGACAGCAGACTGATAAATAATGCTCATTGATAGCATGCACGCATGTCTACAGGGATTTTCTTCTAAAATCTAATAAACATGGCAAGATAACAGGTGATGTCCCTAGCTTTTCCAGAATCAAGGTTATTGGGTACTCTCACAAAAGTACATTTGTGTATCTTATAATTTGTATACACTCTGTACTTATTTCATTTTTGGTATTTACAGTTTTACTTATTAAAGAAAAATTTCAACTGAAAACTTATTCAAAATTATAAATTACAAAACATCTGAAATTCTTAACTCAGTCTATAAAGTACAGTGTTCATACATAAAACTTGTATCATCACTGATAGGCAGCATGAAAAATAAATTCTACCATTCTAACCAAGGAATGTCCCTTTAAAGATGTGTGATATATATGCCCATTTTGTCTGAGATCAGTTGGTACCTGGTAAGCTATTGAACATATTTGTACTGTTATTTACTGTACAATGTATTCTTACAACACAGCATAAAATCATTAGACTTCACATTTAACACAGAGGAAAATTGATTTTTACAGCAAATCAAAATGAAACATTTTAACTGTATTGATAACCTACAAATGTACAACATGTTCTTTTATCATTAAGTTACTTTATCTGTGAATAGTAACAGGTGAGCTGTAGAGGATTATTTTATCAATAAACTTTTAACATATATATGCTATACTTCTTGTTTGAAAAGCCTTTAAATCTAGAATGAGATTAACCTACCTTGGAATACATTTGTCCTTTCTGTTAAGCCCTTTGTCGGATTATCAGGCACATATATATTACCTGGGAATGGTCTCTGGTCTCTTTATATATGTTGTAGAAAAATGTATACATTTATGTCTCTCATTGCTAGCACTAATTGTACCAGCTTGTTCATTGCTTTGAAAAGAAAGCAGTCTGTGAAGTCCCATGCTTTCCTATCAACTTACTTTCTCTTCCAAAAAGACTATCATACATTTTCTCATTTTTTTACTCAAAACAATTGAGTTACAATATACTTCAATATACCTTGTATCCCAAGAATAAGCCCATGTGTCCCAATATGCCTATCCATTTCTACTACTGACCACCTTCCTCTGTTTTCTCCCTTAATTTCTTTTATGAGGTAACATCTATTTGTGATGAACCTCCTATGAGAGACCATCCTTCCAGTTAGACCCTCATCTGTTATGAGGTTACTTTAGTTATTGAATCACTCTCTGTGAAGAAAATATGTCTGTGAAGAGACCACATTTTTGAAAAAGATCACCTTTGTTTAGAGAGGCCACTTATGTTGAAAGACCATCTTTGTTAAAAGATCACTGGTGTTAGAGACCATTTTTGTTAAAAGACCAGTTTTAAGAAAGTACCTCCATTAGAGACCATCTTTACCAAGAGACCACCTCTGTTAGAGACAGCCTCTTACAAGAGACCACTTCTGTCAGAGATCTGTTAATAGACCTACAATATAAGCTTGTAAGTCTTTGGTGTCTTTGCATAAAGATTTTATTGTAATTACATAGCAAAAGTATGTAGAACTTTAATATGGTATCCCAGACTATGGAATATGTTTATCTAAATGACTATTTCAGATCAATTTATCACCATCAGTCGAGGGGCGAAATTCTCAAACAGATTGGGTTTCAGGTAAAGACCTCTCTGTTAAGTACAGTATTGGGATTTCATGATAATAACATCCTTGTGATCAATACCAGATTGACTGACATCACAGAAAAAGTCCTTGTTTTATGGAGAAAGTCCTTGTATTACAGAAAAAGTCCCTGTATTATAGAGAAAGTCCTTGTATTACAGAGAAAGTCCCTTTATTGTGGAGAAAGCCCCTGTATTGCAGAGAAAGTCCCTTTATTGTAGAGAAAGCCCCTGTAATACAGAAAAAGTCCCTTTATTGCAGAAAAAGTCCCTTTATTGCAGAGAAAGTCCCTGTATTGCAGAGAAAGTCCCTTTATTGTAGAGAAAGCCCCTGTAATACAGTCCATGTTACAGAGAAAGTCCCTGTAATACAGTCCATGTTGCAGAGAAAGTCCCTGTAATACAGTCCATGTTACAGAGAAAGTCCCTGTAATACAGTCCATGTTACAGAGAAAGCCCCTGTAATACAGTCCATGTTACAGAGAAAGCCCCTGTGTTATAGAGAAAGTCACTGTAGTACAGAGAAAGTCCCTGTATTATAGAGAAAGTCCTTGTATTACAGAGAAAGTCCCTTTATTGTGGAGAAAGCCCCTGTATTGCAGAGAAAGTCCCTTTATTGTAGAGAAAGCCCCTGTAATACAGTCCATGTTGCAGAGAAAGCCCCTGTGTTATAGAG